AAAAAACACATAACTCCTTCTTCACCGAAGCACACCACGTTATCACAACCCACTCGTATTCAACCCAAACGCAGAAACCTATACAGTATACAGCACTACTAGCTCACAAAATACTGTAATATCTCCATCAATAACCCAAGCAACCTCACAAATACAACCTCAAGAGCAAAGAAACACCATAAACACAAGTAACGCAACATGTACTACAAAGACAGGTCCATCCAATAAAGTTACACGCCCTAGCACAGTTAAAAAACACAATACTCTTTCTTCTCAGAAACAACCCACTCGTATACAACCGAAACGCAAAAACCTTAACACAGGCTCACAAAATACTGCAATATCTCCACCAAAAACCCAAGCAACCTCGCAAATACGACCTCAGGAACAAAGAAACACCATAAATACAATTAAAAAACACAAAACTCCTTCTTCACAGAAGCACACCACGTTATCACAACCCACTCGAATTCAACCCAAACGCAAAGCCAAAGAAACACTTACACAATAAACTCCATTTAATAAAATTACAGGAATTATTATAATGATTTTTTTTTTTTTTTGTTTTCCTCTTTCCTGATAGCGTTGGCTATTGTGCCCATCAATAGGTATGTTGGTAAGTACGAATTACATTATCCCTAGATGTCCAATGTACGTGTGTGATTTTTTTTTTTTTTTTTAATGACCCTACATAACTTCACCAGACACAGACACTAATCGTTACTTGATTTTAATCCGTGCGATTAGTTAACCAGGCTAGACCTGAGTTCTCACAAGAAACACCGATAATAATAATAATAATAATAGATGCTGATACAAAAAAAATTTCTCGTACCTTTAACAAATATATACCTAAATCAACTTAACCAGACATCGATTTTCAAGAAATAAGAAATTGGAGCTTATTACGCGGTTGTCTACCCACACCTGAACTTCAACATTGCTTTTTGAGGAGATAGTATGGAGTATGCAAACGTACAGAATTTTCACTTTGCAAAAATACCAAAATTCGACAATATCAAAGATGATCATATAAAGTTATATACCTACACTTTGCTGATGTGTAACTAGTCGAAGAAAACCTGTAAAAAGCGTAAGGGAGCGGTATCAGTATTGTGTCATGTGTGTTGTCTATCGTTCTAACAAATGCAAGTAGAATGCACTTTTCAAAATTTGTACTGCGTATTTACGAAGCGTTTTGCAGGAAATTTTTATGATATGAGTACTGAGTAGTATAGGGGCCACCTGAGCCAGGCAGTCACATGACGCGCCGAAGTGACGTTACACGGTATACGTGTATGATACGTACGGCGACAGCCATTTTTAACTATTAGTGGATATTCGGCATCGATATTTTGAACATGTATAAACTGGCGCAATTCCGGCAGTTGACCCGGGGTGCTACGTTTAGGTTCGCGTTGACGTTTGTGTTCGCGTTCACGTTTTGGTTCGGATTCACGTTTGGGTAGGTTTGCCGTTTAGACTAGAAAATATTACATTACGGAATGCACATAAACCGCATCCTGGGTGAGCAAGCACAAATATTTGCATGTTGAAAGTCGCTTTCTCCAGTTCCCATGCCGTGAGCGCCAACTCAAACGTAAACGCGAACTCAAACGTCAATGCGAACCTAAACGTCATCGCGAACCCAAACGACAACGCGAACCCAAACGTCAACACGAACCTTAACGTAGCACCCCGGGCCAACTGCCGAAATTGCGCGAGTTTACATGTCCAAAATATCGATGTCGAATATCCACCAATAGCTAAAAATGGCTGTCGCCCTACGTAGGTATACCTACACGTACCCGCAAACGTCACTTCGGCGCGTCATGTGACTGTCTTGCTCAGGTGGCCCCTATACTACTGATATGTCCTTCTAACAAACGCAGAAAAAATGCACTTGTCAAAAATCGTACGGCGCATGCGCAAAACGCAACGTTCTAATTTATGGAGCAATTTGCCCGAACGATTTCCCAAACAATTTTAATGAAACATTAATTATTTCAGTTGTTTGTTAAAATCAACATTAAACTACGAGATTAAGTGACTGCAGAAGTTTGGCGGAGATTTGGGGTCCCTAAATGATATTTTTAAAGACCAAAACATCGATTTTCGTAAAAAAATCGCATAAATTTTTAAAAGATAGGAAATTGAAGGTGGTTTTACCCAAATAACAAAGCGTAAAATATCGAACGCGATCGTGTGCAGATACTAAGACGACAATTACAATCGTAATTTTCACAAAAAGTCACAGGTAATGTCTCCAAAAATAGCAAAATACCCCTCAAAAAATTCAAAAACCTTTTTGGCGTAGATCGTATAGAAATGACGCAAAACGTGTAATTCCAAAGTTTCGACGTCGTAGCTCGAAAGACGACAGAGATACTGTGATCTCTCGAAAAGGGGAGGGAGCTACCATTCAAATTGGGTACGGATCGGCCGTTAAATTAAATAAGGGCGATATTGAGACATGATCGACCCTTTAACAAGCATCCGTCCTCGTTGACGATTAGGATGTGTTAGTAGGTTAGGTTTAAAGTCCGGTTCGAGGTCAGATATATTTCGATCTAATCCAACGGCGCATTTCGACCTAACGTAACCTAACCGTAATCTAACCTAACTCAGAATCAAATTTTGCCGCTTTTTTCCTTTTAGAATACGACAGACAAATGTGCGTCATCGCATCGAATTCGGCAGGGGATACCAAAACGGCGTTAGTCGTTTTTCATTAATTAAGGACCTTCCGCAAAAGTAGTGTTCGTACTATTTTTAAACTCGTTTGTTTTATATAAATAAATTCTACTGCAAGAATGATTGTTGCTCTGTGTCGCATTCCTCAGACATCATTTAGCGTAAACCTCTCGCCAGGAAAGATTGCCGGTCACAGAACACTTGATCCCGGTCTACGACTTCCGGGATAGTATCGTGTCAATGTTGAACAAAAAGATTTTTCGTTCAACATTGGCACGATCCTATTCCTGAAGTCGCTCGCATCTTAAGAAAAATATAGATTGTAGATCGACATAAGGTGTGCTGTGACCGGCAATCTGTCCTGGCGAGAGTTATAGTATTCTCTTCGTTATGGCTAATGTGGTGCATTTACGTACCAGAAAATACTACAAACCAAAACGTATACTTACACCTCAGATTTCAAGAGGTTCTTTTGATTTCAGTAGAAAATGTAGTGTGGTTGGCAAATCACTTTCTTGCCATGGATTTCAAAACCTGTGGAGTAGCCTATTGTCACCTGTGCAGAAAATTTCCTGGATTTCAAAGCGAAATTGCTGAAGAATTAGGATGTACGCAGCTCACAGTACCTATCCAGAATATTTCATGAAGTGCTTGAGCGAATTGTACATACAGCAGACCTTTTGCTTTTGCCACCTTTTCCTTCGACGGCGCGACGGATTTGTTACCGACGCCCCGGTAGAGCCCTTCTTGGCGGAAGGAGCTCAATGGTAGAGCGTTGTGCTACAAAACCGGAGGTCGGGTGTTCGAACCTGGGCTGAAGTAGGAATTTTTCATCTGTGGCAGAAATGGAAATTTTCTTAGATCAGTTTCGAGCATTCTGCCGGCTACTCCGAATTAGGTTTTCCTGCAGTTTTCCTAATGCGTAAGGTAAATAGCGGAGTAGTATAGAAAAACTTAAGTCCTTCTGCAGGGGCACCTCTAAAAAGTATTATGCGGATCACTCTGTAATTGGGCGTAACGTAAGCGTGTTGAAGGCCTATACGAACATTTCATAAATAAAAAAATAAACAGGCCCTCTCCACTAGACCTCATGTGCAGGATCAGCCCTTTCAGTTAAGGCTAAAGAATTAGTACATAAGCGAATGGAAAGAAAGACAGTCCAGCGTCTGCCCATCCCGACAGAGAGGAGGGTATACTTCCTTACACACAAATATGTATAGCAAAGACGATAAAGTTGAAATATTAAAACGGTAGGACTAGGAGGGTGGTAACAGAAGAACTGTAAAAACAAACAGCTCCAGTTTGTCGCGTGTAATGTTGGTTGCCTACAAAAATTCCTAATATATACTTAATACTATAATACTACCAAAGAGTAACCATTTGATACTACCAAAGAGTAACCACTTTTTGATACTACTATACATTGGAAATTACGTTATTTAAACACTAGGCATTATACTGGAGCTGAACTGGGGAAAACCAGCCTGCTCAAAGCAAATAACACAAACAAAAACTTTTTGGCGCTGTCTCTTTTGGGTTTGTCTTTGCACTGGACCCCATCTGCAAGATCAACCCTCAGACGAGGATGTGCATTACAACACTATATCTCGATTTTAACTGATACATCCCAAAAGAACTGAAGGCACAGGTACTCCTAGGAACTGAGCTTGAAAATTAATCAACCGCTAGGTACATTTTATACCGCATTTCAAGCCGAATTAATGAGAATAATGCTCAGTAAAGTTCTCTTGAAAGGTGGAGACAAGAAGTCATGGTAAAATCACCTCTAGGCTGTTGGGTTGAGTGAATAATGCAATTTTTTTTATTTCATTTGCAAATTGTGAGTGTACCTACAAAGGTTCAAATGTAAATGTTAGCAGTAGAGTACTATAGGTAATTATTACACGCCACCCTGGGGCACATCTCGCCAGGAAGTCATACATTGTACCTTCCAAAGTGAAATAATGTGAAGTTGTTTTTGCTCTGTTATGCAGACCAATCTAAATGTTATTAAATTATTTTAATTGTCTTAAGCTGATGCAGTTCTCATATTATGTAATGGTTTGTGGGTAGAACTAAAGAGGAACTCTTAGTTAAAGCAATTGTACCTACTTACTCAATTTAAAATTAGGTGAATCTCAAGGCTCTAAAAACAACTGTAATTCTGCCAATTGCTTTATCTAAATATCGGTAGGATTTGAAGATTACGCCATACAATACAATAAAACTTATCGCAGCACGGCTATCTTATCACGTAATTACCTAGAAAATTGCTATTTCAGTAAAGACCATAATCATAAGCGGAAAAATTTCAAAGTGCACTTTATTAAACATATTCCCGATATTTCTCCATTTTAAAGACTAGTTGGAACAATAAATAAATACAGAAAAATATAGCTATATAAGCCAATCTTATTTTATAGATGCCTTAATTTGTACTTTAGATGGAATGCTATAGTTTTAAAGGCACAGAAGACACAATAGACCCGATTGTCGCACATTTCCCATTAGCTGATACTGCAGTCCTAAGCAAAAATGATGTCTTATTTGGTTAAATAGACTTTTGGATCGAGTTTAATTGATATAAACTAAAATAAGATGTATCACTTTTGCTTATGATGGTAGAAGAAAAGAAAGTTTTCATATACAGACAGTTCGTCATTTCTTTGAAAATCAGCACAGGGATCTCAGAATCTTTACAGTTACAATGTTGGTTTAATGGAAAAGGGTGGAATTGAATCATACTATTGTTACAGTTTTTTGTTTTAATTTTCCTTATGGAAGCAGTATTTCATTTTTGCCTCTTATTGGGTGAAATGAAGTAGTTTCCGTTTAAAAAAATGTCCTGTATATCAAACTATCTCTACTTTTTATACCTATCACAATCACAGTAAGGAAACTACCAGTCTGAAAAGCTCTCCGAGATCCCAGTACTGGGCAAGGCCACCCTGTATATGACTCATATTCAATTTTTTTGTGCAATTGCACATAACTTGACAATAACACATAATATAAATATAGCAATAATTATCACATTACTTCAATTTTTGATTCTTCTTAATTAAATTTTCCCACTGTTTAATTAAGCTTCCCGACCCAGGCGGTACTTCTTCCTCGTTATCGATATCGCACAGGTCCGACAAAGATTTCGCTCCCTTCAGAGTGGCAAATGAAGTCTCTCGGTCGTAACTATCAAATTCATTCAGTTGCAGCACAGACATAGTCGAACGTAACGGTTTCCTTTCCGGCTCCGGTGAACTGCTCGAATTGAGAGATGCCAACAAATCGGGATGGGATTTCTCACGTTCCAAACGCAACTCCCGCTCGCGTTTCTCCATATCACAAAATTCGCGTCGTATCTTCTCCTCCACAGGAACAAAACCGTTACGTGGGTGTACTCCAGGTGCAACTTTTGCCGGTTGTATTACTTCCAAATCGGTCCATGTTGGTGAAGGTGTTTGATTAATTGACGAATTTGTAAATGCGTTCATTTTACCTCTTGATTTAATAAATCTGTGCATGACGCCTTTCACGGGAGACTTTTGTGTAAATAGCCTATTTCCATTTTTGGAACCATTCGTAACACATGAGACGGATTTCGCCCTATCTAAGGGAGGTTTAGCACCATTACATGCACCATTAGTTTGCGTAATTTCAAAGGCCGAATTGGAACGGTTGTAATTTGCTCGCAGCTCATTTTCTCTCTCCATTACCTCATTTATTTCGCGCTGTATTAATTCCAAGGTGGCATCTTTGGTGGACGGCATTATTCTAAAATGAACTGAATACCTACATTTAAGAAAAAAATTGAGAGTAACTTACAGTTATATCATCAAACTTTTTCATTTATAATGGGTGTTGCTGATTAAATTACAGGTTCTCAATAGCACTGATATTAATTTCTTATCAGACTTTTAACAATTTTAATTTTATCAGAGGTAGATTACGTACCTGCGCGGTAGATAAAAACCGTTCGTGGAGGTCAGGCACCATTTAATGTATGAACCCAATTATCATCATATCTCTGCTCTGCATTCTGGAACAGTTATGCTGCAGAACAGCTGTGTGTCTACTTGCAAATTCCACCAGTAGATGGCGATCCAAAATAAAAACAATTCGCTGTGACAGTCGTGAAGAATTAATGAAAATGGATGTGGAAATTTCGAATAATTTCGATAACGCAAGTAGTAATGACGCGGAAAGTGCGAATATTAAAGTTAGAATACCGAAACGGATTTTACACTTTAGCGATGGCACATTAGAGGAATACAGTGATGACGAGAACATTACGCCCCCGAACGAGACAACGACCGCCGCCATTGTAGATTCGGTAAGTTTCCCGGCTAGAGAGCGGGATTATAAAAATGAGGTAAAAGTTGTATTTTTCCGTTTTGGTTAAGTGACCTAAATTAGTTCAATGACGACGACATTTCATTTGGGTAATTAGGGTAGCAGCGTAAAATGTTGGGAAATGGAATTATTACTCAATGAATTTATGTGCGATCCTTGATAAATGATAATGGCCAACTCATTAGCATGCAAATTTATTTGTTTCTTTTATCGTCTATCAATCGGTTGCCTCAAACAATACAATTAACCAAGCTCGCTTTTTATTATGTAAAATTTAGAAATTATTAGGTTGTTAACGCTAACAGTGGCGTACCTTCGGACGTATCCAAGGGATCTATAACCGGCATTTGGACCAGCGCTAATTTCAAAATTTTAACCATTGAATTTATAGAGTATCTAAATTCAAAGTTTTCAATAATAGCATAGTGTAAAATATGGGTACTGGTACTGGTAAACCGTGAAGGAATAATTAAGGTAACCCGCGGGTTATAAATGAATTATAAGAAAAAGGTATAATAAATACTTTCTTACAACTTTATTACACAGTGTTTCTTTCTCTTGTAAACTCCAGCTGATAGTCGATCGCAAGATTTTATGAACACACAAGTACACCTCACAAGTCAAAGGTTTGGCCACCCCTGGTTTAAAGAATAGGATAGTGAGACGACCCTACGGAGAAAAAGAGAAACTGAGTGGGAGATATCGAATTTTCACAAAAAATGTATAATATAACTATAACATAAAAATAAAATTTTACAGTTTTCCCAGACGAAGTCTGAGTCTTCTACATCATAGTAATATCAACCTTGAAAGGGGATCCATTTTAGGTGTACCACTTGGGGCACTTAATCACAGCCTATGTTTTTGAAGTAATTTTCTTCGGCATCACTGGCCACGTCCAGATTGCATTTGGCACATTTTTCTTTGATTTTGAGTTAATTGACATTTTTTGTCACAATTAGTATCAATTCCATCTTGACCTTTCTCCTCTCTTTGGGTTTTTGTCTTTTTGATGGAGCATTACAAGTTTCGGCTAATCTTATTAATTTGTTTTTCTTCCAAGCACTTTCTTCTCATTTTTGTTTGCAGAATATTACGTACGTCCACTGGATGAAATGGGAGAGGGAAGGCGAATCTTTTTATTCGTCGTATATGCTACTAGGTAGCGGTGTTTGAAACCATTGGTGATTACCTGGGTGAGATTACTAACTGACGTTAAATGTCAGTAGTGTTTTCAATACTCTCTGATTTTTCCGAGTTCCAAAGTTATATTGCAGTTTTTTTTACTGTCCGAGTTTTTCAGTTATGTTTTACAAAATATGAAGTTTATTGACTTTTCATCTTTCTTCATCGATTGATATTATTTCAACTTTGTCTGAATCTTCTCTTGTTTTTTCACTAAATACTTTATTTGTAGCGCATTTTTAAGAATATTAAAAAAAATGTGCTATTGTTTGCGTTTTGTCCGTCCGTCTGGACCGGACCCACTTCTGCCATTTCGAACTACTTCTAGGGGAATGGTTCTAGAAGGGGGGGGGGTGTGTTAAATATTAATGTTATCTCATTGTATTCTAATTAAAGGTCTCGACGAAATGAACCGTTTTCTACCAACTACTGCCCTTCTTTCTGCCCTCTTATCAAAGTACGAGATGGGGGGAGGGGGGAGTGGAATTAGTTTCATCCTTCATGGTACTCTAATGAAAGGTCTGAACGAAAGGAATTAATTTCTACTAACCATAGCCCTCGTCCTCGACCTCTTATCGTGATCGGGTATATTCCATTATACCTCAAGAACGGATTGTCGGAAGAGGGTACTCACAAAGCGCGATTGAGACGTCTGCAAGAAATATATCCATTGGTGTTGTGATGTCAAAACAAAAGCTATTTCGGTTAAAAAAATGCGCTTTATCTGCACAAGAGTTGTGCACAATTTATACTTGTACTCCTTTTGGATATAGTGTCGTTGGTATTTCCATTATCAATTATCTCTTCAAACGCATTCATGTTTTCTGTTACTTAATCAACAGGTGTTATTGGCTATTGGCTTTGTTTTAATTGCATCCTGATGACATCAGATTGTTCACTATTTTCTCTTCTTTCTTTATATCTCTGAATGATCGCCCTTGTAAGTTCTTCGTATAATTGCTTGATATTCTTGAGACGCATCTTTCTCATAACCTTGATTTCGCAATGACCTAAATGCTCATAAATGGAATTTTGAACCCTTTGGAACATATCCCTAGTGATCAGGTGGTTTCAGATATGCGATTTTGCAAAGCATTTATTGTTTTTGGATTTGTTGCCTACATCCTACTTTTTAAAAACCCAAAGGCAAAAATCGAGCACTGCAAGATCCGGATTGCTTTTTTTTTAATTACCTCTTCACTGGCCAAACTTATGCACGTACTGCCGAAATTGGCAATATTTGGTGTACTTCCCCTGCCCAGTCAGTTATTTGTGTACTTCCGGGTACTGCGAAGTCCTGCCGATGTACTACCCGGTCCTGCATATTGTGTACTGCCAGGTACTACCATATTTTGTTGGCATATTGTCATGACCCACCTCGTGATCCACGAAACGAAGGGTCATCTTATCGGCATTTTTTTTAATTAATGCAACGCTAAAAGATACTATATAATTAATGGTACATCTAATTCCCTTGTATTTGTTATTTATACAGGGTCCTGCAGCCGTGCATCGGTCTTTCCTAGCCCATACCTCGTCAAGGTGTGAAAAATCTTATGTGCAAATGTCGACTATGAACTATCCTTATAGATGGTTGCGCATCTATAGAAATTATTTTTGAGTGTACAGCGGTGTCTCATTTTAACAGTGTACCTAAATGAAAATAAATGATTTTTTAAATAGAACACCTTGTATATTTTTAGTTGTTTCGATGTCATTTGATTGATGTTTGATGAATTGTCGCCACTTACCTTGTTTTTGGAAGTTAAGAAATACATTTGAGTACCTAATAATGTTATTTCGAGAAATGGGCAGCACTTTGATAATGAGAAAGTTGGTGTTCACAATGAAATAGTAAAACTGTCACAACTATTTTTTTTATATGGAAGAACCACTACTTATTTGATTTCGTTATTCAATAGTCTTCTGTGTTCTCTTTAATTTTTATAAAAGATGTCCTGTCTCTATACCTCGTAGTTTTTAGGTTATTCAATATTTTGCACAAAAGTAGGTACATACCCATTAGTGAATTACATGTTTATGCACCGGAGTAGGCTGTGATAATAAAAAAACAAAAGAATGGCCGAAGGTAAATAAGTGTTCCAAATTAATTATTTGCTGCAAGTGTACTCCCTATTTGGTAGGATAACTACGAGGTTTAGACACAGGACGTCCCTTATGAAAATTGAAGAGAAGACAAAAAAGACTATGGAATGTCGAAATAAAATAGTGTACTTCTATCTGAAAAAAAAGTTATGACACTTTGAAATTCGGAAAATTTACCATTTCATCGTGGACACCCTGTATCACTAAATCCCTCGCTAAATCCAACTTCCTCATTATCAAAGTGTTGACCTCGGATTAACATTCCTGGTCAAAAATACTTCCTAACTTCAAAAAACAAGATCGCTACGACTCATAAAAGTAATGATTGTTTATGGGGAATTATCCGGAAAAATTAATTAGATGGCAACATACAATATAAATTATATAGGGTGTTCCGAGGGGTGTTCTATTTAAAAAAAATCATTTATGTATTTACACCGCAAAAATGGGACACCCTGTACATTCAAAACGAGAATCAAAATAAATTTCTATAGATGCGCAATACCATCTGACATTTGCACAAAAGGATATATTTTTACAAGATGAGCTACGCGAAGAGCTAGTAATGACCGACGCACTGTTGCAGGACCCAGTATATGATATACAGCGTGTTGCATCGACCGGCGGGAAATCCCATCTAAATTTGAAGGAGGTTAAGTGGCTTCCCTAGTTATTTTAGACGAAAAATCTATTTAGGTTATTTGAAGACCATTAAAATCGAGATTAAAATCCGCATCTAAAAGAATAACTGTCGATGTTTTTGGTTAACCCTCGGGTTAACCCCTCAACAAGATATTGCCAAAAATATTTTGTAACTTCTCCGAGAATTTCTCCTTTCTTATCGCCCCGTATTTACAGGGAACAATTGAAGTAAAGGTTTATTGTCAAATGAAGTTGTCATACTGAAATTTAATGCTTTATTAACGAGCTCCTAGCGAATTTATAATTTTGCGGTGTCTGTCCGTCCGTTAGCACGATATCTCGTAAACAAATTGACCGATTATAATGAAATTTTTCAAGTGGATTCTTTATCAAATTTGTAGATCGGACTTCGTGAATTGCCAATGTGGACCAAAAAATAAAGTAGGCCCTTTTGACATCTCCGTTAGTTATGAACCGAATTGCATGAAATTCAATATGTGCATAGCTTTAGCCATATAAAACGCAATTCTAAAAGTTGAGCCTAATCGATCAGCATTCACAGTGCCCTCTTCGCACTCGACCATTTAAATATAAGCCAAATTGCAAACTTTTTTATTTATTAAGTGATTTAAATATCATTTTATACATAGCCACTTGGAATAAAACCAAATTTAACGCCAGTTTCAAAATTTCGTTTTGCGCATGCGCAGTGCCAACTTTCTTATTTATGGAAGGATTTAAATATATACCTACCATGACTTAAATGATTTAAATAAAATTTGATGCACAGCCACTTGGAATAAAAGCAAATTTAACACCAGTTTCCAAATTTGGTTTTGTGCATAATGTGCAGTACCAACTTTTTTATTTTTGGAAGCAATTAAATGAAATTTCATACATATACACTTTAAATAAAAGCAAAACTAACACCAGGTTCAAAATTTGATTTTGCACGTGCTATAGCCATACCCAGGAGCTCGTTTTCTATATTTGTTTACACGTTTTTTCTATTATTAGCCATAAAATACACGACTGAAGAGAAAGTATTGTTGATTAAATCGGACATCTGACAGTTTCTTATTTATCAATTGATTTTATGTAGCAATTAAAGTAAATAGGTTTAGAGTAGGTTTCTTGTCAGCGTGTAGGGGATAGAAAATGTGGCAAATAGAAAGAGTCTCATTTTTCTCAAAGATCACTTTACTAGCGAGCACAGATACCACCCGCCCATCTGCGCATGCGCGATTCTGCCTTTTTATGTCTAATAATATTTGTGCCAAATTTTGTTCCAATCGGTTTTTGATCAGTGATCACCTTACAAACTATTCACTGCCTGCATTAGTTATAAATCGAGTTATAATACACTCTCTCTTATTTTTAGAACGCGTCGTGGAGTTCTTGGTTGCTCTACAAATCTTGGTCGGCGGGAGTTATGGCCCTAGCAGCATGCGATTATCTTGGAGAACATCTGGCTTATTTCTTTGGGATCACTACGCCGAAGTACTGGGCCGAAATTGAAGAATCAAAAAGAATAGAGGCGGAAAACATTGAAAAACAAAAACAGGCGGAAGGCTGGTCGGAACCAAGTGGTGGTGCCGGTTCTGTACCTCTCGATGAAATAAAAACAAATCAACCACTTTCAACTCATGCCTAGAGCTGAATCTATGTTTAATAAAATTACAATTATTGTGTAACACTACAAGACATTTCTTAGAATTTATTTTGTTTCATTCCTATTTTATTTTTATATTTTTATATCTGAGAGTACTTACCTACATCGATGTTGATCATGTGTAACTTATTGTTTATCCAATTAGGTAGGTACTTAGTCTTATAATAAAACTAACCTACTATGGTTTATTGCTTAATGTAATTTCCTGTGTGGAATTTTAGTATCCATTCAAACGAACTGCACAGTTTAAACTGAGAGGATTGAATTCCTAATGTTTTTAATTGATTTCTTCCTTGTGTGGGTGAGTTTTTTTCATTACAAGTGCATAATTGACGACTTTTATTAAAAATAACTTAATTCAAATTAATTAAAAATGTAATGAATCAGTTACCTAAAGCAAAGATCATACTACACCTAAAGGACACGTGTTTATATTGTCATTAAGGTTTAAAATTGACCAGTGATTGTGACAAAACGAATATTCCCTGCACATTCAAGGAACTTTGTAACAGAATATTCAATACCGAAAAATCAAGGAACCAGAGAAATGCATATAATCATAGAACAATCTATGGATATTTGGAACGAAGAATAGGTATTGACATTCCTTCTAGCATGTTAAAAGAATATTCGAAAAATATCCAAAATGTTATTTGGGATGCATTTGTTAAAATTCTAGAATCTCACCCAAGAGAAATATTTGCGTCTGTAATGCGCGTACTGCGTCGTAAGTAGACACTATACAGATACATTCTTTATAGTTTCTCTATGTATCTTTTTAAATAGGCCACACCCAAGCATTAGGTTCTATTTCTCAAGCACATTCACTCATCTGTTGGTACCTACATGACAAAAAGTATACATATCTTCTCCATAGCATATATTATGTGACATTACAAACAACCAAATCAACCTAATTGCACTTGTGAAATTAAGAAAACTTTGGGCTTGTAAGCACTTTGTATGAGTGCCAAATACCATTGATCTTTCACTGTACCCAGCTACAAAGCAGATAATAAAAAGATTAGTATTTCAAAAAAGTTTAATTACAAGGGAACATAAACATCATATATTAGGCAACTAACTATTCATTTGAAACATCTTGTCTAAGCACAAATTCCCTTTTATAACCTGGTCTGTCAGTACAACTACTTATGCACGTATAAATCACTAAAGTTCCCCAATCTAAATCATTTTCACCTAACACGCTTAACATCTGTGGCATTATTTGTACTTCAAACTGCCTTGGTCCATTGCATAATTCGCAGTTGGGAACTGAGAGAGACACAGGCTTATCAGCAATCCACAATGGTTTACCACCCCTTTCGTAACGTATAACTTGATCCGGATCCATTTCTGTACGTTTTCGAAATTGCAAAAATGTACGATCTTCCATCGCATACGAGTGTGCTTGAAGTTCCGTTTCAGAAATGTGCGCCATACTGCCCAAGTTTCCTTCCGATTCTAACTGCTGATATTCCTTCCATGCTTCCGTTGCCTCTTTCTCTTTAGGATTGTCTGCTTCTGTCTCAATTACAAGTTCATATTCCTTAAACAGCACTGTCGATTGAGGAGTGTTGCTAACCTCACTGCCACATTGATTTTTATGCCCCTGCTTCCAGTGGATAACTTGGTGTTCTCGACAGCAATATGCAACTTTACATTTGCTACATGATTTATCTGCCACACAGCCACAGAGCTGACATAATCTAATCCACTTACTTAATGAGAAAGTGAAATCGGGTTCTTCCAAAGGAGGCTCTTCTGAATAAAATGTGTTAACACGCGGTAAATTGCTGCGATACACTTTCAAGTTATTATTCGTATCTCGTACGCTGCACTCAGAGTTTCTGCATATGAAGACAAACAGTGTTCTATGGAAATTATTTTCGTCCTCTTCAAATGGGGCGTAGATTTGACAGAGAAATATCATTTGCCTATGACACAGGTTACATTGCAGATCTGTAGAGTTCGGAAGATTAGCCAGATCCAACCATGCAGGCTTTCCACCAATTTTACTAGGAAATAAGCGACTTTCGAGCTTCCATGCATCGCATTCTACTGCAAAACCTAAATCTACAGTGGGAGGTACATTAGACATCTTAAAAAATTAAAAAGCAAGCACGCACAACAATGAACTGCAAAGTTAGGTTAAATAATTCAAATCTTGGATGTGGCTGTAATCCCAGACGATTCACATATCGGCCGTGTCTCAAATATCACTTTAACATAAGGGTTACGACATCATGCTCAAGGTGGTTCATGGTTGTGCCTCACTTGTGAGCATTGTTGTGAGATATGGACCTCTGAACATAGAAAATTTACCCTTTGGTTATAATTCATAATTTTTATTGAATATCGGTGACTACATTATCTTTGTAATTTACCTTGACACTTTTCCATAACCAAGTGTTCAACCACATAGGCCAACAGCAAATAATTTCATTAGAGAATACTGGCGTCATTTCGCCAGCTACAGCTAAAATCTTTCCTATAAATACGTGAGGATGAATGGAATGGACCGTTTTCGGGTGGATATTAAAGTCGTAGCGTCGCTCGAGGAGTGTATACCTAAATAAGCCTCAGAGGGGTGTGTTTTTCGAGATCTTTTTTTATAACCGGCTACCTGTGAAGTACACACGGTCATCTCTAATTCTAATATATTTTTGTTATACACCTCGTGCTGTGGGCTTTTGTTTTTATATACCAGGTGAGATATTTACTTAATTCAATTAATCTACTATATGTATATGTCTAACGTAAACGTCGATTATAACGATTACCTACTTATAGGTATATTTACTGTTTTTTATTTTTTTAAATTTAATTTGATAATTTACTGTTACTGTTAATTCGATACTTATCAATCAAATATACGATGTGTAACCTTTGCTATATAGCGCTGCCTTTGCTAGTGTTGTGAATTATGGTATATTGGCGGTATATAACTGTGTATAAGTAGGTATATCTACATATTTGAATGTGTTCCGATATTTGCGTACCGGGCTTTTCAGTCAACCTCGAGCCCCTTTGACTTTGGTTTAATTCGAGGTTTAATTATTTTCTTGCTATAGTTGTTTATTGTGCTGTGACAGGCGCGGGAGTAGCCGTAAATGAAATATCACCCGAAATCGGCCGACGAACATTCCGGACGGCTTTCCTCACTGAATAGATTTTTACGCCGCCGAATTTCTCCGACTTTTCGCTAGCGAACTGTCCTAACAAACCATAGCTTAACAACACTATAGGTAACCGTTGTTCAAGGGAAAAATTAATAAAAAATTAAATTGCTTATTTATTTGAATGTTGCCTACATTAGGATGTTGTTTATCTCTTGTATCGTTCATTACTTATTTATTATTTCAGTCAATGCAGCAGTCACCACTAATACAAGTTCCAGAGCCATATGACATCCAACAAAGTTCGCGGCAGGTACCCAAAGAAGTAGGATCAGATGTTGTGCAAGATTCGAGTAGTGCTACAATAATAAACACCAAATCTGAAACATAACAAAAGAAACAGAAATTAAGATGATTATTTATTACCCCCGACACAGATAGAAGAATTCACAATTGTGAAAATCACAACTGGTATTAACAAGAGCTTCATTCTTGGTTGCTGATATAGGGACATAGATGTTTTTACTTCCAATTTTTATCCAAAAAATTATCTGACCACTTCCTAATCTAAATGGAACAAACATAATTGCTGTTACAATCAAATGAACACACTGTAGGTACCAAACAAAAGTTCAGTCGTTATATATGGTTAATGTACAGCTAACTGCCATAATTACGCAAACCTTTTTGCAATGTGAAATATACCTATTGCTTTTTATTTTTTATTTTATTTTATTTTATTATCCCTCTTTTGTTTTTGGGCCCTCAACAGGCATGCGCCCAATTACAGAGTGACCCGCATAATGCTATTTAGAGGTGCCTCTGCAGAAGGTCTTAAGTTGGTCTATACTACTCCGGTATTTACCTTACGAATTAGGAAAACTGCAGGAAAACCTAATTCGGAGTAGCCCGTAGAATGCTCGGAACTGGTCTAAGGTAATTTCCATCTCCGCCACAGATGAAAAATTCACCTCAACCCAGGTTCGAACACCCGACCTCCGGATTTTGAGTGTGACAAAAAAACTATATCATCAAGGTCATTAATTTTGTCAGTAGCTCTATGTGAGCCCTAATCTTGAGGATAATATGTGTTAGTAAGACGATAGTTATAAATTCAATGGTAAGACCATTGAGACTATAACAAGTAAAGTAGAGAAAAACAAACAGAGATCATGCGACATACAAGAATTATTGTGAATTCATATTAGAAAATATTTCTAAACGACCAGTTTTGAAAAATCCTATTTCAATTTGTCGTTAATGTTAGATTAATCCCCTCCCGCAGCTTAATATATGACTCAAGTTTTTTTAAGGAACTGTGTTTAGGTATGTTATGCAGTTTCCAATGCCCATAAATTTTAATATGTAATCGGCCACATAAAATTTGATTACGTGACCAGAATAAATAGGAACAATAATCATTTGGGAATTATTTACGTTTTAAGCGTATTGTAATGATCCTAGGAGTCTCCTAAGCCGACACCACAATCGTGATAAACCTCTCGCCAGGAAAGATTGCCGGTCAGAGAACACTTGATCCCGGTCTACAATCTGTGTTTTTCTAAAGATGTGAGCGACTTCCGGGATAGTATCATGTCGTTGTACAAACAGACTTTTCGGTCGCCATTGGCACGATCCTATTCCGGAAGTCGCTCGTATCTTAAGAAAAACATAGATTGCAGATCAACACAAGGCGTGCTGTGACCGGCAATCTTTCCTGGCGAGAGTTCGGTAGTAGTCGGCTAGACCCTAAGGGCCGGATGGCATGTTTAGGTGTTGCGTTGTGTAATACCTACTATATAGGACGGTTTTTTATGTGTTGGGACGTGAGAAATGAGGGGGAAGAATTTTGTGCGTCAGAAAAGACAAGAACATATAAAATATGTTACACGCACAACAAGGCGATACCAGGAAATAACCTTTTATGGACAAAAAAATAACCTAACCCACACAAATAGATAAGAATAAATCAACTACGACACAATAAAATGAAAGAAAAATACACACAAACATCCAAAACCGGACCTATCCAAACAAATTCATTTAAAAAATCAAGCACATGACTTCAAAAATGCAAATGGAAACACGATAATATTATATGAGATACCTACTTACTCCACGGAATATCGTTAGACGATTCATACAAAGAAACATCAAAATATTCAAAAGAGTACCCCTCTTTCTCGTATATGCTAAGTACAACCTACGCTGCCGTCCTCACAGATACACAGGTATTTATTATTTGTCTCATAATCACAATTAGTACCTACATTTAAAATTCTTAGAAAACTTTATGTATTAAAAGATGTCGTTTGAAGAGTTGTTTCTTATTTGTCCCATAATCACAAGTAACACATTTAAAATCCTTAGAAACTTTATGTGTTAAAAGATGTCGTTTGAAGTTGCTTTTATAATTTGTCTCATAATCACAATCAGCACATTTAATATCTTTGGAAACTTTATGTATGAAAAGATGTTGTTTAAAGTTAGCTTTTATAATCTGTCTCATAATCACAATCAGCGCATTTGAAATCTTTAGAAACTTGCTGTGTTAAAAGATCTATTTTGAAAATGTTTTTCTTATTGGTCCCATAATCAGAAGTAGCAGATTTAACATTTTTAGAAACGTTATGTGTCAAAAGATGTTGTTTAAAGTTACTTTTATAGTTTGTCGCATAATCACAATCGGCACATTTAAAATTTTTAGAAACTTGATGTATTAAAAGATGGTGTTTGAAGAGGTGCTTCTTATTGGTCCCATAATCACAACGAGTACATTTAAAATCCTTAGAAACTTTATGTGTTAAAAGATGTTGTTTATAATTGCTTTTATAATTTGTTTCATAATCACAAATACCACATTTAAAATTCTTAGTAAGTTTATGTGTTAAAAGATGCTGTTTAAAGTTGCTTTTATCATTTGTCTCATAATCACAATCACCACATTTAAAATCTTTCGAACCTGCATGTATCAAAAGATGTCGTTTTAAATAGCGTTTAACATTAGTCCCATAATGACAAGTAGCACATTTAAAACCCATAGAAACTTTATGAAAGATGTCGTTTGAAGTTGCTTTTATGATTTGTCTCATAATCACAATTAGCACATTTAAAATCTTTAGAAAAATTAAGTCTTACAAGATGTGGTTTGAAATTGTGCATATTATTGAACTCATAATCATAATCAGCACATTTCAAATCCCTCCAAACTCTATGTTTTGAAAGGTGTCGTTTAAGAGCAGATTTATAATTAGTCCCAAAATCACAATTCGCACATTTCAAATCCTTAGAAGCTTTATGTTTTAGAAGATGTTGTCTGAAGTTGCTCTTATAATTTGTCTCATAATCGCAATTAGCACATTTAAAATCTTTAGACACTGTTTTACAAAGAGTTAAAAAGTGACGATGAAAGCCGGAGTGTTGCTGTACTTCTTCCTTAGAACACTGTGCACAAATGGTAATTTCGTCCTTTATCGTCACCAAAACTTCGTTGCTTACTGAAATTTGTCCATGAAGCAAGGAATGGATTTCTTCTTCTTGTTTTGGTTCGATTTTAATGACTACATTTCCATCCATACCTAAACACAAAAATGTATTGTTAAAAGTCTGTTTTTGTATTGGATGCCAAGGCCAACTTCACATAGGTGAACAGGGTTGCCGGATCAAAGGCCGGATCTAATTGTTGGACTGTTGGACATAAGGAACGGTTGAAATAAAGGCCGGAGGGTTGCATACATACAACCTTTGTTTTATTCATTTTAAACGATGTTATAACCATTGAATTTATAATAAATTCAATGATATAACGTACGCCTGTTAAGCTTTACAATATGGCCAACTTTGACAATTAATTGACATTATTTACGATAAAGTGAAACATAATGGTTATAGGTGTTAATCGTGTAATATAACGAAGTCAAAAGCTAAAAATACGTTGTAATTAGATTCTAGTAGGTATCTATGTATTGAGATGCCCCAACCTTAGCAACGTCCTGTGAATATGATTGTCGATACGAAGCACCCGATACATCATGTTAGTTACACAAGCTGCCAACCGAAATCTGGGGAGATTACAGAAAAGGGAAAGAGAGTGAAGATGAGACGGATGGAATTTCTCGAAAGACCACATATGTTTACCATTTCGAACACCTGCAGTCCAGTTTTTTCCTAGAAATGCGTGAAATGCAGGGAATGGGCGATTTTCGGGTGGTTTTTAGGGGTGTTAGGAGATCAAGTTACCGCGTCGCTTGGGGTAGTCAATAAATACGATTTAACATGTGTGTTCATGGTCTTTTTTCTTGTAACCGGCTTAAGTGTAAAGTACGGCTTATCTTGAAATATTTCGTTATACCTTAATCCTTAATGTGTGCTTTTGTTTTTATATCAGGCGAGGTGTTTGCTTTATTCAATTAATCTATAAATGTGTTTAACTTGAATGCAGATTGTAACCCTTTGCTTATGCACTTACTGAATTCAATCACTTGTACCTCTAACCTTTGTTGGTATTGGCAATCATGTTTCATTGTCGGTAGGGCTGTCTCTGTATTATACATAATTGCATGTGTCCCACTATTTGGGTATCGTGCTTTTTAGTCACTCTCAATTATTGCATTGCATTTTATATAATTGTTTATTTGGGCTGTGAGTAATCAAGAGGGAAGTGTGCTTATTTACAGGGGATCGAGTTATTCAAGTTTATACGGGCCTTGGTGAACCTAACACTAACATTTTCACTCGTTCCGAAACCCAACAACTTTAGCCCACGTCTACAGGCACCCCACTGGGCCTGGGTAATCCTACCGTCCGGCGAGGCATATTTAATATCTCTTAGTTTTGTCTGATGTATGTGTTGTAATACCTGGGGAATGGCTCGATTCCATTTTGGTTAATCATAGCATGTATGTAGTACCGGGTGATTCATTAGAAGTGAGGACAATTTGAATTTCCCGCAAATCAAAAAAATTATGAAGTTGGTACTAACTGATGATCATTTATTTAATTGCAGTGGTGTATCATCATGCTTTCAGTAAATCGTTTTCTTATTTATAATCTACAAATACTGCTTCTGTTTTACCACAAATCATAAACTAACACTAGACACAGTCACGTTTCTTACATATTTTAGTGCATCAGCTCTAAAAATTGTTCAAAATGGAGAAAGTAATAAACCGCAAATGGCACACAACAATTAACGGCGACACTGGTTTCTTAAATGACAGTCATGACAGATAAAAATTACTAACGAAATTCAAACCGTCAATCTAATAATGCAAAAAATACTAAAACCTTACGCGCGAAATTCAAGCGTTCATCACTTCTAATGAATCACCCGGTATTTACCCCGGTTTCGAGAGGACTCAAAAGTGCTGCTGTACATTAGATATTAGCTGTAGACTTTGTTCATCATAGGACTACTCCGAATTAGGTTTTCCTGTAGGTTTCCTAATTCGTAAGTAAATGCCGGAGTCGTATAGAACCACTTAAGGCCCTTAGAACTCAGTTACTACACAACGTAGGTGTCCTACATGACGATCACGATCTTAGTGCACTTGGAGTGGCCCCCGAGTGACAGATTCTCGCGGGTAACTTAAGCGAGAATATTCAAATAGGTACCTATCCATGTTAGTTTGGATTTGAAATTAAGCAACAAATTACTACAAAATGTAAGTGTTCACTACAAACCCAGACCTGGCACTGGGAAACAATTAAATGCACTTGCACACTTGAGAATCCACAATGCACTAAACATCGAATCATATATGCTGTTGGATGTAGTCTTCTAAGGCCTCTTGGGTAACCCACCTCAAAATTGGATTACATAACAGGAATTTGTGCTGTTATAAGATAAAACTGTACATCGGTTGATAAGGAGGAAATGTGGGCAAAGTAATTTGTGACCTCTAACCTTGTGTTGAGGCTTCCGTCATCTACGATATCAACGCCTAAATTTCTTCACGTCCGTAAACATGTTATCATAACAGAATAGTGAATGAAAATTGCGCCAGGCTATCCGCAGTTCTCCTTACGTCCATTTCTCCCAGTCACAGTTCAATGAACACGAGGAGCTGTGCAATTCTAGAAAACTGCTAAACACGTTGCGCAGTGCGTACGACATCGTGTTGATAAGTTGAGAATTGAATTTCGATATCTTACTACGATTATTCAAATTACACAACAGTATCGTCACACTCCTTGCAGATATTAACGTTTAATACAAAAGACACTATGGCCTGACCTCCGTACCCCAGTATCTAAAAACAGCTAAATTTGGGTAATAAGGTCATTATGATGCGTTTCTTCATAGAGTAAACAACGTTATTTACTCTATGGTTTCTTACACTTATATCGCAAAGGGTTATTTTAAAACATTGATAGTAGCGATTTTTTAATCCGCGCGTGTCAAATATTGTGTGTAGTCAATGAGCAAACTGGCTTTTGCAATTTCATCTGTTTATTCAAATTCATCACTTCTCTTGAAAGGTACTTACTTTTGATGGGGAGATTTATATCGTACATACTTTTACACCTATTAATCGTGTGCGCCGATACAGAGGGAAGCGTGGTGAGCTGCAACTAATATTGGATAGACTGCTAAGTAACTTCGATTTTTAGACAAATGGCGAGAAGACAGGATCTAAACCAACCATTTATGAGACTGTAGATTCCGTTGTCAGCTGCTCGGTTTGCCAAATGCGTGAGGTTTAAAGGCATTACCTTTTTCTTTAAATTGCACGTTCTTTTGTAGTGGTTGGTATGGTTCACGCAGCTGCGAAATCAAACCTGCCTTTGTTCCTTGCGGAACTTCAATTTGTAGCCATTTGTAAATTTGTGCAAAACTCAGAGGTATGCAAAGGGATCTTTGATACATTTATACCCCACGTGTTACCGGCTTTCAAGCAAGTTCAAATAGGTAAACTGTTAAACATCTTCCATTTCTCAAATGTGCATATTAGGACCAGAAGAAATTTGCAGTATGCTTATCGAAGAATGTCCGCAAATCACTATACCTTCGCATGAGTGGACAGTTAAACTGCCGAACGTATCTAAGTCACTACCGCAAAAGCGCCATACTTTCCAGAAGGTACCTACACTGAGTACTCACTTAATTTTCTATTAAAATGAAGATTTTAGAGTAGTAAACCCATTAAAGTGTTACAAATAAATGACATTCACCTGGATCTAGAGTATGCTGTTGGGAGTGTAAGTAATTGCGGTGAGCCACACTGTTGCCGCAACTTTTCAACTGAAAGCATTTTTGCAACAAAAATTCCAGCGGGAAGGTACGTATTTGTGACATCTAATAGGCATAGATCAACGCATAAATTTGTAATCGAGTGGAAAATGCTCGCACTTATCTTTGAACTACTAAAAACAAGTATAAATAGTGCACAACTCTCGTGCAGATAAAGCCCATTTTTTAAAACCGAAATAGCTTCGTAAATGGTTGATGCGTTATAAGGTAGTAGCATGCTATGCTATTTAGTTATCGATGTTTTCTTTCTTGTAATAAAGGTGCGTACTCATTTGGAACAAAATGCCCCGAACGAACCAAACGCGCCGCGCGCGCTGAATAGGTTCCGATAAACATTTTGCGGGGGAAATTTGTGCTCTTTGTAGAGTTTGCGGTATTTTCTGCGTTCCCATCAAATCTGGAAAATGTTTGGCGCATTCTATTCTGTTTGTGTCAACGTATTGACGACAAATTTGTTGCAGCGCGCGCGGCACGTTTGGTTCATTGGAGGCTTTTTGTTGCAAGTGAATAGGTACACACCTTAAAGTAGGGAAGCTAGCTCGAAATCCACTGAACGAGAGTGATCAAAATTTTAACCGGTGGAGTTCTACCTTGGCCTAACCTACTTGCGGTACCAATTTGAAATAGTTGTTTTTTTGAGAAAATAAGTTATACATTAAATGAAAACTTTGATAAGAGCTCTTAAAAAAATATTAAAAGAAATCGCGAACATTTGATAACTCCGTAAAAAACAATTTCATTTTTCATGAATTTTCTACGGATATAACTAGGTAACGGTTGTATGAATGAAGTTGATTGTCTGTACAGACTATTAGTAGGTATGTACAATTGACTTGACGGTTTTTCTTTTTTAAATTTTTTCTCTAATATTATATGATTATTTTATTTTCTTGTTATTATAAGATATCTTATAATTAGAGAAAAAATTGAAAAAAGAAATACTGTCCTAGTCATTGGCAGTACCTACCATTAGTCTGTAAAAAAAGCAGCTTCATTCATCCAACTGTAACCTAGATATATGTCTGTAGAAAGTTCGTGAAAAAACCGACCAAGAATTGTTTTTTACGGAGTTATCAAATGTTCACGATTTTTTAAAACATTTTTTAAGAGCTATTATCAACATTTTCTTTTGGTGTATAACCAAAGAGTAAGGGTACTCTTTGGTATAACTTATATCTTCTCAAAAAACAACCATTTTAAATTGTGTACCGCAAGAAGTAGCGCATCAGCGCCTTAAGTCAACCTGAGGCAGCAGACGGTCGATTTTAGCATATTCGGATAGGCCAAAGTAGAACTCCATCGGTTAAAATTTTGATCACTCTCGTTCAGTGGATCTCAAGCTAGCTCCTCTACTATTAGATGATTAATGAGGAGACTTCACCAACAGATATGTCTCCTCTAGACAATGCATTTTGCATTTGTGGGTAGATGTATTTCTTCCAGATGTCCCAATCGCCCTTTGTGAGTACCATCCTCCTACAATCTGTTTTTGAGATACAAGCAATTATTTATATCCGATCGCGATAAGCAGTTGAGGAGGAGGCTATGGTTGGTACAAATAAATTCTATTTGTTTAGACCTTTCATTAGACTACCATGAAGGGAAAAACCAGCCCCCCCCCCATCCTCTCTTTTGATTAGGAGTCTGAAAGTAGGGCGATAGTTGGTAGGAAACAGTTCCATTTGCTTGCTGAGACCTTTAATTAGAATCCCACCGACTCTCTACTTATCTTTAGAAAGGAGTCGTGCAGGAAAGTTATAGTCTGTACAAACCAATACCTTTTATTAGAATACCATGAAGGGTAGAAACGAGCGTTTGTCCCCCCCCCTCCATTTTCAAAAATATTGTACTTGTCACCACTAAAGGCATGCGTATGCAAATTTTAGACAAGTAGTTGGTTGTCGTATGTAAATGTTATGCACGTTTTACATTCACAAACAGCACCTCAGGAAGTAATTCAGGGGTGGGGTTGGGGTGTGGGCTTAAGAAAGCGAAATTTGATGGCCGTCTAGCACACCTTCAAGATATAGTCTACGTATTGCAAACAATTCCAGGACTCTAGAACCATTCCCCTAAATGTAGTTCAAAACCGCAGCAGTTGGTCCGCACGGACGGACCGACAAAACGCAAACAATAGCAGAATTTTTTAATTCTTGAAAGCCCCCATTTTAATTATCCCCAACGTAACCTTTTTCACTAACCACCTGTGGAATTTAAATGTACAGTACATAGTAACGTAACTCATAATCCCACACGAACGACATTGTAACTAATGGATAACATCTACATACGCCCTCTAAATTCATAAAAATCCATCCGGCCGTTTAGGAGTTCCATCACAAAACATACATACCTACAGAAGAATTTTATATACTTACAGTGAATTTTTTTAAATGCGAACATAGGTGTTTGCATGCAATGTAATTTCCCTATGTTCGTTTTAAAAAAAAACACATCAATCTATTGAGTAGTTCAAATGAGTAGTAGATACAATTGACAGCTGTCACATTTTTAAAAATACCGCCGTCCAATTTAATTACGAAGTCGGTTAGGTTATTGCTTAGAATGTCAAGGAGGACACTTCGAACATTTATTGTAATTGTTTTCGGTATTTATTTTCTTATTTTCTTCATTTATGTATTGAATAGATCAAATTAGTAGAATGCTAGGGGCACATGACCTACAAATAATTGAAGGTTGGTTCACAATGAGTTGTGGTGTCAGTGCGTGGCCTGTGAGGTCAAGTTTTCGTAAGTTTAAGAAAAATGTATCCTAAAGTTGCTATGCCCTCACATGGCTTCTTTAAAAAAATCTTACCGAGTGCTCTTCATCATAAAGACTATTAGAGTTGCTGTTCAGTTCATAGTCACACAAGTTGCGCGATTTGGGAATGTGAATCGCGCACACCTCATAGATTGATGTGTTTTTTTTTTAATCGAACATAGGGAAATTACATTGCATGCAAACTCCTATGTTCGAATTTAAAAAAAACTCACTGTATATAAAGATTATAAATTAAACGAATACGATTACGCTTATATGATATTATGTAGTTAAGTAGTTTTGTCAATTTATCAACAATATCTGATACTTTTATCAACTACAATAATTATAAAATAAACAAAAAGGCGATCAAAAAGGTAAAGTAATATCAATTTGTTTTGGACCAATTATTATGTGTCTAATGAGCTCGATGAGTTGGACTGGGTCAAGCATAGAGTGACGCGGTGACCCGGTGACCCAGTGACCCAGCTTGACCCGGTGACCCAGTTTGACCCAGTTTGACCCTGTAGGACAGCAATTATTAAATATTAAAGCAAACATCACATTCGATCAAACTAGGTTATGGGTCAAATTGGGTCCCCGGGTGGAATTGGGTCGCTGGGTGAAACTGAGTCAAACCGGGTCACTGGGTCAAACTGGGTCACTGGGCCAAACTGGATCACTGGGTCTAACTGAAGAGAGTATGACGTGACCCAGCGACCCAGTGATCCAGTTTAATTCAGTGACCCAGGTGACCCAGTTGAACCAGTGACCCAGTCCAACTCTGAATTAATGACTACACGTTTCTGTTAATGAGGTCAAAACTTCTATCGCGAATATCTCGAGGACGGAATCTTGATAGTCAGTACTCAAGCGAAAGTGATTGATAGGTCTTCCTGAGACATACAACGATAACACATTCGACCTGATCTGATAAAAATTGTAACAGAGTATTTGGGAGTGTACTCACAAAGGGGAAGGGGAATCCGCTTCTCTTTATTTTTACTATTGTCATTTTGAATTTCCATTTACGGATAACATTTCATAGAAAAATCTCCTCCTGAAAATCGTATGCGATTCTATATATATCTTGTTATATCTTGTGTTTACCTACTTTTTCAAGGAACCTTGATTGGGATTGGTTGTCTTAACTCATCTAAAACAGTAAGTTGGCAATAGCGCAATTTAAAAAAAAAGAAGAAAAAGGATTTCGCCTTAATGCGAGTCACTTTAGCGCATTTTTCATGAATTGATCAGAACTTTCGGAAAGATCATGTATTGCTGGCCCATGTGGCGCAGTTCAGTTGAAGCTGAACTGTGGTGCTAAGGGTCCCTGGTTCGAATACGGGTTCGGGCATGGATATTTGTAAATGTATAGTGGGTGGGGTTGGTAGAACAGCCTTGGCTGAAACCCCGGCCACTCAAAAATAAAGGTAAAATAAATAAAAATAAATAAATAAAAATGTAACGGACTATTTATGTGCGCAAAGGAAAATAAATGATGGCATACATATTCTTAAAAATAATAAATTTAGCATTGAGCAGCCTCCGCATGCACACATCTAATTATTACAACATGCGATATGCTTGTCTTTCCTAGAAGCATCTGTGGTTAAAATTTGAAAAACAGATCACCATAAGCGTTCCATAAGTAAGAAAGTTGACATTGCGCACCCTGCGCATGCGCATACTAATCGTCACGCCTTTAATTGATTGAGGTGCAAGAGCTACGCTACGCTACCGAAAACGAAATCTTGAAAACTGTAAGAGTAGTTAAGACCTCGAACGGACGGACGGACCGACAGAGTCGCCATTTGAATATTTTATATTCAAAGCTGACAGTTAATCAACCAAATCGACTTAGTCAATAACTCGTAATTTTGAAAAATGTTCTAAAACAAGAATTAAGTACATTAGTATGATCTTTGTCTATATTAACTTCTTGACTTTAAATATTACAGATGGGGAGATTATCGATGTGATATACCGCTGGAAACGTTAGAATACTTCCTTGAATCTATTGCAAAACAACATCCGGTAAGTTGCTTATATTCTATAAGGGGGTGATTCCTATAGTACCTGCCACCGTTTGGGAGCGTGTAGGTGGTGCGTAGGGGAGTATTTTGATATAGGACACTTGGGGTCGGAAATCTAAAATAAGGGTGCCAGAGCCAAATTTACCTTCTGGAATTTCGCGCCTGTAGGTAGGCAACCCAACCGGCCGGCGGTGCACACGGAGCGATCTCAGGCGGCGATGTGTGGCTGACACTTGATCAGAATTTTGTTTAAACCCACGAAATCCCGTCTGCAACGACGCGTATCAAGTGAATAAACACTATGGCAATAGTATAATAATAGTTGGCTAGATGTAGGAAGTGCATTGAGAACAACGGTGGCCACGTTGAACACTTGTAAACGTTATTGCTTTTGACTGTCGTTTTCCCTCCTTCCCTCCCATGTCGCTTCCTCGCGCTAACTCGCTCTGCATCGCTCCGCGCGAAACGTCGGTCGGTTGGGTTGCCTACATACAGGCGTGAAATTCCAGAAGATAAATTTGGTTCTGGCGCCCTTATTTTAGATTTCCGACCCCAAGTGTCCTATATCAAAATACTCCCCTAGGCACCCCCTATACGCTCCCAAACGGTGGCAGGTACTATAGGAATCACCCTGTATACAAACTTAGTATAATTTTTCACTACATGGCGATATGGGTACAAAAAACTACAGTAACTCGATAGAAACATACAGTGTGGTCACACAATGGTGTTGGTCGTTTGAGATCCACCATGTTTGAACCATATCAGGGGTTGGAACCGGAACCGGAAAGAGCTGGTACCGGACCGGAACATTTTGCGTAAGATAAAAAAAGCTTTTATTTTAAGTGTAAACTTTGCCGTGCTGCGATTCGGACAACATGATTAACAAGCTCCTAGCGAGTTTATAATTTCGAGGTGTCTGTCCGTCAGACAGACGGGCGCTGTCTGTCCGTTAGCACCATATCACGATAACGAATGTACCGATTGCGATAAAATTTTACAGGTGTATTTTTTATCAAATTTGTAGATAGGAGTTCGTGAATTGGCAATGTAGACCAAAAAATAAGGAAGGCCCTTTTGACATCTCCGTTAGTTATAAACCGAATTGTTTGAAAGTCAATATGGCCATAGTCTTAACCATATAATACGCAATACCAAAAGTTGAGCCTAATCAATTCAACATTCACTGTGCCCTTTTCGCATCTTGGCCATTTATGAGTCGAATTGCAAACTTTCTTATTTGTCAATGAAATTTCATAAATTTGCACTTGGACTAAAAGCAAATAACGGCAGTTTCACAATTTAGTTCTGCGCATGCGCAGTGCTAACTTTCTTATTTATGGAAGCGTTTAAATGAAATTTGATACATATGCAATTGGAATAAAACCAAATCTAACTCCATGTTCAAACTTTCGTTTTGCGGATGCTATAGTATAGACATACCCAGTAACTATCGTTAGAGTCGGTAGAAATGTACTGGGGAAAGACTGCATCAGTCAAAAGTAGTGGATCGTAAAATAACGATTTATAAGTTACATAAAAAACTGTTATATTACGCGTAACCTACAAGAGGTCGTTTTTTTATGTAATTTATGCCTTTTATGAAATTTACGTAACTTACGTTTTTTTACTTAAAAAACCGTAATTTTTGTACCTATTTGATACATTTTGATCGGTACTACCACAGACCATCAACGGTACTACCAACGTACACGATTCACCGTTGAATCTAGTTTGGTTTAATGAAGATGATACAGCATCTAATTCGCGATCTGGAACCTCTTCTTCCAAACGACGCGTGTTGGCGAAATATCTACTACTTGGGTATTTTATTTAATACACCAAGATATATAATTTAACAAGTGTTTTTGTTTTCAAACACTAACAAAATTCAAAAAGGTTTATGGAATATAAAAAAAAAACATAAAAAACATAAATGACAGGTAATTTTACAAAAATAATTGTAAATTACGTAAAAACATAAATTACTGGTAATTTTACTGTAAAATTGCGTTTTTTTAAAAAAAAAATGTTAAGTTACATAAATTACATAAAATACCATAAAAACATAACAATTGGTAATTTCAGTGTGCGTTTACAATGAACGTATACGTAAGAAATACATAAAACGTAAAAATTGTTTCAAAGTTACGTACGGTAAAATATCATACTACTTGTAGTATGATCTTTGGTTTATTGCAAACAGCCAAGTAAATTTACGGAAACCATACGGATATGTACGAGTTACGGTTTATGATATATTTACGTATACGTTCATTGTAAACGCACACTTACACGTCATATTACGCACTTAAAAAAAACGTGTAATTTCACATCACTAGTCAAAAGTCTCCCTTTTGTTCAGAGTGCCAATTTAGAATTTTGCTGAAAACGCCGAACCGGAACCCATGCTGGAACCCTTAAAAATAATTCTATCTAAGTAGTGCGAAACCGGAACTTATATTTCATATGGATTCCAACCCCTGAAGCAAATATACCTAAGTGGTAGAAAGTATAACTTGTAAACCAAGCTGATGAACTCATCTTGGAAACAATTGTGGTAATGATATTGCAACAATAGCAAAATCTACCCATTCGGTTAAACCAGTCAGTTTCTGGGTGGTAAGTAATTTGTAATGGTCACCTACTTTTCTCAGGTTAGTCGTGTGGCGCGATGTATAAAATTCTTCTTGAAAACTTCGTGTTTTTCTCCTTTCGTTTTCAGTACGTTACCTACCTTCCACACTTTACTTCCCACGGTAGCTCAGATAAAAAGAGGTTAAGAAGATGAAGTAGTTGAATAGCTTTTTGGTTCAATGATAATCTTATTACACTTATTTTTCTGTTTTTCTGCTTTTAATTGTTACTCTACTAATTTTGCGTATACTCATTATTTACAATTTGGTTCTAAAACAACTAGACCGTACCCCGAAATCATTTACCAAAATGCGTCTATTAGCACCTAGTACGAATCTCTGTTTTCGCTTCGTGTGCCAGACTTCCAATTAAGCTACATTTTGTCCCACACTTCCACCTCATGATACATTTTTACATATACACAAATTTTCCCCAGACCAGAAGTAAAAATCAATTACTTTAAATTGACAATTCAACTCATGTATAAAAAATCGCATAAGCCGCAGTGAAATTGTCACTTTGACAGCGGCAAAAGTTACCTGCAACTTTTCCAGCGACAAATGCACTAGTGGTTTTTTCACTTATTCATTTTCGAACCAATTATCGCATTATCCTTTCCCATATGACTAGTTTGACGTCTGTCAGTAATTGATTAGTTATGTGAATTTCTTGTTCGTTAAATTGTCCTGCCGAATTACACTCGAGGTTGTATTTAAACCGAGTAAATTTGTGTTGTTGCAATTCAAATCTGTTGCCTTTTAGCAATTGAACTCGAAAAACTGTCAACCTAAAAATGCTCCACCTGCGGTGTCGCATTTTTATTAGTTGACAGTTTTTCTCGTCTAATTGCTAGGCAACAGATTTTCATTACCTAAACAACCCAAATTTACTCGGTAAAATACAAACCTCTTGTGCAATTATAAGTGAAAAAAACGTAGCCCGTTACAAAACTCAGTTGTAAATCAGACGATTAGGGACCTCTCACCTCAATGCATTCGAAAGGCAGCGACTTTGAAGGATGGCAAATTTGCAAAACTTCTTACACTTGAACAGAGGTCGAATGGTCTTTGTCATCCTGCGGATTATGGGTCTACAAACTAAATAATTTTTGATTTAACAAACTACCCTTGCTTTTGAACCGTTAGCCTAGGGAATGCAATCCCGCAGCAAAATCTCAATCCCGGTATTTGCGGGATTGTTAGATGTTAATCCCGCGGGATCCCGGTATTAATCTTTAAATAAATTGACAAATAAGCAATTCTGTGCGATTAACTTCTGTATTAAAATAAATCGCTAATTATCACAATATTTAACAAAAAAGTACCTTCAGCCTAACTTTGAGCTCAAAAAACCTCACCTGTAAAGCACAAAAATGTGAACTTCTAAAGGGCCTCAAAAATCATAGTACATTTTTAACGAAAAAATATTTAAAAAATAACTTCTCCGTTTTGCGTTTCATTACCAAAGTAAACAGAGTCGACCCTTGGTCGACAAATTCCTTAAATCCCGCGGATCCCGCTTCATTTATGTGCGGGATTAATCCCGCAAAAATGCTGCGGGATCTCAGTATTTCGGGATCCCGCGATCCCGGTATTGCATTCCCTACGTGAGCCTGAAAGGATATCCTTGCAATTAATTTCGCAGTCTACCACCTGACGGTTAATTTTCAAGGGTACTACTGGATGTAATTTCTCGAAGAATCGGCCCAAAAACTACTACAGTCATAGTCCACTGTTTATGCCTAATATGGTTGGCACCCATTATGAGAGTTTCTTTTTCATTGAATAGTAACCTTTTTATGTTTTAGGATATCGCCTACATTATGTGGTTGGGTGATATTGTGCCTCGTGATATTTGGAGGCAAACAAAATTGAGACAGATAGTTCCGCATAGGCGAGGAATTTCTGTTTTGAAGCGTATTTTCCCAAACATGTTGATCTTACCAACCATTGGAAACCATGATACCGCACCAGATGGATGGTAAGACCATGCATTTTAAATTGTGCTTCCTTTTTACAATAGTAAAAGGTTTATGTCTTCAGCTATCCCCCACCATGGGTAAGTGACCCTAAATTTTCTATTTCGTGGTTATCTAAGAAACTGGTGAAATTTTGGATGGATTGGATACCTTCGTCACAAAAACGAAACGTGTTGCATGGCGCATACTACAGCATCCATCCCCGGCCTGGTCTCAGGGTACTCTCTTTGAATACCAATTATTGTCACTGTCGGAATTGGTACGAAACTAAACCGGCCTAGTGTTTCATTTTGGTATTTGTGAAATTGTAGGTGGCTTTACATAAACAGTATTGATCCAGCCGAACAACTCGAATGGTTAGTAAATGAGCTGCATAAGGCGGAGATAAGTGGAGAAAGAGTACACATTATAGGTATTGTGGTGCTGGTGCGATCAATGACATTTCTCAGGTAATCTTTGAACTAGGTCACATGCCACCCGGAGATAAGGATTGCTTACGAGTGTGGTCGAGGAACTACTATGACATTGTAACCAGATACGAAAATATTATTACAGCCCAGTTCTTCGGTCACACTCATACTGATGGATTTCAAGTATTCTACGACAGCAAAAATCACAGTAATTATAGAGACTAGTGTGAATTGTACATAAAAAAACAGGATTATTTAGGTCGCCCGGTGAATGTAGCGTACATTGGATCATCCGTAACGCCCTCTGATAACGTAAACCCAAGTTACAGGATCTATTACTTTGATGGTGGCGATAGTGGCAGCTCATGGGTAACTATCCCTCCTATCTCCTTCACGCCCTTTAAACACTTTGATGTAGAAAGTAATGGATTACGAAACTTGGACCCTCGATTTGGATAAGGCGAATAGGAATCCACAACACTCTCCAGAGGTATTCAAGCTGTATTCGGCGAAAGAGGCTTACGGCCTGGAAAACTTAGATCCTACGGAATGGAGCAATTTAATTTATCGAATGCAAGAGGATCCTGAACTTTTCGAGAAGTTCTATAGGTATTATAATGTCGTATCGCTTATCGAAGTAACTAACGTTGTTTAAATTTAGGAACCATTTCACAGATAGTCCAATGCGCGAAACTTACGACGCAAGAGACAAAATGCGACTATTATGCGAGTTAAAATCAGCAAAAAGTAGAGTCGGTTATTTATGAGTTTTGTGACGATCTCGCTACATAAGTATGTAGATTAGGTATAAGTGGAAAATTTACGTTAATAGGAAATTAAATTATTACTCGATATAATATCTTGCAAGGCCAACTTGGCTAATAGCCGAACCAGAATAAAACATCACAAATAAATTTATTTGCACTACCAATTTCCTTCATTTGCCGGAACCTACTACAACCGTCAAGTCGACTGACTAGGCTAGGTTGCCGAATCAAGTAACCCCCCCCCCCCCCCCCCCGAATAAACAAGCAGAGGATTAGACCAGGTATATAGCGCATTCAAAACTTTTCGAGTCGTCATTTGAACAGACTTGGAAACCATCGAGAAGTTCTCAATGGGAAAGTGTAGGAAGGCTAGCGAAAACTTAAAAGCAATATATCCGTCGATAGGGTCAAAACTTAAAATCCCTATATCGCGAAAATGGAGTGCCGAAAGAGGACAATCTATAAGCGAAAATGAAAAGTCTGGTCGAGATTATCTGTCGATGAGGTTTTAACTTCAAATCCGGATATCTTTAACGGAGTGTCGCTAGAGGGTACTGTCAAAGGGAATATGGAAGGTCTGGACGACACGTATCTGTGGGTGAGGTCAAAATTTTAAATCCGAATATCTTGAAAACCGACGAAACTGATAAACTCCAAAAAATCGCCAATTAAAAATGAAAGTTTCTTACAAATAAATGCGTAGATTGTGTTGGGTGCAGAATTTAGCCGCCTTTAATATACCTTCTTTATTTTGTTTATTATGTATACATACATTATGGTAGCGAACGGAATGATAAGAATAAAATACTTTCCCAGTTCCTATAAGTTGTTTGTTTTCCTCTTTCAGTTATCCATGAACGCTTATTGTTTGGTCAGTTTGGAAAAAAAATTATTCCGCTACAGTAGTTTCAAGAAAGCATTTCTGACACATGTGATTCAAGTGCAAAGAAAATTGAATTGTAATTTCACACTACTGACGACTCTCATATATACAGGGTGTTTCTAAATACATATTATGTATATACGAAAGGGGCTAATTCTTTGACTTATTTTATGACTAAAAGTTCATATAAAGATAGACACGCAAACGCTTCGTTCCCGAACCACAGGGTGTTATAATTTTACACTGTACAAAGTATACACTCTACAATCTAATCCTTTAGTTTATAAACATGTAAGATACAATTTTTACAATCTAACAGCACCTCACCGAAACACAGTTCAGGGGTAGCAAATGGAACATGACTCCTGAAAAAACATCACCCTGTAGTTTCTCATTACCATTGACAAGATTCAATTCGATTCTCCTCTTTTATATGTAAGAATATGTGAACCAAATTTGGTTAAAATCGGTTCAACCGTTTCGCCGGAAATGATAGTACAGACCGATTGACAGACATACAGACCGATAGACCTACAAACCGACCGACATCATCAAGATTTTGTTAAATTTGGATTATTGGTGCTTCAAGACATATAGGTATTTCCGTCAAAAAAATGGGGGGTCATTTTTTATCCCAATGTTACGTGCGGGTCGCAGAAATGGGAGGCGCAAATTTTTGGAACATTTGGCAGCCCAAACGAAGCATTTTGGTAAGTTTAATTGGAAAACGTTCTTGTGTTTTGTACCGACCGATCTTTTAACGGACTTAATTGTTACACTTCACATATACGAGGTGGACTCAATAATTAACGAGACAAATTACTACTGCTGGAAAACGCCTGAATTGATCCACATGGAACTTTCAGGACGTAAAGTTGGCAACCTTGCGATGACATGTGATCAGCTGTTCGATCATATTATGTAAACATAACCTCAAATTTATTCAGTTAACGATGGCGAGTTCGATCAAGATTTGCACTGTGGAAGAACAACGTGCCGTGATCAGATTTTTAGTTGCGGAAGGCGAGTAAAATGTACGAAATAATTTGAAAAGCCTACGGAGATAATTGTTTGAGTCGTTCGAACGTTTATAAGTAGGTAGAACAGTTTCAAATTGGCTGTACAAAAGTTTCTGACGAGCAACGCTCTGGACGACCGGTCAAAGACGGGACTTCCTCTCTTCAATCTCGGGTTGACGCGACAATCCGAGACAATAGGCGTACCACTGTCCATAACATTATTCACAATAAGTTGCAGTACAAGAAAACATGTGCGAGGTGGGTGCCCAGACAACTCACGGATGTTCACAAAGAAACCCAGCTTCGAATCAGTCAAAGGCGAAAAACCGGTATTCGATTGAAGGAGAATGTTTTTTTAAATGAATTACGGGTGATTAAACGTGGATCCATCACTGTGAACCAGAGTCAAAACGACCGAGCCTTGAGTGGAGGCATACGACTTCTAAGGGCCCAGCCATCAGAATGTTATGCCAAATTAGCAGAAAGATAGAACAAGTGTAGGTATAAGTGCTGCTGGGGGCTATGTATTTAGTGACCCTCATAGTTTTCACACTAAATTCAGTTACTGGAACCTGCTACGGGGGTTCCTTCTGGACTTGAAAATTACCATCGGTTCCGCCCGGCAAGGCAAACCGTCTTCTTCTTAGGCTGCTCAATCGATAAAAATAAATGCTCCGGCTAACTCAAATCGGTGGGCTTTTAACTCTTTTGAAACTGTGTAACAAACCTTGACCTGCCGCCTACCAATCTCCTGCCTCAACTCCTACTCCTCCCTTTCCTTCCCCTCGTTCTTCGTTAAAGACAGGCACATTGAAACCAAATAGATAATATATTGAAATGAGATTAGCGATACAAACAATTTACAGGGATCTAGCAGTTCTTCTCTTCTCCTTGTAAAAACACTAGCTTAACAATGACAACTAAACTAAATAAAAAATCCTAACAGGTGAGACTAATTTACTCAAGGGGTGGCCATCCTCTACAGTTTGAAAATTGCAACAACAGGTCATCGTTTTTTAATCCAGCGTGGGCTGGGACTTATTTAAATAAACACAAAAATTTATCCTACTCTTTGGCAATCGTTCATTGGACTTTAATAAACAATCAAATCAAAATTTTTTTTACTATAGCTTAATTACCAAAAAGTGGAATTTCACAGAATGTTACAAATTTAATTAGACTAACCTTTACAACATTTGTACAGCCGATCTTGTGAACTGCTCTTTCCTCTGGTACAGGGTGGATGTGATGAAACCTGACACTTAGGTCTCTGTGACTTCCTAGGGGGTGGCTTGAATTTAACACACGGAAACAAAAATCCACGGTGCCTATCCTTCCTCGGAACGAAAGCAAAGTTTAGCGTTTGAACTGAAACTTAGGCCAGGAAATCCTTCGCGTGGCGAGTGGGAGACGGCTAGTTGCCAAAGTTTCTACCCAGCACGTGTATTTAATTTTATTTTATTAGTTTATTAGCTTTAACCGCCTGCGGGAGACGGATTTTTGAGTTAGCGGTACGGCAGAACACAAACTTTTATGATCACTATCCGACGGTAAACCGCGATGGTTCAAAGTATTATTTCACCAGCTCTTCTTGGGGCAAATATCTCTCCGAAACGCAGCGCTCCTTCGACAAATGACCTTACGGCACTAGTAGGAAATTCCACCTGGGGCGGATCCCGAAATTCTGCGCCTTGAGGACTAGGGCAGCACTTTGAATTATGTATCCTCGAGAAATCACAACGTATCCTAACGCGATTCACTGCATCCAAAGTAAACTGGGGTGAAGCTCAAGGGTTCGCCCAAATATCACCTGATTGGAACCTGGGTCTTCTTCGCCAAAAAATCAACACGAAAAGAAAATAACACTTCGGAACGGGTGCAAAAAGCACGCAACTGGGAGCAACCGAAATAAGCCGGTGGCTCAAACCGCCAAGGGTACCAAAAATCGCTCAAGGTACGTGTTGACCGCTTGACGTACTAACTGCGAGTCTCCAAAACGATCCCCTTCTTCAGAATTGAAATGAAAAAACCACACCCAAATTACCATAAAACAAAAATGGCTCCCGCTAGAAATTCTCCCATTGGTTTAGATAAAGAAGACTTAACCCACTCTAACTTCGTCGTCAACCTCAAGGAACTGCTGACTAAACTGATCTCACGGTTTTCTGCTGATGACGTGAAAACTCCTTATCTCTTGACGGCTCGGTGCTACATCCGCTCCTATTCTCGGTCCAGACGGCGCCAAAGTTGATAAACGAACGACAAAAAACTCGCATTACTCATGATGACGTCAATCAGCTTTGCACTCTTCCCACGACGAAATTAAATCTGAGCGAAATTAAATCTATCGGACCATAGTCTTGAGCGAACCGAAATGCCCAAACACAAAATTTCTAACCGGAACAAATAATGAAATATACAGGGTGACCTGCACTGTCATGACAAGGAATTTCGAATTTTTCAATGAAATTTGGCGCGAAATAAAACCACTCGTTACAAACCAAATCGAACGGACCAATACGGCGAGATTTGAGCAGCGAATCTTAATAGGATAAGTAGTTCAATGGTAGAGCGTTGGGCTATAAAGCCGGAAGTCGGGTGTTGGAACCTGGGCTGAGGTATAAGAATTTTTCATCTGTGACAGAGCTGATGGGAATTTCCTTAGACCAGTTTCGAGCATTCTGCCGGTTACTCCGAATTTGGTTTTCCTGCAGTATTGCTATTTCGTAAGGTAAATACCGGAGTAGTATATAGAACAACGTAAGACCTTCTGCAGAGGCACCTCTAAAAAGCATTATGCGGGCGCAAGCCTGTTGAGGACAACAAGAGAGGGATAATAAATAAATAAATAAATACATAAATAAATAAATAAATAAATAAGAGTGTGAAGCTTTCTGGTTGAGTAATTTTTTTTCCTACGTAACTCCTCCTTTCAGTGATAACTTTTTTTTCACTTCTTCCTATCACCATTTTAATTTCTTTCTATTTTAAATTTCCGCAACGTTTCAGGGTTCTGGGTACCTCTCATCTAGGTGCTTTAAATCCCGCCGTTTTCGACATCCTTGAACGATCATCGAACAGAACCTTGTGTATTGTCGCTACGGTGTCCTAGAGAAACGAGGAAGTTAGGTACACTTCACGGGCGAATTTAATGGGCTCAACTGCGGAGTTCAAATTACTGTAGGTATTCCGAAAGCTTTGAAACTTACCGCGGAATTATGTAACGCCTGAACAGTTAGTACGGAAAACAGGAATCACTATTCACTATACCTATCTTGTCCGTCGTGACTGCACCTATTCAAAATGATTTTCCATTTAAGAACAAATATGTAGGTAACAATGCCTGTAAAATGGTATTAACTTAGCACCTAGCAAAGCAAAACACAGAAATCATTGAGTAATTAAATCCTTCACTCAACCATTGAATAAAAAAATTCAATGACTCAACGCAGAAATGGTCTAATCTGCGTTCAAGATCACGACAAAGCCTCAGCATACTAATAAGTATGCCGCCGCGTTACTTTCCTTTTAATAGAACCGTTGCTCCCTCTCTTCAGACAAATAAAATAAATGCTTCTTCATGCACTACAATACCCTCCAGTTATCACTGTGTTATTATTACTATCATACATTTTGCGACGGCACTAATTATTAGGTACCTAGTCTAATTGGGAGTTTTGCAAATTGCGTCAAAACTCGTTAATTATTAGGTACCTTATTATAACTTTCGGAACTTTCATTTCCTTTCTTGTCTTTACGTGTGAGGATGAAAGTAATAGTTTTAGCAACGTTATTGTGTTCGGTAACCGGAAGCTTGGTACCTATTTTTGAATTTTTTACTTCAATTAGGCAACCCCAATTTTTTAGGAGATTATCTTCAAGCGGGTGGAGTCCAGTATCAGTTGCGGCGTATGCGAGTTGTGTAAGTAGCGAGTGTACCCTGCGGTTAATGTTGTCTATTTCTTATTATTCACAGTGGTTAACATCTTTTATACAGCTGCCAAGAAAAATGAACCTATGTCCTTCGTCAAGCTCAAATTCGTACCACTATGTAGAGTTGCCCAAAATTCGATTGTCTGCAACGGAATATTTGACACATTTGCACCAGACATTCTAGAAGCCTTCCAATATGTCCAAATCAGTAAGTTACAAATTACAGATTTATTCTCTTTAGAAATACCACCACTTAGGTCCCACTGAAATTTGTAGTATGCTTATGGAAGCTTGTCCACAAATGAGAATTCCAGAACACGAGTGGACGGTAAACCTTACAAGCGTACCAAAACCACGAGTGCAAGAGAAACTGCGATCGAAGGTATAAATGTCACATTATCACACGCACGCGAATAAAATATTTTAAGGCGAATAACGTGATCAAGATTCTACAAATTAATGATATCCACCTCGATACGGATTATGCTGTGGGAAGTACAAGCAATTGTCAGGAGCCACTTTGTTGTCGCAATTTGTCCACTAACAAACTCTTGGCACGAAATATTCCTGCCGAAAGGTAATTAAAATTGTTTAATTAATTCTATCTATTTATTTATTTATTCATTTACTTATTTATTTTTTTTTGTTAAATAAACGTTTAATGAAAATAGTAGAACAGCAATAAATTACATATAAGAACGGGGTTTTAAAACATAATAAATTTCGTCAAAAGAATTACAAAAAAAGGTAAAGTTCCTAAAATACATTCGGCATTGCCTTTTCGAATTTCTAAACTGATTAGTTGGTAAATAAACTGGGTTGAGCGGGACTCTCCAGTTTTTTGCCTGAGTCTTTTACCAATTGCCGCTGTCATGATTTTGGTTTCATTTCCCCACGGACCCATGGTTTCTAGTGCGAATCCATAGATTTGTTTTCATTAACAGGTGTTTCCGTTAAAATGTCGGTCAGATCGGTCCCCGAATAAGAAATTAACCTTTGCGCATTCTCTCGCGTGCAGTTTTTCACAAGTTTAATATAATCCAGCCTTTACTGAAAGGTGCTACTGTTAACATTTTAGTAAAATCGGTCCACAAACAATAAAATTGCTTCTGTGCATGCGCGCAAAGTTTTTCATATATTTATTATAGTCAATCGATTTGCCTCTATTAAAAGGTGCTACTGTAAAAATTTCAGCAAGATCGGTTTATAAATAAGAAAGTCACAACTACGCATGCGCAGAAGGATATTCCCTGCCGGTCTAAAACTTAATAGGTGTCTTCTCCAACCAGCAAGTAACGTTTGGAAACATTTACGCAATTTGTCCCTGTAAAATTTGAGCTATCGTGATAAAAAACCGGACAACAACTACAACAACGGACTTTTTTCTGAGACGAAAACAATACTTTACCTACCCATATATGGGCGTGGAAACGTAATAATACCTGTACTTACCTGTAAAGGGCCCTACAGAAGGACGTTTTTGTACGCGGTTATGTACGTGTATTCAAAAACGCACATACAAAACCGTGCACTACCACTGCCTACAGACGCATTACAATTTCGTAGTATTTTGAGCGATGTATAAGGAAGTGATTGCTTTAGCACTGGAAGCAGTGGCGTGCATTGCTGTGCTTCAAACGAAGACGAACAAAATAATTCAACAAATTCCCTCAGAAACTCGCTGGATCAGACATTTACTATTTCGTGATCACGTGTCCATGCTAAATTTGATACTTATCTAAACTGTTATTTTTCTATACGTAATAAAAACCGAAGGAATAACATCCCTGAAATTAAATACAAAATTCCCAATCAATGAACAAAATAACCCAAATCCTTTGTTTGGATTCGATTGTTATGAATAAATACAAAATCTGTCCCATAATTTTCACGGGTCGATTCCTTTAAGAATGTCAAAATTTCTTCAAATAAAACTTATTCTGTAAATTCCGAAAAATAATCGACCACTACTTTACACAAATGAAAAATTTGACGTTGGTAATATTGCCACTCCCTTTAGAAATATGGAAACACAGATCGTTCCATATATTGGTACAGATGACTCCGTAATTAATGCAAAACAAAAATGTCCCTACGTATCGCAAATCTGCGCAAACCGGCTTTAATTTTACGAAAGTAATACTCAGGATCGTGATTAATGCATAGGAATAAAATGCCAACGTTCCGCTGTGTTGATATTAATTTTGCCCAATTTATTAAATAGGTTTTGTTGCGAGTAAATGCAGGGATTAATTGTCTTAATTTCCTGCCGTTGGTTTTTCGCACAATGCGCTGTCCATTGACGTCACTCAGCTTTAAGAAGCTTGATTTTAACCAGCCAATATAATTAGCGATCCGAAAAAACTTCGTTGTTTATCACGAGTTTTGATATCAATTTATTTACTCTCGTTTTTTATCTATGATCTGCGGCTTCAAAATGTTCCTTTGCGTAAGTGTTACAACTCGTAAATGAACAATTTTGCTATGAGACTGCTAAAAAGTTTTCCTTCGTCACTGTTATTATGTTATATAACGGTTAAGTGCAAGAGCAGGTAAGGATTTTTCCACACCTGAACTTCGCTGTTTGGACACTATCCTTGTTTTTTTTTGTTTCTTCTTTGTTTCTTGTTGTTATATTGATACTTTGTGTCCAATAAAGTCCTATTATTATTATTATTATTATCCTATTATTACAAAGATTTTTTCAGGTGGGGTAGCGCTGAATGTGACACACCACTGAAAACATTAGACTACATTCTTGAAGTAATTGCAGAACGACATACTGTGCGTATAATTTTTTGTATTTCCAACTGTAAAAGTTGCTTTCTATTCATTATGGCCCTTGCGACATGTCGACAGATTGTTCAATTGTATGAATGGTTGTTAAAGTTCTTCCTAAACAATTGTGCATAAATGGTGATTCAAATAGTCGCTAATGAAGCATGGGGCAATTATTACCTCCCAAATAAAAAAAATTGAAAAATAGTACAATAATTATAAAATATGATACAACAGTCGACAGTACATTTTAATGTAAGCGTCAATTGCAAAAATCCCTTCTAGAGAAGAAGTGATTTGCAACGCAGGTACCATTGACCCTTGCTTTTTATTTAGGATATTTCCTACATTATGTGGTTAGGAGATATAGCACCGCACGATATTTGGCGACAAACAAAAGCAGGACAGCTGATCACTCTCAGGGACGGAATTTCTGCACTGAAGCGCTTCTTTCCCAACACCCCGGTCCTTCCCACAATTGGAAACCACGAAACCAAGCCAGATGGTAGGTAAGTTTATTGTTTATCTTATGAATTATACAGCCTGCACATATAAATAATAACGCTTTAAATAAGGCACGAGATAAAAGATGAAAAAACCTAATTTTGAGTCACCTTGAGTTTTGTCACCGAGTTGATTTCTAAACCTTGACTGACCAGGAGACGGTCGTCAAGGTGTATACACCAGCGCCAGCGGTACTAACGGATCGGCTTCGAAGGTTAACGATGCTAAAACATATAACGTGACGGAAAGTTTGGTGAATATGCAATTAAAAAGCTATTGCTAATTCGGCGGTATTATTTAAGGATTATTTACACCCATTTTGTAGACATCTGAAACAAACTTTGGGTACTGATCAACAAAATTAGTCATAATATTGAGGCATTTGAGACATTTATCTTGATCGTTAAGGTGTTCGAATAAGCACACGATTTACATGAATTCACACAAACAACATTTATTTTAAACACACAATTTGAATTAATCATAAAATTCCGACACTCAAAATAGACTATAACAAGATACGTTGACACACCCCGCAGACGCCTTCGATTACAATTAAACAAAATAATGAAATCTTAAAACTACAGTTTTCTGTTAAAATCCTAAAAATTCGGGCACACAAATCAGTAACTGCGAAAGAAAAACGCACTTAACGAAACGTATCGCACTAATTTGTTCTTCTTTAACTTATCTTCTGATCAGGACACAGTCACGTAATTTTACTCAATTTCAATTAAACTGGCTGGTCAAACACACGACCGATGAAAACGATGGCTGTCCGGAAACCGGTAAACGACAACTCTTCTTAAAATTTTCACTCGAACTAAGCTGACTTCTTGATTATTAAGAAATTTAACGCAGGACGCGCGTCTTCTAAGCTTTCAACGAAACGCAACTCGGTCTCGAAATTGGCAAAAGGGCTCTTTCTTACGGTGCATCCCATCCCGGCGATGTACATCCCGGTGACGTACACCCCAGCACCGTTTTCGCAGCGACAACCCATTCCGGCGACCATTACTATCCCGGCGATTTATACCCGGCGACGACCTATCCCGGCGACTATTACTTTCTCGCCAATGCACACCTAACGACGTCTGTCCAACCCCATTTTCCTTTTGTTTATTTTTTGGACATAAACAAAGATATACTGTAGAAGCGGCTGTTAAATTATGTACCGAAAGTGGTTGTTATGGTTGAAATATGCAAGGGAGCTCAAATAAGCCGTCTTGTTTACACAATTGCCAACAGTGCAAAGGACGCATTTTTTGAAAATTATATCTAGAAAGGAAAAATCACAAATTCTATAATAACAAATAAGTAAACTTAATTCCGGTGAATTGTTTCAATATAATAAACATGAATTTGCTTCAAATGTTTACCTCATCTTAAATGTTTCCCATCCCCCCGATCTCAGAGTTCAAATTGCTGAGACGACCGAAGCCGGGATTGCCCATCGCCGAGTTTAGATGGCCGGGATAACCGCAGCCGGGAAGTAAACGGTCGCCGGGATAGGTTGTCGCCGGGATAGTCATCGCCGGGATGGGACCCGTCTTTCTTACGCCAACTCCAGCATTTAACGTGTAGGTATTCCCTACTTCCAAAATTCGAAATGAACTTCATCCAATTAACGGGACATAGCAACATGACAAATTAGAACTCCGTTTCTTGACGCTTCTGTAGTTACGTAGGTATTAAAACTTTACGCGGAATTGTCTTATCTCAGATAACAATTTTCTACGAATATTTTGTCAATTAAGTGCATTCTTATCGCTACTAAATTATATCCCTTTTCCTTTTTATAATAAGCCCTACAATTAAAAATTAGAAGGCAGTACTCGCTTGGTATTTACACCTAAAACCCAACCAGGCTAATTAAATAAATTAAAAACGAAGATTTGATTAGTGACCCATCATTAACTTCAGGTGTTTGGACTAGACTTCAACCTCGACATCGACACTCTTTTTATAGCAATGTATAAGTTTCTTCTCTGCTGACCATGTATTGTAGATCGCCTTACTCCTGATTGGCTACCGCCAATGGACGGGATTGAAAAATCTCTGATTTTGAACATTTACCTTTTCTTAAGTCGTCAAGCTGTGGTTGGGTTTAAGTTCTGCTGAGTCTGTATTGCGTGCTTGATCATACGAAGTAAGTAATGTTCGAGCCATAAACCTTACGTTCTCAAATGCGAGCCTACGTTCATCGTCTGATGTTCCGTGTACTGCAACTGCTAAATGTTTAATGGGTATGAGTCTGATTGTTGAAATTTAACAATTTCTTTTATTAAAGCTCCTGCTTCTCTCGATCTAGGTTAGTAGCAAAAGAAGAAATATAGTAAATCCCAGCTACTTTCCTAGCGGATATTTTGTCCCATTTCGAACCGTACCCTAGGGTGTACTCTTGCTGTATACCGAATGTCCATAACCACGCTTCCAAATTTCAAAAAAGATAAGCATTTGAAATTGAAGGTAAATGAAAAAACCAATTTCAGTTATCCTCCACCGTGGGTTACTAACCCAAACTTTTCCATCACCTGGTTCTCCGAAGCACTAGTCGAGTTGTGGAAAGATTGGATTCCCCCATCGCAATTGCAAAACGTATTAACAGGCGGGTATTACAGCATCCAACCTCATCCTGGTTTGAAAGTATTATCATTGAACACTCTTTACTGCCACTGCCGAAATTGGTAGGTATCTCAATATTTATGTATTCCACTAACTGAACTTATTGTAGGTGGTTGTACGTTAATAGTACCGATCCTGCCCAACAGCTCCTGTGGTTGGTTACTGAGCTTCAGCAAGCAGAAAGTACTGGACAGAAAGTTCACATCATTGGTATTACATTACCTAATTTTCTAAATTGCTGTTAAACCACACCTGTCAATAATAGGTCATATACCACCCGGTAACGCAGACTGCCTGAAAGTATGGTCAAGGAACTACTATGAAATTGTAAGCAGATACGAGAGCACAATTACCGGACAATTTTTCGGTCACACGCATCTAGACGAATTTGAAGTATTCTATGATAGCCAAAACCTTAGTAATTACCTATGTCAAAAGTGTAACCAGTAAATTAAGAATTTTGAACAGGTCGTCCGGTAAGCGTCGCATATATAGCACCATCTATTACACCATTTGAGGGTGGAAATCCCAGTTATCGGATATACACCATCGACTCTGACACATGGGTAACTATATGACAAACACTTCTTCTTTTACCAAACAGTTACAATAGGAAGTCATCGACTACGAGTCATTAATTATGGACTACAAGAAGGCAAACAAATACTCGGAAAGTAATCCAGAATTATTCAAATTGTATTCTGCAAAGCAGGCTTACGCCCTCAATAACTTGGGGCCAAAGGAATGGAACAAGTTAATTTACAGGATGAAGAAGGAACCTTTGCTGTTCGATAAGTTCTACCAGTATGAGTCGCTATCACCTTTGATTTCTATTTAATGGTTTCTTTTTAGGAACTACTACACAAACAGTCCTAATCGCCCAAGTTACGGCAGGCAAGACAAATTTCGGATACTTTGTAATTTAAAGTCTGGGAAAACTAAAGCAGCTAAGAAGTTGTGTGGCGACCTTAAAAGCTGATGTTTTGACAGCCCCACCGTCCAAAGTGAAGGCTACGCTCCTTTCATACATTTAGCATCTTTAGTTTACTGTCTTTTCGATCATTCTATCCGGTCAATCTGTTTAAAGCTGACTCAGTTGCGACACTTTGCCCAAAGTCCAATCACAGAGGTAGAAAGCCTTAATTTTCGAGTTTTTCAAAGGATCCGTTGCTTGCCGGTGTGAAATTACTCGTAATTGTTATTATTATTTTGTTGATTGTAGTAGTAGGTTTAACAATAGCAAAGAGCATTAAAATAATTTAACAAGCTCAATGTTTTATAAACGCAAGTGACGTAGTCGTAAATTTTCCAGTGTGGAAACGCTAACCACGTTCTGAAAATTGAGTAAGTGATCCAGAATCCTCCCCTACAAGGTGGACTCTGAAGTGCTAATCGATTTTTAGCCTTAATGACAGTGTGTAACCAAACACTGCAATATGGATATCTGTATATTATATAATAGTAAGCAGGTAGTAGACATATTATCACTTCACCCGATGAACACAAAAAGAAGCGCATTGAAAGTGCTCTCGAATTTCTGCGCCGTTATCGGGAAGAGGGTGTGGAATTCCTACATTTATTTGTAAGTGGAGAAGAGTCTTGGATCTACTACTTCACGCTAGAGACTAAGGAACAAACAAAACGATTGCGGAATTCCAGTTCTCCAAGTGTCAAGAAGTTTAAACAAACGCCGTCATTGAGGGAGGTGATCGTTTCAGTATTCTGCGACAGGAAAGGCGTTCGGCTAGTTAACTATCTGAAAAGAGGTACAATAATCGAGACACTAACTAACAAAGATATACCGAGCTATAAACAACAAAAGGAGGGGCCGGCTGACAAAGGGAGTTCGTTTGCACACTGACAACGTTCGTCCTCACTAGGGAATGCAATCCCGCAGCAAAATTTCAATCCTGGTATTTGCGGGAGCATTAGATAGTAATCCCGCTGGATCCCGCAAAATTTTAAAAACATTCTGAAATAAGCAATTTTTGTGTAGTTAACGGATTATTCTCAAGAAAACACATTGTAATTCGCGGAAGGAATGCATCACATCCGCCGCCTTTTCATGTCGCCGGTGAGTAATCTTTTATGGCCCCTCCATGTCTATCTGGATTTCTAGAATATTCGCTGCAAAATTTACACACAGCCACTTTACTACTAATGCCTTTTATAAACAATCGACGAGTCCGACATATTGTCTACAAGAATAACGGTTCATGCGTTTTAAAACAGTAGTAAAATAAGTCCGATTTGCGCACTAACTCGCTGTTTAACAAAGTTAATAACAGATGCGGGTTTGCGCGTAATTATTGCATGAACTGCAACAACAAAAATGTGCGAAATAATCAAATTCGCAGAGTTGCTAATGTATGGGGGTAAGCTTGGTAGATAAATTCTTTAATCCCACAAATCCCGCGAGATCTCGCTCCATTTACATACGGGATTAATCCCGCAAAAAGACTGCGGGATCCCGGTATTTCGGGATCCCGCGATCCCGGTATTGCATTCCCTAGTCTTCACGTCGTCGTGCGGACCACGACCGATGTCATCGCCAAATTCGAGTCGTAAATCATTGACCATCCTCCGTACAGTCCTGATTTAAACCCCAGTGACTACTCTATTTGTTCCTCAACTTAAAACAACATTTTGGGGAAATGAAACACATCGTCGCTTATGAAACCTACTACCTACCTAATGAATCGTTTCGGCACCAACACAGTATAGATTTTTACTGATATCCACTGTGTCCAAAATAAGACTGTCTATCATGGGGATCTCGGAAACCATAAAAGATACGATAATGGTCCAATTGTTAACACTGTACTATTATCTTAGATGGGCGCATCACTGTAAAGCAGGACATTGCCCTCATTCAAGAACCCTGGTTTATTAAACCAAGGTTTCTGGTCCTGAGAACACAAAAGGAATCGTTTTCATTGATACACGACAAGAAAAACCTAGAACCTGCATATATGTCCCTAGCTACCTTTGCGCGGCAGTGATATTACGACTATACAGTCAGCTCAAGTAGTAATAGCATCAGTATTCCCCTGGAGATTTTGTCAACCTACCTCCTAGTAATCAGGTGGCAGGACTGATAGAACACTGTGAGAAAAACAATAAACACCTCAGTATAGGTTGTGACTCAAATGCTCATCATACTGCATGGGGAAGCACTAACGTCAACCGTAGGGGTAAATCTTTACTTGAATATCTGACAATTAGGTACTGTAATGTTCTTAGGGGTCTAACAAGCCGACACAGAAAACGTTGACTTACCCTATACTTACCGTTGGAAACTCTGGGGGAGAACTACAAGCAGAGCCACCTACCTTTCAAGTCGAAACGATGAACGTTTCGCGGCACTTTTGAATTTGGATGGCAATCGGCTCTATAGGGATGGCAGGAATGAACTCCTACGTTGTGTAATTGGTTCTTATATGTGTTGGGACGTGAAACATAATCGGGAAGGGAATTTAAATAAAAGCCAGAACTTTTGTGCATAAGAAATGACAAGAACAAATAAATATATTACGCACACAATAAGACCATGCCAGGGAAACCTTCTACGGGATTAAAACCCTGGCATAGGCCACACAAATACATGAAATAAATCACCTACAGCAATAAAAAGCAAGAGAAAATACATATAAATAAAACATCTCAAATTGTATGATAAAAATCAGACAATCAAATCAAATGCAATTAAACAAGTTCATAAAAACAAAATATCCAAGACATCATAACCTGGACGATCAATAGAGATAACATAACTTGTAAAATAATAAATTGCATGTACATAGTGTGGCATCTGTGTATACTTAATCTAGCTAGGGAAATAAGTCAAGTTAAGTTGCATGCAGGGTGTAACAGCAACATGGCTGTCATTATTTGTTGAGTTGTGTGTAATAAAGGTTTTGCTCATTTTTGTTGTTTATATGCAAGGTGCGTATAAGTCACGAACATATACATAAGTTCGTGGTGTAAGTATAAGGCATACATTACATAATTGGCGACGAGGTAGACGACCTACACGGCAACAGGCAAGGTATCCGCGTTCCGGTGAAAAAGACACACGCGGGAAAGACAAAATGGCGCAAGTAAATGTTTTGAGGGGTCAAGTAGGGACACTGGCCGAATACAAGATTGGAAACGACTGGTGTTCGTACCAAGAGCGGATGGAGCAATACTTTTTGGCAAATTACGTCGAGGATGACAGGAAAGTGACCGTTCTCATTACAGCCATTGGTGACGACGCATACAGTACCTTAAAAGGGTTGTGTGATCCCGATTTACCTAATGCTAAATCATACAGTGATCTCTGCACAATTCTTAAAAATCAATTTACCAAGAAAGTATCTGTGTTTAAGGAGCGCGTCGAGTTCTATGACTTGAGGCAATTAGAAAACGAACCGATTAAAGATTTCTTCATCCGAATCAAAACCAAGGCCATGGAGTGCAAATTTGGTGCGAATCTGGATGAAATACTGAAGGACAGGTTTGTGGCAGCTTTAAGAAGAGGCCCAATTTTAGACAAGGTGTGCGAACAAGAACACACAAGCAAACTCTCAGAAATCGTGGAAGTAGCTCTTAAGAAAGAAGCAGCGTTGGTACAGACTCGCAGTGTCGCTAGTGTAAATGCAATTTCAGTGCACAAGAATACACCAGCAATCCAGGGGCCCAGTAAGAGGCAGGGTAGCAACCCACACCAAGGGACGAGCCAGCGGAGCAGCACGAACCAGGGTACCGACCAGCATGAAAGAGAAGGCAACAAAAGAGCTGAGGCAAAGTGCAACAGCTGTGGCAATGGCGGTCATACCTTTAAATTTTGTAAATACAAGAAATACAAATGTAAAATTTGTAAGCAGGTGGGCCATTTAGCTAAGGTTTGTAGGGCTGGTAATAACTATGTAGAACCAACCACTTCTCAAGGTGAGCATGGACTTAATTTAGATTTTATTGATATGTATTTTGTGACTGCTAACAAATATGTTAAACCTATTAAAATTGAAATGGTTATTGAAGGCAAACTATTGTCAATGGAGCTTGATTCGGGAGCAGGAATATCAGTTTTGCCAGAAGCTGTTTACAGTAGTCAATTTAAAGATTGTAAACTCTGTTCAACTAATGTTAGGTTAAAAACATATGACGGTAACATTATAACTCCTTTGGGAGAAATTTCAGTAACAGCTCAGTATGGCAATATTTCAGCGAAATGCAGGCTAATAGTTATTAAGAACGGTTCAACACCTTTATTAGGTAGAGATTGGATGAATGTTTTTAATTTTAAGATTGAGAAGCATGCTGTTATAAACACATTAAGCCCAGTTTCTCAGTTAGATTCCTTATTAGGAAAATATCAAAATTAATTTAACGGGACATTAGGGCACTATAAATATGATAAAATTGAATTACAGGTTGACCCAAACTGTAAACCTACGTTTTGCAAACCACGTTCAGTACCCTTTTCTTTCAAGGAAGCAATCAACAAGGAACTTGACGAGTTAGAGGAAAGAGGAGTAATTGAATTGGTGGAAGATTCTAAATGGGCTACACCATTGGTTCCGGTGCTGAAGGGTAATGGTAAGATCAGAATCTGTGCAGATTATAAGATAACAGTTAATCGATTTATGCAAGATATAAAACACCCTCTGCCTCGTATTGAGGAGCTTTTTGCAGCATTACAAGGGGGGGAGAAATTCACAAAATTAGATTTTGCAAATGCGTACAATCAGCTAGAATTAACTGAGGAGACAAAAAATTATTGTGTTGGAGCACACATCGGGGCATATACAAACCCAATAGACTGCCGTATGGTACAAAACCAGCATGTAGTATTTTTCAAAAGATTGTTGAAAAGGTTTTGTTGGGTATCCCGGGGGTTATAAATTTTTTACACGATATCGTGGTAACAGGGAGTAGTCACGAAGAGCATTTAAAAAATTTGGAGCTGGTTTTTGATAAACTTTCTCGAGCTGGTTTCAAATTAAACCTAAAAAAATGTAAATTCTTTGAAAAGGAAATTAAATATCTAGGGCACATCATTGACAAGGAGGGTTTACGCAAAGACCCTGACAAAATAAAGGCAATGAAGGAATGTCCAAGACCGAGTAACGTGTCAGAGGTTAGAGCTTATGTAGGTATGATAAACTATTACGGGCGTTTTGTCGAAAATTTATCAACGTTAGTAGAGCCTTTGTACAAACTATTAAGAGGGACGTCAGAGTTTAAATGGTCAAAAGAGTGTGAGAAGGCGTTTTTAGAATCAAAAGATGCAATTTGTTCAGACGTTGGGTTGGCACATTTTGACCCTGACATGGTGCTAAAATTAGTATGTGATGCATCAAACGTGGGGCTAGGCGCTGTTTTGCTGCATGTCTTTAAGGATGGAACAGAAAAACCAATCAGTTTTGCGTCTAGGGTGTTAAATAAACATGAGATAAATTATTCAACTATACACAAGGAGGCATTAGCGATATATTGGGGTGTCAGGAAATACTATCAATATTTAATGGGGAAGCATTTCATCCTGGGCTCTGATCATAAACCGTTGATGGCACTTTTCGGGGAAAAGCGGGGAATACCACAGATGGCAGCGGGAAGGCTGCAGAGGTGGGCGTTATTTCTTAGTGGGTTCAACTATACATTCAAACATATTAAAGGGATTAATAATAGTGCTGATGGTCTTTCGCGTATGCCATTAAAAGTCACTGAAAATCAAGGAGACGAATATGATTATTTTAATTTTTTAGTTGAAGACAACATTCCAGTTAGGTCTAGTGATATTAGGAAAGAGATTCGTTCAAATACTACATTAAGTTCAGTTTTTAGGTATATTAGGGATGGCGATTGGCCAAGTCAAGTTTCCGATGATTTAAAACCATACTATAGAAGGGCGTTGGAACTTAGTATTGATAATGATATTATAATGTGGGGTTATCGGGTTTTAATACCACCTAAATTCCACAATCAAATGTTACAAGAATTACATGGCGCACACAATGGTGTTGTTAGAATGAAATCTTTAGCACGGCAATACCTTTGGTGGCCCGGAGTAGACTCCGACATTGAAAACTATGTTAGAAATTGTGACGCTTGTAAGGCAAATTCAACAAACCCTGCAAAAGCGTGTTTAATCAAATTTGATGAAGGGAAACATGTTTTTGATAGAATACATATCGATTTTCTTGGGCCTTTTCATGGGAAAACGTATTTAATAATAACTGATTCTTACTCTAAATGGCCTGAGGTATATGAGATGTCAAAAGTAGATTCAGCAAGCACAATTGAAAAACTCAGGGACTGTTTTGCGAGGTTTGGATTACCAAACACCATTATCTCAGATAATGGCCCTCAATTTACATGCGAGGAATTCAAAGTTTTTTGTAAAAATAATGGTATTTTACATCTTACCTCTGCCCCGTACCATCCTTCAACTAATGGAGCGGCAGAAAATTCTGTGAAATCTTTTAAATATGCTCTAAATAAACTATTATATCAAAAGAGCAACACACAAGGTATGAATAGTTTTATAAGCAAATATCTTACCGTAATACTCCTCATTGCTCAACGGGTCAATCCCCTTCCAAATTAATGTTTTCGAGGAAAGTGAAAACACGTTTTGATTTTTTAACGACTCCCGATGTCATTAAGGCAAGGGAGAGACAAATTAAGTATCATCATGGCAAACGTATGTTGCAGTTTGAGGTGGGGGAGACGGTTTACATTAAAGACTACCGTACTGTGAAACCGGGGTGGTCAAAAGGGATGATAACAGATAAATTAGGAGTACAACATTACGTATGTTCACCTTTTGACAACAAGGATCTGGTATGGAAGAGGCATTTAGACCAGATAATAAAAGTTGGTCAATTTTACGAAAGTTTTTCTGAAGAGATAAATAGTAGATGTAACGAATTGCCATCTTCTTCACCAAATCCTGTCTTATTAGATAAAACTTTTAGTGTTAGCGAACCACCGGCGACGAGTGCGTCAGATAAAGAGGTGCCTCCGACCGTGAATGACACAACGACCAGTGCAGTTAACGTAGATCCAAATGTAAATGTGCAAGACCATGTATTAGAACCTAAGGTTAGTTGTTCTGGGATTAATGATAGGCCACGTAGGACAATAAGAGCTCCTAACCGTTTAAACCTGTAGAATGTTGTATTTGTACTTTGTAACTTGGTGCGGAGGGATGTGGCATCTGTGTATACTTAATCTAGCTAGGGAAATAAGTCAAGTTAAGTTGCATGCAGGGTGTAACAGCAACATGGCTGTCATTATTTGTTGAGTTGTGTGTAATAAAGGTTTTGCTCATTTTTGTTGTTTATATGCAAGGTGCGTATAAGTCACGAACATATACATAAGTTCGTGGTGTAAGTATAAGGCATACATTACACATAGGAAACATGTAAATGGTGTGGCTCTACTCCAGCCTTCCGTTAACATAATTTAATTTAACACGAAAAGTACATGTGAGAATGCCATTGGCCAATACCAAGTATTCATGGATTCATCGATTATCGCTCAAGTAGAATATATTTTAAATAGTGGAAATGTTAATGAGAGGGCCCCTACTCGTATTGCTAAGATGTTAAGAACTACAATCCGCACGAGACGAGTAGGCAACAGATACAGCGAAAGGTCGAACTGTATTAGGTACCTACTCCACGGAGACCGAATGAACCATTCGCACACACAAACATCGAAACATCAAATAAAAGAGCCCCCCTTCGTATAGCTAACGCACAAGAACTGCAGCGCGCCACGAATCAGAAAGTAACAGATACAGCGAACAATCTAACTGTATTAGGTGCTTCCCACACGGAATAGTTACGGATCAATCGGACAGAGCAACATCGCACTGATAATAATCAACTCCTCGTGAATACAGAAATAAATACTTACTTTAATTAAACAAAACAATGGCATAATCACCTGCACAGTATGGCAAACAAACATGATTCAGATAACGGTACTCAAAACAAAGGTATGGAGTACGCCATGATTCATATATCGTAGTTTATGCAAAATCAGCAAAATGTAAATAATATCAAATTGTGGCAAGAAATTCAATTATTAATAGCTAGTACAAGAAAGAATAAAATGGTTACTACCTGTAAATACACCTTCAAAACACCACCACCAAAATAATCAAGAATAAAAAAACCGGGAACGCGTGATGCCTTCCGTCGACCTCGTCGCCATCTTCCTCATTCTCCCCTAGCTTCGTTACGAAAATCCCCTAGTATTCGGCATCTGCGCAAAACGGTCGATTGGTTATATACAGAGCATATCATGTTTTTGTTTCAGATGTAAAGGTGTGTTGCCTAACCATAAGGGTGGATTATCACAGTACTAATCTAGAGATTCTCAATCAGAGCAGCGAACCCACGTTCGTAACTAGCCAAACCCAGACTGCGATTGATCTCAGTCTGGCATCATCGAGTATCTCTGACCACCTAACGAGCTGGCAAGTCACTCCAGAAGCGACGATGTCAGATCATAGAATAATTTCCTTTGAAATTAATTGCAAGATATAGCCCAAAAGGGTTATCGCAACCCCAAGGTAGCGGATATTCCCTTTTACAAACATCTCCTTGGAAACAAAGAGCACCTTTTGGGTCGTGCCTCTGTCATTTTGAGTCATTTTGAGTATTAATTTCAGTTCTCAGTATGCGATTAGCCTCAGTGTCAAGACGTTACATTGCTATAGGTACGCGATATTTTGTGCAGCACGATCATTACCCCTCTTGTTGCTTGTTGTGTTTTTGTCTGTTTACAGATTTGCAGTATACGCGCCCTTCTTGAGCTCAACAAGGCCGTTGCGACCTGTAGTTCAAAAGGTAAATTTTATTATTTTCGTCCATATTGGTTTTCGATACCATCGAATTCTAACTGTTACGTCATTGCTTGATATTCACTTAACGCTTATAGCTCCGTTATTTTTACGGAAGCCTATTTGATTAAATATTTTCTCCGACTAGGTGTTGACCCCCTTCTTTTTCTAACATTAATTTAAATTGAAAGATTGACATAGCAGATTTGTATATTACAGTATCTTATTTGTAATACATATTATTGAGATCATTGTATTAAAACACCATCGATTGTGACGTCAACTATTGTTTATATTCTATCCCTATCAAGTGTTTTATTCTCTTTTAGCTCGCCAGACCAGAAAAATGATCTCTTAGTCTGTCTTGTTTCTCCTTTTTGGTAAGTATTTCCTCTCTATCGAACTTTACTGAAGACTAAATGGCGCCTATTCATATTACTATTTATCTCTTTTGCTTTATTTTTGCTTGTAGTTAAGAACCCCAATATTCACCCCTACCCACCTCTACTTTTCCCGAGCTTACCGTGCGCTTATCTAATTTTGTTACTTTTGCCCAAAGTAAACGTAACAGACTCCAGTCAGGAAGGTAGTACAAAGGGCGGGAATTTGAGGTCTAGGTACGCGGGGACCTTGTCCACCTTCCTATCGCAATCCGGAAATCCAGAAAACAAGAAACACAACGCGCGGAATTTTTATCAGGCGAGCAACCGACATTTGATAGTTTGAGTTTCACAATTTTTTTGACAGCCTCATTAACTAATTTCAACCGCTGACTGAGAAGAGGAATCTGACTGGAACGCTGGTTCCTTGTAATATGCCTTTTCAAAACTAAATTTAAAATAACCTGATCAAATTTGGCCAGAAACCCTTTTCCAGAAACGCTCTACAAATAGACTTTTAACTTGCAATACTGACGAATTTTTTCCTCAACCGCAGATCAGAGCGGCTTCATCTAAAAAATTTGTGTTAGTTACGATAGCAAATCCATATAAATCCGGTAGTAAGTCTAGTGATTGCAAAATCTTTGATCCCTGATTTTAAATATTTAATATTGTATACGTACACAATTTTTACCAAGAAAATGTTCCAAAAATAAACCGTATCTATATGGCCTGCTATTAAATTATTCCTTTCAATTAGTTTACACAGGCCTAAACCTTCATTTTAATTGCTACGTAAGATAAAACTTTTGTTATGCATATGGGCATGTTTAGCTTAAAGGAGATCTGAATCCTTTTTAATTAATGTGTAGATAGGAAGGAAGCCATATTGAAAACTGAGTTGTCTCATTCCTAATTATTTGTAATGAACCCTGTACCAGTACTAGTTCTTCTTGGGTTAATGTCAGGTGAGCAATGTTTCAATGACAAATAGCTGCCTTATATCTTTCTTAATTGTAGGTAACAATTTGTTCCTTGGAGACAAATGGAAAAACGCAGATTTGCAACAGGTACGTAGTTGCATCACTATCTCAATTGTTGGAAAAGAAATGTTTCTAGGTCAGCTCTAGATTCGAATTTGCCTTAGGAAATGGTACTACAAATACCTTATGTTCCTTGTGCGAAAAACGTGAGCAGATATTTCCTTGGCACACTTCGGAAAAGCTAATTTTGTGTTTAATAGTTGCAGGTACATTTTTGGTCGCTGTAAAGCTAAATGTTCCCATTCAGTTTATAAAAAATGAACTTGGGCGGCTATGTCCTGAGACACTGATATCTAAAAAAATATGTGAAGGGTTTATTGATGTATACGTGCCAACTGTGATGAGCGCACTAAAACAATCACAGTCAAGTAAAGTGAATTTTATTCAAAGTCTTCCTCCGTGACTTATTAAATTTTAGCAGCAAAGGATATCTGCAGTTTATTGTTAGGAGAGAGATGCCCATACGAACATGGCTTACTTCACGAGTGGAACGTCTCCTTTCCAAATGTCGGTAAGCCAGATACGGCGGAAAGTACACCACAGGTGAGGAAAAGAAGCTATATTGCTTTGAAACAACTTCTTTATCATATTAGGTTGGAACCCCCACTTTAAAGGTATTGCAGCTGACAGACCTTCACTTAGACCTGAACTACGTGGAAGGGACTAACGGCAATTGCCGCGAACCAATTTGCTGTAGGCGTTCCTCTACTGTGGATCAACTGGTTGTCTTTCCAGCCGGAAGGTAACGTAACATCCGTTCTAGTTTGCCAAATATGTAAATGGTGATTTTGGAAAGTGTTTAAATTTCTTAGTAACCACGTTCAGCCTTTCTGGTATGGTATCGTATTCATATTCCAGTTTCGTTACTAGATCCTCTCTAAAATCTGCATGTGCACTATTTAGTCTTCCAACTCTAAACTACCTCAGTCGAACTTTCTGTTTTTTGATCCGGAGGGGTTGTTCTGCATCCATTTCTTCATCACTCTGCTCCGTCTGATGCTGGTTCTGTAACTCTTCTAGAGTCTAGATAACATTTCGTGCAGTTTGTACAGTTTTTGCAGCTGGCCTCTGTACTTCGTGTATTCTCCGACATCGTATCTTGAAATCTTTTTGCTGTTTTACCTCGCTCACACTTTTCGTGTCGTCGGGTTCTGTATCTCGGCCCTGCCAATGTTATACCGGTATTGAGTATTGAATATACGGGTTCAGATTTATGCTACCACTTCCTTTAGAGATGCTTCTTTCTCCAGGTCTGATCACCGGACCCACTACGATTAATTTTTCCCTCTCTAAAACCATTTTGCAAGCCACTCGATGGAACCCGTTTTTGGGGTAGACCACTAGGAATATGAAGCTCATCGTTATTCACATGCGCTTCAGACTTTTTCCACATACTCCTGGCAACTCAAGGCGATGCCAAATCCTGTATGTAGGCTGCCAAGATGTTCTGATGATGTATGAAAGTAAAATGCTACCAAAGTTTTTTTTCTTACAGATGGGGCCATTACAGATGCGACCCACCAAAAAATATGATCGAAGATATGTTGGGAAGTATTGCAAAACGCCATCCGGTAAGTTGTACATCGAAACTCAATTACTTCTCTTATTTAGCGCACGTGTTTCAGGACTTGGACTACATTATACTAACTGGAGACTTAGTACCTCACGATGATTGGAATGAAACCCGTGAAAGTGCTTTAGAACATATTGATGTAACAATTGCCAAATTAAAGGAATTTTTTCCGAATACGCGCGTATTTCCTGCTTTAGGAAACCATGAAAGTGTTCCTGATGGAAGGTAACTGTCTGTCAAGTGTTGAAATAATTGTTAACCTACCACATTTTTAGTTATCTTCCTCCTCAAATAAATGAGCTCGACTTAACATCGACGTGGCTTTATGAGAAGATTGCTGAGTTATGGCATGATTGGATACCAAATACAGAAGATGCAACGATTTTGCTTGGTGGATATTATTCACATCTCGTCCGGCCAGGACTTAGAGTAGTTTCGTTAAATACCAACTTTTGCTACAAGTTCAATTGGTAATTTATTTTTGATTACGCATTCTATTAGTCAGCGTTTTTTAGGTGGCTGTACGCGGACAGTACGGACCCCGCCGGTCAACTGCAGTGGTTGGTTCAGCTTCTACAAAAAGCCGAAAACATTGGCGAGAAGGTTCACATTATAGGTAGCCAGTTTTAGTTTAAAAAAATCATGCAACCATGTTGATTACTCTTTCAGGACACATGGCTCCAGGGGACGATGATTGCCTAAAGGTTTGGTCCAGAAACTATTACGACATTGTTAATAGGTATGAGAGTACCATAAAAGCCCAATTCTTTGGCCATACTCATTCCGATGAGTTCAAGTTATTCTATGACGACGTGAATCCCGGTAGGTATAATTTAATTCTAACCGTGTAGTATGTATATCGTTATCAAAGCTTAAGATCAAAATTTGAAATTTGATAACAGACAGACCGATCAATATCGCATACGTTGCACCATCCGTATCTCCTTGGGATTTGATGAACCCAGCTTACCGGATTTACCACATTGACGGAGATCACGACACTACAACAAGAGTAAGTAAATTGTAATGGGAGTTTAACCCTTAATTACCAAATGAAGGAAGTCGTGGATCACGAAACCTGGATATTCGATTTAGACGAAGCCAACGAACAATTTCAGGATACGCCACAATGGTTCCGCCTTTACTCGGCCAAAGATGCTTATAACTTGAGTAGCTTAAAACCCAGTGAGTGGAATAAGCTTATTGAATCAATGCGGACAGATACAAGCCTTTTCGATGTGTTTTATAGGTACTTCAAACAGTTCGTTCACTTGATGTGCAATAGCCTTTTGTTTATTTTAGACACTACCACAGGGATAGTCCTGTCATCGACAAGTACAATCCTGAAGAGAAACTTGCTGTGTTATGTAATCTGAAGAGTGGTCGATCACGTGATAAGGCTAAAACGTGCAGTGGACTGAAACATTAAAAAACCGCCCTGAAGTGGTTGTCAACTTTAATTCTCGTGATGATGTCGGGCATGCAGAAAGCTTACGAAGCATCATTTCATTTAGTGTTTATATTCACAATGTTATTACTATTCTGAAGGCAAAATATACTAAAACAGTATACCGCCGTGATTAAATTTTATCTTCTTCTTCTCGTAGTCCACAATCCTCAGTCCTTCACCCTATTCTGCGCTAATTCTTTCATTTCTAAATAAGTGTCCTTGTCTACGTCCCTAACTATTTGATCTATGTCGTACTCTGGAATCCTACACTTTTTTCTCCATGGCTTACCTTTTATAGCTAGCTTGACTAATTTCTAACAACATTCCCTAACCCTCAAAACCCTGAGTGACACAAGATTAGTAATTAAAGTAATTAAGGAATGTCCAATGCTGCTAGCATGAATATTGTTGAAAACAGCAACCCATGGTCAGTTTTACGTGTAGTATAATCAGCAAAATAATGGCGATTCTTCGTACCGGATAGCAATAGAATATGCTTTTTTCACTACGTGCGTCTGATGAAGTGATTATTAACCTTTTATCCACTTGATGTAAAGTAGGATTTCTCGGCAGTTGTTTAAAGCGGTTAATAATGTGGACATTATTGACTAGTAGTCAATAATGAGAACTGTCACGCTGTTACTTTTAGAAAACACAACCCGAAATTTCGCTCAATAAACGAAGTCCATGAACCTAGCAGAGCAGGGTCAGCAGAACACAATCAAACATATTGCATAATTATGTGCTAATTAGGTGTTAATTAAGTGCCCTATTTCCGAATTAAATGCTCCTCTATTTTTAAATTATGACATGTTTTGCCAGGTTCATATGAACTCAGCAGAACACTACCTCAAAAAAACCAAGAAAATGAAAAGTGAACTAACTATAATTAGGTGGTAATTAAGTGCCCTATATCCCAAAATTAAATGCTCCTTTTTGTTTTAAATTATTACATGTTCTGTCAGGTTCATATGAACTCAGCAGAACACTACCTTTAAAACCCAAAAAAATGAAAAGTGAACTAACTATAATTAGGTGCTAATTAAGTGCCCTATTCCCGAATTAAGTGCTCCTTTTTTTAAAAATTATTACATGTTCTACCAGGTGCATATGAACTCATCAGAGCACTGCCTCAAAAAACCAAGAAAATGAAAAGTGAACTAACTATAATTATGTGCTCATTAGGTGTTAATTAAGTGCCCTATCCTCGAATTAAATGCTCCTTTTTTTTAAATTATTACATGTTCTATCAGGTGCATATGAACTCATCAAAAAACCAAGAAAATGAAAAGTGAACTAACTATAATTAGGTGCTAATTAAGTGCCCTATCCCCGAATTAAATGCTCCTTATAAGCTCAAGTCACATTTATGCCGCCCTGCTCTGCTCATTTTTATGAAATGTTAAATGTGTTGAAATGGGGTTTACTACGCTGTACCATTTTATCTTTGTACGTCATCGAATCAATATGTATTTCTACATTTCAATAAATACACTCTCAAAAGATCCTGGCTTCTCTTCATTTTGCGATCCGCGACCTAAAACATGTAGGTAACAAAGTAGGATAAAAATATCAAAAATTCAAGATTTCTATAATTTTACATTTAGCCTATTCAACATGTGAAAATTGACTGGGAATTACAAAGCTCTTTAAGAAAAATATACTAAAGATATTATTAAAAACTTCATTCTTGAATATTGTCTTAAGATCAAATGAAATTAAAAATTAGTAACTGCGAAATAAATTGTGTATGGGGCTCATTTTGTGGTTTTGCGCATGCACAGTGTCAAAATTTCGTTTAACGCATGTGCGATGCTAACTTTTTTATTTATGAAGATATTTAAATGAAACTATGACACTATACGAATATAAGTAAAACTGACGACGTTTTAAAAATATTGTTTTGCGCAGGCGCAATGCCAATTCTTATTTACGAAAGCATTTAAATGAAATTTAGTATACCTACAGGCACTTGGAATATAAAACTATTACCAGATTCAAAATTTTTTTTGTACTTCGTGGACTAAATGAAAGTGTTTTGTCATTCGTTTAAGGGTCTAAAGAGTCACTTTTTCTCCCAGAAGGATTAAAATGGAATGAGGGGCGAAAAGTGACTGTACACAACATCTTTTTGAATGTGGGAGGCAGTAATTTCCTCATAACGTTCAGTTTATAATGAACCGTTCACTTTCTTATAATATAGTATGTTAATTTAGAGGACTTCAAGTACTAGTAGTGAAAAAATAGTATATATACCACGGTAGAGAAGTCTATTATTGCCTTCGCACCTACCCCTCGGCGCAAGCGCCACGAGATGTAATCTTGGTGCTCAGGCAATAATACCGGACTTATCTACCTTTATGTAATGTATGAGTACTATTACAAATGATCAATCATACGCTTCGTGATGCTTAACGAGGATAGTTCGCTATTATAATAGTCATTTTGTAAAATCATAATATCGACTTAAATCGTTCTTTTTTCTGTTATTTGCGACATTTTCAACAATTTCATATTCGTAATTTTCATGTTCAAAAACCCCCAGATACCAAATTTAGGGGTGCCCCCTTTCGTGGTTGGAATTTTGGAAAAAAATTTGCAAAATCGAAAAGAGGATATCCGAAAACCTATCAAAGACGTGCTACCCGTATTTGTAACTCTTATGGTTGGTGAGAAAAAAATTAAAAGAGAAATGCAAATATTGGGTTTCGTTTACCATTGGCATAGAGTAATTACTCTATGCCATTGGTTAACATTTTCCGGAGCGAACTGTTGATTTATTCATTCGTCCTTAGTCTCTTCTGGGATGTAGTCCGTGGTGATTCCTTTGAGCGACACGAAAGAAACTGACGTGGCACTTTACACATTGAGATTTTTGACACCGACATTCCACACGCAACTGATGGAACGCCTGCAGATTTATAGGAAGCGGGGTGGCAGAGGAGTCAGTAACCGTTGATTTTCAAACGCAGAATAAGTTTAAATCTCCTTTCTTAGGCCAAAACTAATATTTTATAGAATCAAAATTTGTGCTGTTCACACGGCTATTTACTGACAGTAGCGAGGGTATGCGAAAAAGAAAATTATTTTGAATTAAATGTTGGAAATTATTGGTACTGCCTCTTGCAATTTGAATCAATGTAAAAAAGCGCTTCGCCGCGCGTAGGTCAGCGTTGGCCTTAAAGGTTCACTCAAACCGATGCGAGAATGCGGGCACGGGAGCGAGAGCGGTACGGTTGCAGGATACATTTGTACACGGTATATGCAAACTATCCATACAGATGTGGCGGTTCGCACGCATATCCCGCTGTACAAAGTATATATCCCGCATCCGTTCCCGTATGTCGGCTCGCGTTATACATCCAAACAAGGAACAATTACCGGCCCTAGTTAGAGGAGAGGGCAACGAAAAAATATATTCGTGCTCCTGTTGACATACCAATTTACTTAATATTGTATTTTTCTCGTATCAAACCTAAAAAATCTCTCGAAGACATGTTCCCCAGGACCACTTCTAGAGCGTTGCTTTTTTGGTACATTTGTCCATTTCTAAACGAAAAGCGATCAAAGCTAAACACAATTAAATTTACCTACATTCACAAAATAGTCATCCGCGCTTACCATTGGCTCAAAAATTGCCTGTAAAAGGAAAATAGACAAAGTCATGCCGAACAGCCGTCAAAACACTAGAAAGTGAATGGTCAAACGTCGGTTACCAGGTCACAGTCGACCGTCCCAATGGTATCCATCGTGGGAACACTGTTTTACAAATCTCGCGGAATGAGTTCGGGAAAGCCGAACAATGTGGTGTTCTATGAAATGTTTTTGGAATTGGATGTTGAAATACAATTACCAGAAAGTGCTTTTCTATATGGCTGTCAACCTCAGGCACCCTAACCTTGGAGTTATTTTGCATTTTATTTAAATCAGTTGTTTACTGTCCACATGTGACATTGTGGCAGATTCGGAAACGCTATCGTTGACCGAGGTTTATAATTCATACAATATAATTAAAATTTCGCATGTTTCACATGGTTATCATGAGAACATTTTGATGTAGACACTGATGTGGTCCATGCGCAAATCAGTAGCGGTAGTCGACTGAATTAGGCATGGAACTTTTTGCATTTGTAGGTACCATACGTCAGCTTTATGACAAGTTTTGTGATGCATTTAACAGAGGTACAATCGTCAATTACACATGTCAACCGTGGGGTAATTATCTTAGTTCCTTAATTAGCATAATAAAAATCATTAACTACCTAGTAAAAAAATACTTAACATTCCCGCAACATTATTGTTAATAACAAATTAAGGAATTTTGCACCTCATTTACCTTTTCATCACATGCACGTGAGATTGTAAATATAAACAAACTCTACTTGCCCAAGTAAAATGTGGGTCACATAATTATTGCATAATCTTTATCCATTGTTATTAGCGATGCTTAATTATACACATCAATAGCAAAGTCAGAGGCAATCGACCAACTATAGACTTACGAAATTTCCTGTTTAAAAACTTTTTGTTATTTTAAACTAAACACTAAACGCATATCATGATAGTTTGTGTTTACCTGCTAGCCTTGAATGATTGAAGGTATCAGACGTTCATTATTTTCTGTTGATCGTTATTAACTACTAGTAGTGTAATAAAAAACAGAGCCACTGTTGAAAGCAATCAGTTTTCATTAATGCTAGCACCGGCGAACATTGTTAGATAAGTGTTTTAGATGTTTTTGGAAAGGAGTGCGATTTTTTGGTGCGTTCAGTTCGCCATATACTTTGGTTCTGTTACACGTGAGTGGTTATTATTGACATTAATGTACAAATATAGATTGCATTTTCCTAGACGGTAACCCAATTGCATCGAGCCGATACAATTTCGACGACGAATGGGATTCCAACATAATCTCAAATAAAGAACCGCTTCTGACAACCGCCAGCAGGGAGCACAAATTGCCACCCCAATCGCATAGGCAGGCAAGTAAAAATGAATTTTTCTCAAAAGCAATTTTGGATTCGTATTTTAGGGGAAAGATGTGATCGACTTGCGAGAGAGATTGTTAAACGTAGAGGAGCTGAATGTTACCAATGATAAAATTGGTAATTCGGTTAATAAAATCATTCCTTGCTCCGTATGTACGTTAGGTAAGTACTGGGAGCAAGCTGTTTCTAGAGTGTGTTAATGTTAATCTGTAGGAACCAATCTTCTCCAAACGGCCGTACGGAAGGGGGAGTCGTTTGAAGCTATAAAACTACAGTTTGTGGCAATATGTGTTGGTTTTGAAATTCAAAATCATGATGTATGCACGGGGATCTTTGATATCTTCGGCCCGGAAGTTTTGGCTGTGCTGAATGTAACAGAAAAGAGTAAGTAGTAAAAACACTTACATAACAAACTTATGTTAATTCTTCACCGTGAATATTTTAATTTACCTCTAAAACTGGTCTACCTTTACCGGTCGCGTATATACCTACGTCATGTTTTTGATGCTTCATCAAGCCACTAGTTTTCCAGTATTATAAAACAAGTTGGAAAGTACCCGATGAGTCGTTTTGTGCGACGGATCGAGGTTTTATTAACAAACATTCTACGATGATTCCTTCATATCAACCTTTGCAGCCGACCGACCGACTGACCCAATAACCAAACTGAATACACAAGCGCTGCTTTTTTCAAAAATGCGCTAAAAAGTAACATTGTATTTTTGAAAAGACTTATTTCAAATAAATTACATAATGATACAAGCATTAAAAATGAGTACCTATACCAATAACGCGCAGTGAAGGTACGGTGGTAGGTACCTTTATACAGGATGTCCCACGACTAGTATCTCTCGAACAGGCGACCTTATACTATTTTCAAAATTTGACAATATACAGCTTCCAAGACTACAATTAAAGATTGAATTGAAAAATCATTAAAAATAAGTTTTTGATATAAAACTGCTATTTTTATAAGGGTGTATTAAATACAAAAAATGTGGGGACCTTTGTAGAAAGTGGTATATCTCCAAAATTTTCAATTCCCAAAATATTGGTTATTTAATATTTTTTCTATTAAAAATGCAGTAAAAGTACCTACTGTTTTAAGTGGTAAGATAAACTGGCATTTTTATAGTGCTCGATTGTTTTTTATTACCATGACGACGAGTCATGGCCAACTAAAAAATGTGCCAAATTGTTGACAGAACAGCTTTCTAGCTCGAACCAAAAATCGCGTTTTGGAAAGAGTGTTTTCAAACAATGGCAAGTGTACATAAAAAAGGTTTCCCACGAAAGTATATTCGATGTAGAATCAGAATATTCAATAAAAAGTATAGGTTTCTATTTGGAAAAATTAAGTTGCCCTACACTTGCCACTTGATGGACAGTTATGTAAAAATGTGCATAGCATCATTAAATGGGCCACTCTATATGAAGAATATGTTACATAAATCAATTTTTGATATCTGTCCCAAGAGAAATGGGGCACCCTGTACATAAGTTAATTAAGTGACATTCAAAGTACAACATTACGAAAGTTTACCGAAACTTACAAAAGAATTGACCGCTATACTCCAAAACGTCTCGCTTATGTAGGTGCAGTTAAAGCACAATAAACCATCCCTTGAAACTGATATATTTTCTAGGTAAAATGCTATTTATTGTCGTTTATTAAATTAATAATTTAATTAGTTCGCTATATTCGATAACTTTTAGCGCATTTTCGAACGAAGTTGGGTGCTTTATTGCAACCACTTTCTCTGTCCGTCCGCCCGGCTGCCCATCCGTCCGAGGCTGCGCAATATCAACTTTTTAACGAGGTCCTAGCGAGTTTATAATTTTGTGGAGTCTGTCTGTCCGTCCGTCCGTCCGTCCGTTAGCACGATAACTCATAAACGAATGGACCGATTACGATGAAATTTTGCAGGTGGATTCTTTATCAAATTTGTAGATTGGAGTTTGTCAATTGGCAATGTATCTCAAAAAATAAAGTAGGCCCTTTTGACATCTCCGTTAGTTATGAACCGAATTGCATGAAATTCAATATGCGCATAGCTTTAGCCATATAAAACACAATTCCAAAAGTTGAGCATAATCGATCAGCATTCACAGTGCCCTTTGCGCATCTCGACCATTTACAGACCGAATTGCAAACTTTCTTATTTATGAAGGTATTTAAATGAAATTTAATACATAGCCACTTGGAATAAAAGCAAATTTAACGCCAGTTTCAAAATTTGGTTGTGCGCATGCGCAGTGCCAACTTACTTATTTATGGAGGGATTTAAATAAAATTTGATACATAGCCACTTGGAATAAAAGTAAATTTAGCGCCAGTTTCAAAATTTGGTTTTGCGCATGCGCAGTGCCAACTTTCTTATTTATGGAGGCATTCAAATGAAATTTCATACATATATACTTTAAATAAAAGCAAAACTAACATCAGGTTTAAAATTTGGTTTTGCACGTGCTATAGCCATACCCAGGAGCTCGTTTGCTGTATTTGTTTTTATTTATTAATATATTTTGCTGAAATTTTAACCACAGATACTTTTAGTAAAGGCAAACTTATCTTATATAATAAAAATCAGGTGTGCGCATGCGTAAGATGCGCAACATCTAGCTTACCTTTTTTAAATTTTAGTCACAGATGCTTCTGTTAAAGGCAAGCATTGTAAACATCACATGTGCACATGCGCAGTATACGCGCATTTTTCGCAGTGCCAACGTCCTTATTTATGAGGATAGTTCTTTGAAATTTTAACCATAGATAATTCTAGTAAAGAGAGACATATCACATCACATGTAGTGAAAATCGAAAACTACAAATGTCATTAGCAAAGGAAAACACATCGCACATAGTAAAAATCAAATGCCATAGATGTCTCTAGTAAAGAAAAACGTAGCGCACATAGCTATGGCCTTTTGACAAGTACCGATCAATGCATGGAAAATGCGCTGAAGTTACAGGCCTTAGGGCGACAAGCTTTTTACTTGTTCTATGATACGTTCTCCCGTAAATACCTCGGGCCGGGCTCCACGTTGTTGCGACTTCACGCGCTTTTTTTTACTTTTGTTTGTGTTTATTACTAATAATTCATTTATTGCCTACAGTCCAATTTTTGACAAGTTTACGCCGTTTATGCCTAATGTACAATCGCAAAATTTTAACAAAATCATAATACTGTTTTGTAGACTGTAACCGGTGGACGCTTTAAGGTTTAAAGACTTTTTTGACAAACTTATAAAACTACCGGTATAGGAAATTTTATAACGCGTTGGTTGCTGTGGTTCCGTTTCAGAACTTTCATTCGACGCATTCTTACGTAAAAATCTGGTGGGAGAACGGCATTCTGACTAAAATATTCGAAAAGAATCTATGCCGTTCGATCTCTACATTTTTCTACGCGAATTGAGTTTTAATCTTTAGACCACATTTATGTTGAAAGAAAATTGAAATTCACACATACAGAGTGACACATCACGATTGTAGGTGCTGAAAGCAAATAATACGTCCGCATGAAGTAGTTTACACAATATACATGTGTCACAAAATAACTATACCTATTTCTCACAAATGATAGAGAGCACGTTAATTAAGATTCTTTATAAAAAAAGAAACTTATACCTGGAAATTTTGCGGTATCATATGAAAAATAATTATTGGTAGATAAAATTCGTTTAATTGTCATTAAGATGTTTGGTTGAAAATTCATTATTTTACAAATTCAGTTAGCATACATGCATGCGCGTAACAGATTACGGTAATGTTAACGAAAAAAACCCAGAAATTTCCGGACAAAACAATTTTTTTATTTAAATGCCGTCATCATTTCTGAAAATTCTGAGACACCCTGTACCAGAAATATGGAGTTATGATCTGTAAAACCGTCATTTTTGACATAATTAAAATATGTCAAAAATATCGACTTATCGAAATTTTTTGAAAATTTCACTTCATTGGAAAGTTATACGGAAAAATTGAATCCGTTAAATTGCAACAGCACTTTTTTGCCACACTAAAGGCAAAACCAAACAATTGCGCTCAGACCTTATAGTGCGTGTTAGCATCCAACAAACGTAAACATAGTCCTAATCATTTTAGATTAATTTGGTACAGTAATCGGTCTACCGCACAGTTGAAGATATAAACATTAAACTCCACATTTTTGGCAAAATTTGTTCAAAATAAACTCACGCCAGCTTAGTTTTTCCAATTTTCATCTCCTATATGATGAGATATGTTAAAACAAGCGCTTCAAGGTATTGGTTCTTTGAGACTAATCACATTTATTTTTACTTTTTTAGTGTTTTCGTACAATCCCTCGGGCCAGAGGTCCTCGGGCTCTGTCGTCCTCGGCATACATATCGCCTTAATGCCCTTGATGCATAAATAACTATTTTTTGTTAATTACTTGCTTCGAGTTAGGAAGCTGTTCTGTCAAGAATTTGACAACTGGTTTAAAACGTTTTTGGACATATACACTATGTTTGGTTTGAAAAACCGCCCTCTTCATGATAAGCAGGTCGCATAGCCAACACACGAGGGTTGCCATATTAAAATTGGCACGGGATGTTTACAAGGTGTCACCTTTACTATGTTAAATTGCCTCACTAAAACATACCTGTAAAAAACAGTGGAGATTCCCAAAAATCTAATCACTCTTGGAAGGCATTTGACGCAATTCAACCAGAACCGATACCTACTATAACTTTGAGGTCATTTCGGTCATTTGCGGTGGCATAAGAAATCTGGTAATTTCATTTGTTTACATATAGCAAGGACGAAACTAATTACCTACGCCTATTCTTTATCTTGTTGAACTATATACCCCAGTGTATGATTAACTATTAAATTCTAAATAATGTTTAAGATCCGAAAGAGATATGTACTCTACTTCAAAGCGAAGCTTGCGAAGAAGATCCGAGCCTTCCACCTCCATGGACGATTGAATTATCGGAAGCCCGCAATGAATTAGAAGAGCCGGAAGGCCGCCCTTTGCAGGTATAGATTAAACAATGCTAAGGGCGTCACTAAACCAGCTTTTAGTTAGGTAAACCTACGCTGAAGATATTACAAATATCGGATTCGCATTTGGATTTGGAGTACGTAGAAGGAAGCAATGCGAACTGCGATGAGCCACTTTGCTGTCGCGCTACGTCAACGTTGAAGAAAAAGAACGGGGTGATAATGCCGGCTGGAAGGTAAGTTTTGATTAACAAGTAGTTCTAATCCACCAGATAAATACAACTGTTTTTGTGTGCGACCTTGATGTTAATTATTTCCTCGAAATTGTGTTTTTAGTAAATAAATGCGTAAGGTTTTTACTCGCGACTCGCGTGGCGCACCTTGTACCCATTCAAATCTACCGAAATACCAGGCTGCATGGAAGTTCCAATGACGTACCCAAATCTTTTATTTAATGTGAATTGACCACCATACACAACATAGAGTTTGTAATTACAGGTGGTTGAGGTGTTTGTTTAATAAAATGACGAGGTAAAACTATAAATACCGATCATTACTACCTTAGTTACAGATAACGCTTAATTATCGATGTTAATTACAAAACTGTGACTGATAGAATTCTACGATAAATGCGGTTTATACTTTTTTAGGTAATCTACAACAAAAATGAAATTTTTACATATTTTGGACTTTGGTTACCATAAACAATAGTAGGTACGTGGCAATTATTTCTTACGTTTCCCACGAAACTAGATTTATGGTTGCTTTGTACGAGCACGTTGATGATTATAAACTACAGTAAATGTTTTGCGGTTATTAGACAAATTAATTAGCTTGTAATAGAAGAGTAAAAAAACTGTCGGAGGTAAAAAAAACGTTTGTTGTTTTAATTAAGGTATGATTACTGTCGTATAGTAGGTACAACATAGGTACAATTTATGGAACGTATTCGGGAAAATATGAGTTGGACAAAATCGTTTGACAAACGTCATTCATGTAATGCTGTAATGCTAATTGGATCGACTTATTTACGACATTGGATTTCAAATATAGATTGTCACGATTTTATACCAGATACCTAAAGTTTTCATAATTTTTCTAGATGTATTTACTTGCATATACGAGGTCCAACAATAAAATACCTGGAGTTAACCAGTTAGACCTGGAAGCGAGAATTTAAAATTACCTACGCATAGGTACGTCCTTACTAAGAATATACACCCCCATAGACTCAGCCCCAGTTGCACCAACAAAATTAAGCCTTGCTTAAAGTTAAGTCGAACTTAAAAGCTATGGCAACGATTATTAAGATAATCGTTGCTATGGTACTTAAGTTATGCTTAATTTTAAGGGATACTCAATTTTGACGATGCAATTGGCCCTCAGTGAACTATTTAATTTGTATTCAATTGTATTCAGCGTAGGACATTAGATTCAAAGTCGCGTTATTTGCGACATTAGAATGCCAAAAGGAAGATAATTTTACAATATTTCCAGTAGTTGACTTCGAAAAATAAGCCGTTCGAAAATGAAACAAGTATCTCCTCCTCCACATTCCCTCTTTTGATAAGGAGTCAGAAAGTAGGGGGGTAGTTGGTAGAAAACAGTTCCTTTCGTTGAGACCTTAAATTGGAATACATTGAAAGATTCAATTAATTTCTACCCCCTCCCTCCTACCCTCGGCCGCCTACTGATCCCGAAAAGGAGTCTCGCAGGAAAGTTTTAGTTTTTACAAACCAATTCATTTCGGTGAGACCTTTAATTAGAATACCATGAAGGGGTGGTCATCCATCTCAGGAAATAATTTATGGAGGGGGGGGGGGGGCTTGAAACAGGGAAATTTGACTCTAGGACCATTCCCATAAAAGTAGTTCAAAGCCGCAGAACTGGGTCCGGACGGACGGACAGGCGGAGAAACGGACGAACGGACGGATGGAGGGACAAAACGCAAACAATAGCATATTTTTAGCGCACCTTTTTTTAAGAATTAAAAAAAATGTGCTATTGTTTGCATTTTGTCCGTCCGTCCGTAGATTCCGTACAAACCTACTTCTGGCGTTTTGAACTACTTCTAGAGGAATGGTCCTAGAGTCCTGGATTTTTTGCAATATGTAGCCTATATCTTGAAGGTGGAAGTCCTGGAATTTTTAGCTTCCTAGCATGTGCTAGGTAGCTATTGCGATAGCCGTTTTTTGAACATTTCAAAATTTCATCAAATGTCGACGTTTTAGACCATTTTAAGCAACTTTTAAAGAATAAAATTTTTTTCCGTCTGTATGTACGTACGTCGTTTGTTGGCAATTTTCTGAGAAAACGGCTCGACGGATTTTGTTGAAATTTTGTATATATGTTTTAGGCATACCGAACAGAAAAATAACGGGCCGGATTTTTGAAAAAAAATTTTGGAGCGCCGTAACGGCATCGAACTTTTTTTTTCAAATAGCAACCTAAAATTTTTATTCTATTATTTGGAAGACCTTATTTTCCTGTGTACAACCTACAAAAAATTGGGCCGGGTTATATTATCAAAAAACGGAGACAAAAATTGTCAAAGTCAAAAATTGTGTTGCATATGTGCAAAACGCAACGATCTTGTTTCTGAAGCAATTTAAACGAAATTTCTATGGTAAGTCCCTTTAATAAAAGCAAACAAAATTCATGCGCAAAAATCGTTTTGCGCATGCGCAGAAATGCAATTATCTTATTTATGGAACAATTAAAACGAAATTTGGATGGTAGGTCCTCCTAATAAAAGAAAACAAAATGCATGCGCAAAAAATTGAGTTGCGCATGTGCAACATCCAACTTTCTTATTTATGGAGCAATTTTAACGAAAATTGGATGGTAGGTCCCTCTAATAAAAGCAAACAAAATGCATGCGCATGCGCATGCGGAAATCGTGTTGCGCATGCGCAGAAATGCAACTTTCTTATTTATGGAACAATTTTAACGAAATTTAGATGGTAGGTCCTTTTAATAAAAGCTAACAAAATGCATGCGCAAAAAATAGTGTTGCGCATGTGCAACATCCAACTTTCTTATTTATGGAGCAATTTTAACGAAATTTGGATGGTAGTCCCTCTAATAAAAGCAAACAAAATGCATGCGTAAAAAATGCACCTTTCTTATTTTTTCCGTCTGTATGTACGTACGTACGTTTGTTGGCAATTTTCTGAGAAAACGGCTCGACGGATTTGTTCAAATTTCGGATATGTATATTAGGCATACCGAACAGAAAAATAACGGGCTGGATTTTTGAAAAAAAATTTTGGAGCGCCGCAATGGCATCAAACTTTTTTTTCAAATAGTAACCTGAAATTTTTATTGAGTTATTTGGAAGATCTTATCTTTCTGTGTACAACCTACAAAAATTGTGTCGGGTTTTATTACCAAAAAATGTTTCAAAACCCACTCGTGGGTATTGCCGCGTAACACATTGTAAATGATGAGTAATGGGGAAATATAGACCATAGCAGCTAGCAATTAGCGAAAATCTAAAGTCTCTTGGTGACCCAGGGGCCGAGATCTCGATGGAACAGACGGACGGACATAGACAGACAGACGAAAACACAAGCACATAAGCGTTACCTCAACATCGTTGTGATACACTAAAAAGTTGGCATTGCGCAGTTTGCGCGCATATGCACACTTGATTTTTACGATTTGCGATATGTTGCCATTACTAGAAGCATCTGTGGTTAAAATTTCAAAGAAATATCTCCACAAATAAGAAAGTTGGCAAATATGGAGTTCAGTAAAACTGTGGGAAATGGGTAAGTGCGTACATATGTTGGCAATTTTTGGTTTCAGCTAGGAAGCTATTCTGTCAAGAATTTGACACCTGGTTTTACAATAGGTGGCGTATACTTTGAAGGTGTGCCAGACGGCTATCAAATTTCGCTGTCTGGGGGGAGAGGGTGAGGGACATAAATTAATTCGCTGAGATGCTGTTTTTGAAAGTGAAACGTGCATACGTTTTAGGTACGACAACCAATTAGTTTCAGATATCCATACGCACGCCTTTTATGGTGGCAAGTAAAACTTTTGAAAATGGGGGAGGGTGTAACACACGTTCTTCTAATGAACGGTCTTATCGAAATAAAGGGAGACGGCGGGGTTACAAATTAATTTTATCTTTCATGGTACTTATTCTAATCAAAGTTCTCACCGAAAGTAATCGTTTTCTACCAACTACCGCCCTTCTTTATGACCCGTTATCAAAAGAGGTGGAGGAGTGGAAACTAGTTTTATCCTTCATGGTACTCCCCAATATCCCCAGAATGGATTGTCGGAAGAGAGTACTCACCAAAGGCGATTGAGACGTCTGAAACAAATATACCCATTGGTGATGTCAAAACTTTAACAGCGAATATCTCGAAAACGGTTTGTCGGAGGAAAGTATAGGATTTCCTGATCCCTATGCTCGTAATGTTGCCCGCGTTAAACCATATCTCCACCCCAATGTGACGTCACGAACGGATTGCAACCAATTAGCCTGGACGCCGATGTACAGTATTGCATTCTAAAAACAATTTGGGGTATTATTCACATATTACACTCAACTGGCGCACCTTTTGGCCAGTGCCATAACAAAACGTCGACACACCGCTACTGTAAGATGGACAAAGTTTCAATACGTGATTTAGCTGCTATATCCATGGACAATGAAAAGCAAGAAAACAAGAAACCCAGGACGAAATGGATTAACGAAATTTTGAATAAGCGAACAACCGAAGGAGAATTTGTAGACGTGTAGAGAACGAAGGGCAAGTGTTTCTCATTTAAATACCTATCTACAACATGCATTTGGATTGGACGTATTAGAATTAACAAAATATGAAATGCATTTTATAGTGGTGCACGAATCGACGGAACACTAATCAAAGCAGGCGATGCGGTCTGGGTCAGCAAGTGACGTCACTACACACGGCGAAAAAATTCCTTGATAGAGCAATCCTTTTTATTATACCATGAGCAATCCTATACTACATATAGGGTTTTCGCTATAAAAAGGGTTGCACGTCATTGATTTCATTGATACAAATATGTATTTTAGTTTAATAAATATATAGTCAATATAAAAATAAGTAGAAACCTATAATATAGGCTCTCTGTGTGAAACCATGTTACTGTGCTGCAACTGGTTCAAAGAAAGTGCAATCTATTAAGTCTGTAGTACCTTTAAAATTTTTGTACAACTTATCGCAGCTGTTGAATTTAAGAAGAGCGAAGTTCAACCAAGACAAAAACACAAAAAAAATTGATGCCAAAACGGGGTTTGCGGAAAGTTTCATTGCTTTATTTTTTATATTTATTATTTGTTTTATTAGTTATTTATTTATTTTTTATTATATATTTTATTAGTTATTTTTTAAGATATCAAACTAATTCAAAAACCACTGTGTTCAGCATGAAATGATCTTAAACTTACATTATTTCAGTTTCCCTATAATGGAATGCAACTTTCGTCTGGCAAAATTATTTAGAATCAACATTGAAGTAACTCGATGGGCTGATTTCAACTCAAAAATCCCAGTCTTCCAACCCCAAAAAATGGTAAGAGGGCGTTGTCAAATACCGAGCCAGTTGCCCTAAGCGTACAAAAAATGTATAACGCAATAGTAAAGCAAATGGTACGTTGTTTCAATAGAGGATAGATTCTCTAATTAGGAAATCGGCACGTTTCTCATGAATCGCTAAATGAAGAAATAATCGAGAATGAAATATTACTAATACCTACAGCAGCAGAAATTGGCAAATCTTTATAGGTATACAATGACCCATTTGCTACTCTGTAGATTAATCACATTTCTAAATTGTTGGTTTTAAAACAGCCATAAATATATGGCATAAGAAAGAAACTGATTGCTTAACGTTTATTGCGTACAAATTGTGTAAATCAGGTAATACAATTTTCTCATCATGCACAAGTAAAAAATGAAATGGCGCTTAAAAATTCCGATTTAGAATTTATTTTCTGCAATCTACAAAGCTGAAGGTTATGACATTGATTGCAAAATTGCTCGAGAACATGTAATTGCACAACATAAACCTAAAATTAGAATAACTGCACATTTTTCCATTATCGATACGGTGTTGTTGGTGCATGTTCTTATAAGATGAAAAGTACAATGTGTGGACAATTGTGCATTTTTGGGCGTGAAATCTATAGATTTACCATGTTGCTCCTGTAATACTCGACGAAATTTGTACTCGTAAAAATCAACATTTTGCTCTACCAACTTAACCAGACAAAGAGCAAGATAGGAAGAACACCAAGGCTGGGCATTACGGTAATGCATTCCACGACGAAAAGGATAATGCCTAAACCATCCAATAGTTATTTACATAAGAGTCAGGTTAAATGACAAATTACTGGCGAGGAAATATTGAAGTACAAAGCCCCTGCGAGACCGAGTACTTTAATTTCCGAGTCAAGGGAACAGGGTCGGTATTTTAGATTTTGTAAGACTTTTTGAAATACAAGTCAACGTAGACTTAGGTACAAGACTCAAACTAAAGGCAGTCAAACGTCAAACATTTTGAAAATTTTTGAATAACTTGAAAACCTTTGACGTTGGGTATAGAGAAATGTGGTATCAAACGACGTAGATTTTGATGTAGATTCCGAAAATGCGATAACGTACAGGATGTTCTATTCAAAATAAGAAAGTTACTAGCCACATCCGGCTAAACCAGAAGTAAAACGATCATTATCATATTTTCTTTCGATAGATCATGAAAATTATTTTGATACGCAAATTTTCAGATTTAATGTATTAATGAGAGCCCGAAAACTTTTAGGTAGCGGTTTGCTTGACATAGCCTCTATATGAACAGAAAACGAAATGAGCGCACAACCGACCGCCAAAGAGCGGCGGATCCATCTAGTTGAGTACTAACCACAATCTTACTGTGAACGTCGGGCAGTGAGTTAAATATTGGGTAAAGTAGTTGTACAACGTGTTGGTGGTTGGTTTCAATTATCCCTTTGGGATTGTGTTGTGGTGGTTTATTCAAGGTGGGCAAATGGTTGAAACAGGATCTTTGGGTAAGAGGACAAATTTGAATGCAACTATTGATGGAATAAATGACTGCAGTTGTGATTGTGATAATCCACTAACTTTTTCAAATAAAAACCCAAATGGTTGGACCGATGGGCAGTGTAGTTATTCCGATAAAGAAAAGTTGGTCGCCATCTGAAAAAGGTTGGGAACCACTGACCCATAGTATTTAGTAATCCAGGCAAATTAGAGAAATTTTCGACAAATAAAAACATTAATCGGTAAAGATCCGATTTTTGGCATAAGTACATGTTTATACGACTTCATGTTGAACACACTAAAAGTCCCCGTGAAAATCTTGAAAAAGGGTCCACTTTTTCAGTTTTTTGCCTATATCTCGGCAAATATTACCGATACGAAGAAATAGAAGAAAAAAGAACAGCGTGGTCGTGCTATAAAGCATTCTATAATCTGTTCACCCAACAGATGCAGTTAAGCCACTCCCAATAAGTTTTGGTCAGTATAATAGCAGACCCGTTTCACAGTCACAAAAATTATAAAAACCGGGAAATTTAAAATCGCATGTCACATTGTATGACTAAGTTCAAACATATTAATTTGTTTGTATAAATGAAATTAAGGGTAAGTTGAAGCACAGCCCTCTATAATTACAAGCCATGCTTAGAAGTTTGGCAACGCTGTTCGAAAGTCAATCGGTGGACCGATATAAGTTTTAATGGCGTCTTGTTGCTCTTGAAAAATTGCATTGTTCATCTCTTCTGTGCTCCGGCTTGGTGGTTTTAATACCGAAGAAAGATACTTAGTCAGCTTACAATTATTGTACATATATTTTATTTATTAACAAAAATGGATAATAACATTTTTATTTGAATTTTAAATTCCGAACGCTGTAAATTAGTAACACAAATTCTCGCAATCTCGCTCTGTTAAAACAGTTAAATAGGAATATTACACCAAAAAGACATATACAATACACCTGAAACTGCCAAGTTGAATTAGGAAGTCGGCCTACCATGCAGTGTTGCCATAATTCTCAACACGGCTTATAATTATAGATGGTTGTGGATGAGGCAAGACAAATACAAAACGATAAAAAATGACCGGTTTGGCGAAGGAGATTATTTTATTGTGGAAGTGGTGTTTCATTAAATACAGGAATCAACCTCGAACGAGACTGCTGCGAGCTGATTGTTTCGCGACGGTTAGAAAGCATGCACTTGTCTTTACGCTACTTATTTTATTCGAGCTCTTCGTCTGATTTGATTAGCTGAAGACTTAGTTTGTCATTATTATAATAATTTTGTGCAGAACTTTAAAGTTTGTACCGTCTGAACAGCCACCGGAAATTCGTCATTTTCTTTATCAAAATTATTTCTTGTTGTAATTAATTTCAATGAAGTAAAGATTGTTGATGATGCACCAATTATAGGCTGTTTTTAGAAATGTTTTACATTAAGAACAACTTAAAAATGAATTTTATATCGGACATTCAAAATCTTAGTAATCTAGCCGTTACTCTCAATAAGTAAAATTTTATTCCACAAAAAAACCTACCAAATAGCAACTACCTATGAAAATCAGCCGGAGAATGAGAACAACACTAACTCGTATAAGGTTGCGCCATACGAAAATCACACACTCGTATTTATTGAGGAGAGAGCCAAAACCAACTAGCGAGAAATGCAACGAACACCTGAATGTGGAACATATACTCCTGATGTTGTCAGAATATACAAATTGCTTTTTTTTAACTTTGTAATTTTTGGAAATTTTGATCTAGTTTCATCCTCTAATTGTTTCAACATATAATTCAATTTTTTAATGTAATGTTTAAATTTAACTTTAATTATTTATTGTATTGACGATTGTAGTTCGAGTCCTGATGAAGTGAATAAACAATCACGAAAGTTTGACCTGAAAAAGAGGAATGATTAACAAATTTGGTACCGATACCAGGTAGTCTTTTCTTAACGTGTACTTTCTGACGACAAATACTCCTTGTATTAATGAACTTGACTAATATCACAGACATAGTATATGTTGTCTGTGCTAATATACACGTTTAAGGCGTATTTATAGCTTAGGAGTAAATAAAATGAATTTCAGATTATTTGAATTGACTACTTCTTAATTACAAGCGAATATTATGAAAGCGATCGTAGTTCAGTTGCAAGCTCTCCGTTCCTAATTTACGGTTTACGGTTGATGACGCTGGATCGAACCCAAGCGCGCGCGTGGTTTTTTTTATAATACATCGCAGCAAAAAGAACGGAGTGAAGGAGTGTGAGAGAGAAAGTAGTCACTTCTGTCGACACTCACCAAGTACAACTTTTAAATTTGTTTGTACTTTACAATAATCATGGGCACGAACCATACCTTACGATTACTCAATTATGCAAAAACGTGAAAAGTGTTCTTATCGATTGAATTCATAGATCGCTCCTTTTTTTTAGTTTATCTTTGTTATCGTCATATATCTATTGATTTCTTGTGTATTAACCACGGGTGATCTTATACCATCGTTCACTTTGATTCAACTTTATGAATCATTTTAAAATGTATAATTTTTTTCAGGTGGGGAGCGTTCAATTGTGATTCTCCAAGGATTTTGGTCGACAATATGTTGGAAAATATCGCAAAGGACCATCCAGTAAGTATATCATATCGAACGAGAGGTGACCCTATTCGTGATAGACCAACGCTGAGATAAGGAAAAATAGCGCAGTCTATCACATTCTGTTTCAAGTTAATTTTTTCAACATCAATTTGAATAGTCCCGGAAATGTATCATAAATACCTGGTAGCTTTTTTTTATCGGATTATAACTTAGGTTAGACATGAGTTTTCAAAAAATGTAACGGTTTAGTTACATTTACAAGGGTTGAAAATCCCACATGCGCTTAATAAAATTGAGCCCCTGCGGCACTGGCAAAAATGATTACTGCAACAATTAGTTTTTATTTGACCCACGGCTAGCTCTGCAATAAAAAAAACTCTAAACACCCCTTTCTTTGCTGAAGTTTAGCTCTTTATCTATACAGTGTTATTCACGTAGAAGTAGACATAGGGATTTCCTATAGGAATTTCCTATGTCTACTTTTAATTGATAAATAGTCTGCTGAAGGACAACTAATTTTATTCAACCAAAATAACTTCCTACAACAAATGAAGATCTGCCCGTCCTATTAATGAATTTGAATATTATCGTGTTGACTTCCGTATCCTAATTTTCGTTCGTGCGCGATGTATTCAACTAAAGAAAAAATTGATATTTCCAATTGGTATAGTGCCGGTAACAGTTAAAGGAGCTTAAGAGATTTATTTTCTGTGCCCCCAAAGCAACAATATTCAAATTAACAAGACAGCCAGATCTTTATTTGTTTCAAGAAGTTATTTTAGTTGCATAAAATTAGGAGTCCCTCAGCAGACTTTTTATCATTCAAAAGTAGACATAGGAAATTCCTAAAGGAAATCCCTATGTCTACTTCTACATGAATTACACTGTATATCTATTAAGATGCTAGCCGTCGTTCGTTGTAGTTGCCAGCGGGCGGCCCGGGTTCGATTCCCAACGCTGGAGAATTTTTTTTAAATTTTATATATTATTTAGCATTTCTACATTTCGTAGACTAATGCAGATCGTTCACATGGGATGGGATGTTACACAGGGCCGTAGGGGCTGTACTTCTAGTTTTATCTTAAAATCTGTAATTCAAAACCGTATGCTCTGGTTTGATTGAACCCGAATATATACATGGTTCAATATATTAATAAAAATAAAAGCAGTCAAATTCCATTTCTCGCTAATTTGATTTAAAATATTGGAAAAAATATAGACAACAAATAATTGCATTTGTCACGTGTCAATACAAGATATAATCCTTATTTACTTATTTACACATAAAAAATTCTTAGTAGGTACATTCTCTTGTTCTGTGCCGTTAAACACAGAACTTTATTTATAATTTCTGGTGTGAAAAAAGGTCATTTCCAAACAGATTGATTTTACGTTCGCATAATTTGATTAATACGAACTCCGCACAAAATTTTTCTCTCCCACGGTTAATTTGTGTGTGCTACAAATCAGGCTTATAAAAAATTTCCGCTTATCTCGGGAATTACGGAAATTTGTATCTTAAAAATGACTGAATTTTTACAACGTTAAATTTTCTTGTGGCTAAAAAATTGACTTAAATAATTGAATGTTACAATTTTACAAACGGACTTCAAAAGTTGCGCGAAAAAAGAAACAAAAAAAACTTAAAAGTTCGCCTCAAGGTATAACTCGAATCCGCACAACTAATATATGGTACCTTTTACAATATTGCATGTTTTACGTTTCGTTAAGCTTCATTTCTATTTCTAGGATATCGATTACATCATGTGGACAGGAGATTTACCGCCCCACGACATATGGCTTCAAACTAAAAATGACAGTTTGATGGTTTTAAAGGAATCTGTAGCCCAAGTCCAGCGCATTTTCCCTAATACTGTTATACTGCCAGCTCTTGGAAACCACGAAGGGATACCAGCTGGAAAGTAAGTGGCTGTTGTATAGTACCTCTTTTTGTCGAATGGTTAGGGAAAGTATGACCGTTGACACCTTTTCACTCGTGCATTATAGAATAGTACAAGGTTTTCCTTCTAGACCTAGGTGCACATATATGACATAACTTCTACTTTTTAACTTCCCGTTGTTTCGTTGAATGTACCCTTAGTTTCAGTATCTGAATTAATGCGCTTTAGTGTGTTAGGAGTGTAGTTGGTATAACTCGGAATGGAGAAATTTCGCTTTTGTTGAGTCGTTGAAAGGTTTCATGTTGAAAATACAGAAGCATCAAACTAAAATTGTCTGAAATATATATCTAAACTTATTTAAGTGATGAGACATTGTTGTATCTTTTCGAGGTAAAGTCATAGGATTGCTTATTTGGTCAACACGTTTCTTTTTAAGTTGTGTTTTAATTTACTTCTACCTATATCGCGATCCGAAACCCATTTATTAATGGGACACGTAAGTTTGAACTAATTTGATGTTAGTCTGGTATTGTAGTTTTTGGCATTAAAACGGACCTATCGATGAAATACCATTCTCTTATGAAATGCTAAAACGAGCTAACCAACCTACGATTGATATGTTCAGCTTAGCTGAAACTCATCTAACACATGATATTTAAGATCAGATGTCCTGGGTGAAATATCGGAGCCGCTGCCAAAGTGCAGGTAATCTGTAATTGTTTTTCGGGTGCCGTACATTTTTGTTACAGTCCTGATGAATTGCTCCGAAATTGACTACATGAAATAGGGAAGTTACTAATGTGGAATCAACTGTCAAGTGCTTTGTAATTAACTTTTGCCTTTGTCGTTAATGTTAACGCGAGGTAATTCAGTTAGTTAATTTATTTATCTATCTATCTATCTATAAAAATATTGACAACAGGTACAAAAATATTTGGTCTAAAAAAGGGATCTTAGCAATGGAGAATTGTTACACCCATATAAAAAATAATTCACTAAAAAATGACGTCATTTAATTATACACAGGATCTGGCTAATAAATTAAACACAGGCAATTACTCATTACCTTAATTAGGTAACTCTCTTTCTAATTATATTTCATATTCAAGGACGGCTACTTTTTATACCGAGTGTAACAATTAAGTAGGTATGTTTAAAAAAAGCGGTGAAGAATCAAGATGTTTTTTAAATAATTTATTTGAGCGCTGTGTTCGGTAGTCCCAGAGTTCGCTTCTCTCCTTTTTTAAGCAATGTGACAGATAGAGAAGCCCTTTTCTGTTTCGATAAAAATTTATAGAAAATTTCAATTGTTTCATACGATTTCTTAGAAAAACGTTATGCGTATTTTATCGTTGAAATTCGTAAGTTTCGAATACGCGCTCGTCACGCCCCTAAAAGGTCAGACATGTGCAAATCAATTGAAGCCATACGTCTGTTTTAACATTGGAAATGTTTATGGTTTCGTATGTATGTGGTATATGGGTACAGTGATGAGTTTCGTTTAACCAAAAAAGACAACGGTGGCGCATTAAGTTATACCGTACTCGACCGGGCTTCGTCCTCACTAATCAAACTGAAAATAAATGAAAAAAAGGATCACTTTCAAAACCAGCTGCACAAATAACTATCCCAGCACACACACTTACGTTTAAAAAGCGTTTTTGAAGCGCTTTGAGAGGATAAATTCGGTATTGCCTGGTAGTATGTTTTACGTTTTTGTGTAGACGAGTTATATACCTACGTTTAAAATACAATTTTTATTCAGATATATAAAATAAACCATAGAGTTCACTTTCGACGTTGATAATACGTACATAAATAACCGTTTTTTGGAAAGCGTTTGATAAACGTATATAACACCCCTTTAATATATCTACGCATATAAATCGTTAATCAATGTGAAATAATAAACGCATAATATTCCTACAAGACTATACCACATTACTCAATAGAGATATAAGATCTTCCAAACACTGGAAAACGTCCAGTTTCTTTGCAAGGTTCCAAATGTAATAATACAACACAATACAAATCCTTTCCAAGTAAGTAATTCCCACTGATCGGTTCCTTTAAGGATATTAATTTACGTTAATTTAAAATTTCAATTCAAATACTCAAAGACAACCGGTTACTGTATAGGCACAGAAATAAAAAGCCTATTTCCCACTGTATTAAATATAAATTTTTCCCGTTTATTAACCCTTCAGTACACGAGCTCTGCGGATTTACGTGATCACACGCGGTTTCGTGGAATCGACCACGTCAATCTTTTTTGCGCTGATTGTTGTGATTTTATCGCTAATGTTGCAATAAAACGTAAATATCATTATTAACACTTTGTACACATAATAGTTATTTATGCATCAAGGGCATAAAGGCGTTATTTATGCCGTAGGCGACAGAATCCGAGAGCCTCCGGCCCGAGGGATTGTAAGTCGCCCGAGTGTTAAATATTGAGTAATTCCTGAGGTGCATACAAAATTTTATTTTTTATAGTTCCAAATAATGCATTTCTAATATACAAATGTAATGATTATTGTTTCACCAACATTAAAGTGCTTCATACGAATCAAGTGGCATCTTTTTTATTACATAATATAACTCCATCAATATATTTGACAGGTCGTTTGAGGGCATAATGAGATTATAATCCATTATGTCCTAGGGCTTCATAGACTGCTTTATATGTCTCATATTATGACAGATATAATTGGCATATAATAGGCAAATGAAAAATAAAAGTTATGGAACATAAACACTGAAACAACTACTCGTCAAAAGAACTATTGGTATAGTCAATTACGTCCCATTTCTAAGCATTGTGAGACGTACAGCTTGAATATAAACAGTAATTGTGGAAATCCCAAGGTGAAAAGCATAAGTAGCAGTATAGATAGTATCGAAGTCTAGCTGAGAATCTTCACAACTACGCGAATTAATATTAACGCACCAAAGCTATACATGCTTGCTTCGAAGTTAAGTTAAAAATGCTGGCACTCCTGTTGCGTTGGATATTTGTATTTCGCCCGCTGGAAAATTTGAAACGGCACACTCGTCAAGCCCGTAAACTCGCGTATTTTTCACATACACGTGAGAGCCTCCCTACCTCTTCGTAACAGCAGCTTTGAAACTGGAAACACGATCGAGCTAGCGTTTATCACCTAAAAACAGCCTGCGCGCACTTTTATCGCTCTTATCTCCCGACATACTTTTGTTCACGTTTACTAGAAAGCGGTGTAAATTACAAAAACAGAACGTAACGGATCTCGTTACAACGACCTGAAGTTCTCAGCTGCGGTAAACAAAATGCAAGAAACATTCAATGTCAAGAAATGCTTTCACTTTGATGTTCTGCAAACGACCCAATCAAAATTTGGCACCAAACAAAAATGGATCGAGCAAACTTTAAAAAGCGTTAGTCCGTTTACTTGTTTGGAGTGCAGACGAAAGCGCACTTTATGCTTTTTAATAAGGTTACGCCCATTAGAAAACAAAACGCACGAGTGCGCTTTGTTTTCTACCTATTAGGGTATGCGTGGTATAACTTTACAATTTCATCATGTCGGTCTGATCCGGCCATCCATCCCGTGCGTGTCCACGATTAGGTACGGGAAAATGACTTGTTCTATTAGTACTAGTTATTTACATAAAAGTCAGGAAAAAGACACATTGCTGACGAGTTTTATATTAAATTTTACCCGAAATCGTAATTTAATATAAAATTTCAATTTTAATATAGCACTTTTGGTTAATGTCAATCTGTCATTGATGACAGGAACCATTATAGACATTATCAATGTGACAGGTGTGGTCGGAAAAGTGACAAATGTAGTCCATATAAAGGGAGAGGCGGCAGGGAAAGTAGTCTGGTAACGTGTTACTGCCTCTGTTAGGAAACTAAGATTTTCGGACCCATACTAGGCATGAAGATCAAGGTTTTCATAGCGATTTTGGGTAATCGTTATTTGTACAACTACAGGACAAAGTTGAGTTTTTCTTAAGTTTTACACATAATTTTTTCTGAAACTACAATCAAAATTGAAAAATTATCGTATGGAATAATGAAGTTTGACACGCAGCAATCTAGATACGCGTATGTTTCAATTTTAAATGTCATTATTAAGATAAACGCAGCAATTGTATTTTTACTTTCCTTACTATAGAGGAAATAGTACATTATATATCAAGGTAGAGAAGTACAGTATTATTGCCTGAGCACCAAGATTACATCTCGAGGCGCTTGCGCCGAGGGGTGTAAGGTGCGAAGGCAATTATAGACTTCTCTACCGTGGTATATATACTATTTTTTTCACTACTAGCACTTGAAATCCTCTAAATTAACATATTATATTGATAAGAAAGTGAACGGTTGGACAAAATTGTTTGTTTCTTAATTTAATATGTCAATCAAGTACGTAGAAGTACAAGTCAAACAGGCCGTATTTTGTTCTGTCATTGAGATATTTTCAAAGAGTAATTTCGTTCGAATTTTTTCAAAATGTGATAATTTTAGGTATGTAATTTGTCTGGAAATGGCGGATAGTGGCAATTCTTCATTTTAGAGAACTTGTCTAAACGTTTATTGAGCGAAATTTCGGGTTGTGTTTTCTAAAAGTGACAGCGTGACAGTTCTCATTATTGACTACTAGTTAATAATGTCCACATTATTAACCACTTTGAACAAATGCCGAGAAAGCCTACTTTACAAGTGGAAAAACGGTTAATAACCATGACATCAGACGCTAGTAGTGAAAAAATAACATTTTCTTCACTCTTTTGAGAGACGAAAGTTGTTTCTAAAGTAGTTTCATAATTATACTATGGTAGTTTCAAAATCTGTTTTTTCTATCTTGTAATCCACTATCGAGGATGTGCACCTCCTATATATTGAGCCCCATCACATAATTAATACATGGTTCAAAACTAGAATCAAGGCCAAGGTCAATATTTCTGACAGTCTATAGAGATATGGGTGCGATAAATTGGTCTATTTGTGGATAGTTCAAATATCTTCTTTTATTCCAAAGGATATCTTATTCGCAAAAAAGGAAAAGATGATCAAAAGGCATCAATTTCGTTAATATTCGCAAATAACAGTCAAAAATATGTCGTGGATGTTTCATCTCGTTATTCTAGTAGTTATTCCTAGAAGCACAGATATACGTAAAAAAGTATATCTGTGCTAGTAGTATTTCGTGATTGATTACACTACTAATGTTTCTAATTATTGTCCTCAGCTTTCCACCACCTTGGAACAAAGACCAAGCACATTCAATGGATTGGTTGTACAACGAAGTGAACAAGCATTGGAAAACATGGTTGCCGGAATCGGAGGAAAATTCAATTTTACAGGGGGGATTTTACTCGGTCCTGATTCGGCCAGGATTTCGAGTAATATCCCTAAATACAAACTACTGCAACATTTTCAGCTGGTAATTGAACCATTTCGCGTTTCTATTCCGCTTTTGAAAATTTGCTTGCAGGTGGTTACTTCTGAACAACACTGATCCGGCGAAGGAACTCGATTGGTTAGTTAATCAATTGGAGCAGGCGGAAAACAACGACGAGAAAGTTCACATCATTGGTATTCTCTATTTCGTAACCGAAACGGTGAAGTAATAGCAAAATGTTTAGGTCACATACCTCCAGGTTCATCCGACTGCATGAAAACGTGGTCCCATAATTTCAACGAAATAGTAAATAGGTATCAAAACGTAATTAAAGCGCAATTCTATGGACATACGCATTCAGATGAGTTTCAACTATTTTACGATCCTAACAACAGCAGTGAGTACTTAATTTGCACCCGATCGGTTCAGTTTTTTTCTCAATTAGGTAGACCAAATAATGTCGCATACGTTGCACCTTCCGTTACACCATTCTCCGGCTATAATCCGGCGTATAGAATTTACCACGTCGACGGGGAACATCCTGATAGTACCTGGGTCAGTAATTCGTCGGTTACTACGTCATAGGCCGATCTAAATTTGACGTATTACAGGAAGTCATCGATCATGAAACATGGATTATGGATTTGGATAAGGCGAATAGCAATTTAAATGAAAATCCAGAATGGTTTAAACTTTATTCGGCAAGGGAGGCATTTGATATGCCAAATTTGAGGCCACTGGAATGGCACAAATTGATTTATCGGATGGTGCAGGAACCAAAGCTATTTGAGGCATTTTATAAGTAAGCACCTCTTCAGTGGGTACCACCAAGTGAATCAACTTTATTTTAGGTTCTTCCACAGGGACAGTCCAGTAAGTAAACACATGACCAATAAAGAAAAGCTATACATACTCTGCGATTTGAAAAGCGGTCGATCACAAACGCGTCGCGCAATATGTCGGGATTTAGAGATAATGATACATGATTGATTGTGATATTATTGTTACATAATTTATACAGTTGCAAAGATTAATAATATATTAAACAGTACGGGTGTTTCTGTTCGCATGTGTCGCCGTAATCCGCGAATTCATCTAGAGTGGGTAGATTCGCAAACAGAGCCGCCTTTCCCTTGGGTACATTTTCGTGCGAGGAATTAACAGTCCTTTGCATTCCCCATATTAAAGGTGAAGCCTTACAGAGTAAAAGTTGAATGCAATCGGTGTCCTCCTCCAAGGCTTGATCTTTGATGTATCCCACTACGTTTTCTGGCAAGTCGTCCCCCTTGGCGCTTTCCAAAATATGGGCCAGGTTAGAATTGTTCAACACCCAATCGTAGGGAGTTCCATCTTTCACCCTTCTCGCTTCCGTCAACTGAGATGGCGGAGGTTTGGATAAGGTTGAACTAATCTGTAAAGATGCGATTTAGATGGGCTGCGCAGATTTGAAACGCTTACCAATTGCGCAATAAATATAATTGCGTTAACAGCAATCGCGCTGATCTTCTTCGTGTCTAAGCCCAACAGACGCAAAAATCCGGAGAAAATGTGAAATTTTCCATCAAATTCTTCCGAGGAGGGTTTTGAATGCTTTCCACTGAATGTGTCACTTACCATTTGTGCCAAGCTATTCGACGGATCGATTCCCAAAAATTTTCCGGCAATTTCAAACCCCGCTTTGATTTTTCCCATCACCCCCGATGATTGATCGTCACTGGAAACGTTTTTAATTACTAACAAAATTAGAAATAAGTTTGTTAGTCTCATTTCTGTGATGGTTGAGATTACACTGAAAGTGGGTAAAGTTAACATATCCGCTTGGGCTGCCATGTGCAGCATTTATCTTAAACATTATAAATGCTTCCTCGTGACACTACCGTTTTAAGAGATGTAATCAAGGGATGTCGTTTAGCGGAACTTTATAATTGTTTAATGTGAATTTCATTCTGTGTCGATACTCGGTTCAACAAACATGTACGGGCTGGTATTGGTCGCTGTTTTTTTACAAGGGGTTCTAACTCAAGATATTTCTGCGATAACAGATTTGAAAACTTTAAGTGAACTACCTCTGGAAAAGCTTTTGTTGCTGAAAAACAAGTTTGATGTGGAAGGCACACGAAGGACTGATGAAATATCGACAAAGCTAGGCGTGGAAGCAATTCACGGACCTGAGGCGTTAGCTCTGCATTCTAAACCGATGGTCCACAACCGCGGAGGACACGACGAGCATTATGGTAAGAAGAAAGATACCAGCACAATGTTTCAGTACTCTGTGACGGCCTTGTCATTCGCGGCGTTCGGAGGTTACCTGCTGTGTCTTATCGTGCAAGCAATAAGGGCAAAGAATGCGGCGACGACGACAACAACCACTGTGGCACCACCACCTCCAGCTTTCGCAACTCTGTTAAGACCGGGACGACCTTTTGGGGAGCAACTTCCAACACGAATTCCGAGGCCAGGCACCCATAGATATAAAAGGCAAGCGGCACAAATTGTAGATGCTGATAATATGTATGAAGTTTTATTGATGCTCGCCGAAGGTTACAGTAAATATCATACCTTTGATTATAAATCTGTCAACCAAACAAATAATTTTTGGTAATGTATTGCATCAGTTGAAATAAATATTATTTATCTTTTTTGTATAAATGTAGTTGAATATAAGGTAAAGGCACAGAGTAAAGGTAACGTAAATGGAGGTGAAAGTTCAGATGAAAAACGGTCTATTAGGCCCATGAAAGCCTATCTAGTCAGGCATTTTTCCAGTTGATTTGAGACAACCCTGAGAGGTTCCACCCTGTATATACAACTTACGACGATACATACATTTTTGAGAGTTGGCAACCATGCAATTTCTAGGTGGGGAAAAGCTGCCTGCACAGCTTTCTTACTATCCAGCTGCACAACTCTCTTGGCCGGTTTGCCGGTTGCGCCGATCTACGCGCGCAGAGCTTATGCCCCGCCTCTTGGGGTAAAAGACTGCATTGCCTGTTTGGCGTGCAATCAAGTCCAGTGTTGCCACGTTGACCATTTTCCCGAATTCAATTCAATTAGGCAATAAAATTTATTAAACACCTTACCCTACTTTCATTGCAATATTACGTAATATTGTACAGCAAATTCTAAACGTTCACATTACAATCAAAGACTATGAGGATAGTCTTTGTTACTACAATACAGCACAAAAATCACCTACTACGGTACTGTGAAGCTACCGTGCGATGAAAATTCGTTTAATCCGGCCCCGACTTTTACCCCAAGCGCGAGAAAGTGCGCACCATTCCATCTCGCTTGGTTGTAGACCGCCAGATCAAAGGCGCCGCTCGAGAGTTGCGGAGCTGGATAGTAAGTAAGCTGTGCTGCCTGCGCCATCTAAAAAAGCACGAACGGAGGTTACGTTTGGCATCTTGTCTTGAATGGCGGTCGTGATCGCGTCGCTCCATAAATGTTTGTTTATTTTGTGTTATTTAATACAGGTAGTAATTTTTGCATTTCTTTATATCGTATTTGTGTTTTGTCTGCCGCATTTTAAACTTTTTGTTTGTTTCAATCTTTGTTTTTGAATATTTTCTTGGTTTAACCGCAATGCAGAATGAAATGTTTAATACCGTTATCCTTTTGTCTGTAATTGTTTACGTTTTTGGTGTAATGTTTGCTTAATTTATGTGTTGATTACTTGGTCTTGTCACAGAAGTTACAGTCATATAAATTTTGATCATTTTATTTTAATATGTGGAAATTACCGATTCGTTTGATGTATGTACTGACTTGTTGTTTGTAACTAGCAATTTTCTCCGTAAATGAAGCAGCCACGGGGGTGATAAAAACAGTAACCATTTGAAGTACGACACCTAATTCCGTGATTGTCTTCTACATTCAACTGTAGGCTCAAAACCCCGAAACCAGGAGCGGGTTACCTATCTTGCCGGAGCGGGATTACGCTAATCAAAGCTCTTCAGTTTAGAATTTGTGTGCGATAAATGAGTTACGATTCGTAATTTCCCCATATTTTGTTTTTAGTTAAATTTGCCTACAAGGCCATGTAATTTTCCATCTTGCTTGTAACAAAAGGACTTTATTGCACTAAAGATAAGTCACATCCTGTGTATTCCATCCTTTCTTAGAATCTTGGCACCTGCTTACTGGCCGTATAATTCCCAAAACTTGTTTTTAACCTATATGTTACCTCTTGAAGTTTACATGCTACTTTTTGTGATGTTATAATTTTATGTTACGCATTCACATCATTACAAACAATTAATTTTACTACACAATTCAATATTAATTTGACGGCTGGTTTTTTTATTGATAAGTTCTTTATTTTTCCCAGCCCATTTCTATTTTTATAATAATATAATAATAATAATAATAATGATTCGGTGAACTACCATTTTCAAAGTTTATTTTTGCAATGTAATTTATTTTGACTTACATTTCCGAGCTTTTACAATCATAATAATCACGATAATTATTAAAGAAACTTTTCACAATTTCAGTGTTTTATTTTACGTTCCTTCCCTACCGTGCTTCTGGTCATAGCGTTGTTTACAACTAACGTAAGAGGCGCCCTAACTTAGATGTTTGATCATGTGCCATTTTTAGCGCATTTCCATAAAAATAAAAAAAAAATGCGCTATTGTGGCCACTTTGTCCGTCCGTCCGTCCGTCCGTCCTGCTGTCCGTCCGTTTGTCCGTCCGGCTGTCCGTCCGTTCGTCCGTCCGTCCGTCCATCCGTCCGTCCGCTCGTTTTGCGACGCTACTAGTTCTTTATCTTAAGAGCTATTGTTCTACTTTTTTCGCTATTTGGTTCGTTATGGTGTCGAGTCTTGTACCAAGGAAGGAATTTTTTCTGTACCGCTTACAAAAAAAGTTATTGTAAAAAAAAACAAAAAACCGTTTTTTACATGTTCCATAATTTTACACTTTTGCCGTTTATTAACGATCCTAGAGATCGGTTATAATTTTGTATTGCTATCTGTCGTCTGCCTGTTGGTCTGTCCGTCTGTTCCTTTGTCTGTCTGTCCATCTATCTGTCCGTGTGAACGATAACTTTGTTTAGAAATGTTCGATCACTTTTACATCTCCGTTAGTTATGAACTGAATTGCATGAAATTCAATATGGGCATAGCTTTAGTCATATAATACGCAATGCCAAAAGTTGAATCGAATCGATTCAAAATTCACAGTGCCCTTTTCGCATCTCGACCATTTATAAACCGAATTGCAAAATTTTTTACTTATAAAAGCATTTGAATGAAATTTGATACATAGGCACTTGGAATAAAGGAAAATCAAACGCCAATTTCAAAATTTGGTTTTGCGCATGCGCAGTGCCAACTTTTTTATTTATGGAAGAATTTAAACGAAATTTGATACATAGGCACTTGGGATAAAGGAAAATCAAACGCCAATTTCAAAATTTGGTTTTGCGCATGCGCAGTGCCAACTGTTTTATTTATGGAAGAATTTAAATGAAATTTGATACATAGGCACTTGGAATAAAGGAAAACCTAGCGCCAGTTTCAAAATTTGATTTTGCGCATGCGCAGTGCCAACTTTTTTATCTATGGAAGCATTTAAGTGAAATTTGATATTTAGGCGCTTGGAACAAAGGAAAATCTAACATTAGTTTCAAAATTTAGGTTTGCGCATGCGCAGTTCCAACTTTCTTATTTAGAAAGCATTGAAATGAAATTCTTCTCATAAACTGACATTGAAGTAGCACGACAAAAATGGATTGCCCATGTGCAACGCTATCTTTCATATTTGTGGCCGGATTTTTACGATTTTATAGAAGTTGCATCTTACAAATGGGAAATGAATGCAAGTGGAAATGCGCTTTATGTAAATCGTTTACGATTACTTTTTAACTTGTTCAAATTTATGCGGGATCTTGTTTAGTTTTGGAGGGTGGCCATTTTTAAACGTTGCCGGGTTGACTTTATTTCCGTGTTCTTGTAGTGTGAAGTTAGCGTAGAACCTGGGGGTTAAGTACACTACAACTCTATGCTTAATTTTAGAAACCAGAGAAAAATGTGTCTCTTATCCTTGCAAATAGATTTGATGGCTTATTTCTCTAGTGTTCCGATCGATCTCCGAGAACTTTTTTTGTTCAACTTTAGTACAGGACAGTAGTCTTTACTTTATAAGCAAATCTCTGACATACAGACCGGCAGAAGAACACCATCCACTCCCCCATAGAGCTTGCATCGCTTTGCTCTGCTGCTAAATCTATGATGACGCTAGAAAAACTCAAACTGCCGCTAGATTCTTGCTATTTTTTTTATCGGAAACCTGAAATATTGGTGATCAATGCAACGTAGTTCATTAGAACATGAAACTGTAATAAATACGACCTGATGCAATTTTTAATGACCTGTATTCTCGGAGTTACGATGCACAAAAACATCCGATTGCAATTATCAGAGATCTGACGTCAGTCTCATTTACTATTTAGATGTATAAACGTTGATTAAAGATATAGGTAGTTAATCATTGTCTGAGCTAAAACAATGAATTTTAAATTACTTGTTTTTGTGGTAACAATATTAGTGGGATCTATATCTGCAGCATCGCTAGCGAAGGCCGAACAAAAAGACAAAGACATTGAAATTAGTAAGATATGATAGATTTCTTTGTAAATCACATAATCGATATGGTTTCCTGTTTGATTTCAGTTATCATTCGTATACCTCGCGAAGTTGTGTGCTTTGGTGTAGTACCTAATGGATCTGAAGATGAAAACAATGGTTGTCGTGCTACTTGCACTTTGATGGGCAACAAAAATAGAAGAAGAAATTGTGTTAATCGACACTGTAAATGTATAGCAAAGTGATTGTATTTAATTCACTAGCACTGAGCACTAATTAAAAGTTTATAAAGTTTTTTAAACAAAGATCATTATCTAATAGCGTATTATATTTCGTCCGTCTACGTATCCGGAAGAAATCAAGTGGATTTACAATTTTCGGTATCCCTTGAATTATTACACGAGTATAATCACAACAAATGATTCATATCATTTAGATATACGACTTCCATTAACCCAAAATACCTTAAAAAATACACCCCGGGTCATCGACACAATGTTGGGTCAAATCTCAGTTATGTAAAACTAACCTGATCAAGCCTTCTCGATTTTGTGGCTCTTCTAGTTTCATGCTTTCGATGGAGCTACGGTCTGGTAAACTTGCTGGGCATGGAGTTAATACCAATTAGTGTTTTTTAAATCCGAGCTGTAGTAGGTAGGTACATAAAGAACTATGAAATCTTCCGAGATATTACCGTACATCTTGTAATACCTCAAGATGCAGCCGAGAAAGTGACTACGCAACTCAAAACCAAAAATCAAAAAATTATATTCATATGTCAATGTACGTCATTAATCTGTCGGGCCATGGGCGGTGATAGGCGGTATTGTAACGGTGAAACTCGGGCGCCACCAGGAGGTTCACACCAATACTTTGCTCCTGATCAGGATTCGGAAAGATGCAGCGGTAACGAATGCCTCAAGAGAAACGGCAACTCCATAAATCCACGAGTTCAGCAAGGATAAGATGACGGCGGCTCCTCAGAAACGCCAAAATTATAAATTATAAAACACAAATTAATTATAACTCTCACCAGGAAAGATTTCCGGTCACAGCACACCTTGTGTCGATTTATAATCTATGTTTTTCTTAAGATGCGAGCGACTTCCGGAATAGGATCGTGCCCGTGTTGAACGAAAAGTCTTTTTGTTTAACATTGACACGATACTATCCCGGAAGTCGCTCGGAATGTAAATATGCTTACCTTTTCAATGCACAGTACGGCAACTTAATTGACGTTAAACGAAATCTAAATTGTGAATGGAAAAAACAAATCACTTCCTAACGCAAAATGGATCGGTACGAAAGCATAATGGTATTTTCGACAAAAATAAAAAAAATGACTACGTTACTTACAAACTTTCAACGATGTCGAGAAGTAAAATATACCCCCAAAATCGAGCGTCTTTGTATACAAATTTGCAAATTGTAGAGATGCAAATTGGTAAATCCGACTCGCCCATGGTATTGAATACGAGAGAGATTCAAATTAAACCAATTCCAAACGGTAGCTATTTTGAGAGCGCATTTCGCGACATGAGTTTTAATTAAATCCGATAAGGTTCACTGCAACTCATTTTGTTAATTACGGTTAATTATGCTTACTTAATTGGGCGCGTCAAAACTTCAATATTCGATACTTTAATTAACAGGCATTGTTAATGTAATGTTGGGTCAACTTGGTCACTACCAATCAGCAATCTACGTAAACTGCACGCCCACTGACCGGCCTTGACGTTCCAATGTTCGTTTTACATTGGAACAAAATAACCTGTCAATAATTAATTACTAGAACTGAAAGTTGATACGATTAATCTTTGCACATTTCCCCCATGCATAAGTTTCCGACGGCTACAAAAAACAATTTAAAAAGTAATCGTAAACGATTTACAAAAAGCGCATTTTCATTTGCATTCATTTCCCATTTGTAAGATGCAACTTCTGTTAAAATCGTAAAAATCCGGCCACAAATATGAAAGATAGCGTTGCAAATGTGCAATCAATTTTTGATGTGCTACTTCAATTTCAGTTTATAAGAGGAATTTCATTTCAATGCTTTTCTAAATAAAAAAGTTAGAACTGCGCATGCGCAAAATAAAATTTTCAAACTGGCCTTAGATTTTCATTTATTCCAAGAGCCTATGCATGCAATTTCATTCAAATACTTTTATAAATAAAAAAGTTTGCAATTCGGTTTATAAATGGTCGAGATGTGAAGCGGGCACTGTGAATTTTGAATCGATTCGTCTCAACTTTTGGCATTGCGTATTATATGACTAAAGCTATGCCCATATTGAATTTCATGCAAACCAGTTCATAACTAATGGAGATGGCAAAGCGAACGGACATTTCTAAACAAAGTTATCGTTCACACGGACAGATAGAGGGACAGACAGACAAAGGAACGGACGGACAGGCCAACAGACAGACGACAGACAGCAATACAAAATTATAAATGATCTCTAGGATCCTTAATAAACGGAAAAAGTGTAACATTATGAAACATGTAAAAAACGGGTTTTTGTTTTTTTTTTACAATAACTTTTTTAGTAACAAACGCAGAAAAAATTCTTTCCTTGGTGCAAGCCTCGACAACATAACGAACCAAATAGCGAAAAAAGTAGAACAATAGCTCTTAAGATAAATAACTAGTAGCGTTTCAACGAACGAGCGGACGGACGGACAAAGTGGCCACAATAGCGCATTTTTTTAAATTTTTGTGGAAATGCGCCAAAAAGGTTTTCGCTGAGTAACTTGAGCGCATTTTCCATAAACTGATCAGTACTTCTTGAAAAGTCATGTAACGTTCTATTTGTCTATTTATATGTACAAGGGAAAATAACTTAAGGCATAAAGAAACTTAGCATTGCACAGTCTGCGCATGCGCACACCTGTACTGTGGGTTATTATCACATAAATTCAAACAGTCTTCGCGAATGAAATATGCCCAAAAAAATTAACATAGCGACCTTTTATCATTACTCTAATACATTTTATAGATTAATATGGGTTTGGAACACGTTCATATTTTGTCAGGTGCAATAAATCTTCGGTAGTTTCCCAAACGTCTCTAGCCAAACACGAGTCATAGGCGTCCTTTGGCGTGAAACACTTCCACTCGGTCTTACAGTTGCTGAAATATCGACCGGATACGTTTCTGGCTTCCTCTGATAAAGCAACGTGCAGAATCGTTTGTGAACCTTCCTCGGGGGTCTTTAACATCGAAGCTATATAACAGCAACAAAGCAATAACTTACCTTAAAGCACAAGCATTTGAGTAACAACACAGGTGACCACAAACAACAGTTGGCGTTTCTAAGTAAGTTACTATCCACCGCACCCGGATGCACGGAGTTGACAGTCACCTCACATCGCCTCAATCGCCTCGCCAACTCATTCGTGAACAACATCAAACAGAGCTTTGAGTTCGCATAGTTAACCATTTCCGGACATCTTCCAGTGGGATAATCGTTTAGATTCTTTGGATTAACATGTGGTGAACAGACACCCACGCAAGCTACGTTGATTATGCGGCTCGGTGCCGAACGCTTCATTAAATCTAAAAGAAATCCCAATGACATTTTTGGATTACCAAACTTTTTTACCTAACAGTAAGATCGTTAACAAATACGGGCCAAAGTAATTGACTTGCATCGTTACATTAAATCCATCATCCGTTGTCTTTCTTCCCAATTTCATTGCGGCAGCATTATTTACGAGAATATCTAACCTTGTTTCTGTTGAACGAATTTCGCTTGCAAACTGTCGAACGGATAGAAGCGATCGAAAATCGATTATTACCACGCGGACGTTGGCATTACCAGTTGCAGCTATGATCTTTTCTCTGGCATTTTCACCCTGCACCCTATCTCTACATGCTATTATCACTTTGGCACCTCGCTTTGCAAATTCAAGGGCCGTCCAATATCCAATTCCTAAAATTCAACATTTGGCACACGAAATTTCAGTCACTTATTTCCTCATACCTGTATTGGCACCAGTAACAATGGTAGTTTTGCCAACTAAGCACTGCGTACTCTTATCCCTCCTCACCTTCACTTTGAGAAAAAGCTTCAAAAAAATTAGGCACAGTAAAACGTCGACCAAAATCATATTGGCACAGTTATCAAAAACTCATTCAACTGGTACCACGTACCGATCCTTTCAAACTGGGCCAATGGACCGGATGTTTGCCTTCCCGATATTGTAATCAGCAAACCAATTAAACTTGCAATTGTTTTTGTCCTGCGATATATAATTATTGGAGTACCGGAAAACCAACGGCTTTCAGTACTGTTTCGAAAGCTCTTGTAGCTTCTTTGTTAATAAGTTGATCTCTTACCACGTCTTATGCCGAATTAAATTCTGTGTGATATCGCAGGTATGGTGCATGCCATTCATCATGCCTAAATTTGTTTTTTTTCGTAAACCATCACAGATAGAGATATTCATCAAGAGACAAAAAATGCTTGCAAGTAAACTGTTTTTCAGTATCTAAAAATTCAGAACCGTCAAAATAGTAGTTAAAAAGTTTTAGACCTCTTCAGATGTGGATGGTCAGTGTTTTACCACCTACATAGCAACTACAATCAAAACGATGATATCACAAAGACCCTTTTTATATTAGACATTCACATCCCGAATTTCATTTTAATCGGCAAAACCATTTTCCGATAAAATAAAAATAACGATTTTTTTTAATCTTTGGCGATAGATAGCGCCTTACCGAAGCACTTTTGGATAGAGGTAAGTTGGGTTAAATCGTCCTATTTTGATACCAAGAACCCCTGGTAGCGCGTTGTACAGACCTTTTAGGGACACCCTTAAACTAAATCCTCTATTTTGATACTCAACGAATAAGGAAATCCAGAAGTATACTGTTTATGTGCACCAGGAGTCGGAATGCAATCTTGGTCTCTCTTCGATTGATGTTGAAATTGAAATAATTTAGGACCGCCCACTGCCGGCTGCTATTCGGGTTTGGTTCGGCCAATCACAGGCAGACTTCAGTGCGACTTCTTTGGTACCCTCAACGCACACGGACCGCGCTCAGAATAGAAAGGATGTTACGACGACTAGGAGAGGGGTTGCAACTTCCACCCCACCATCCACTAGCGCCCTATTGGCCGCGTCGCCAGACGCCTCTACCGGAAATCGTTTATAAGCAGCGCACCGACAGGGGAACTTCACTTGTGCCTGGGCAAGCCTACCTTACCCTACACAAGCGACTGAGGCTGGTCGCTTGGGCTCAAGTACCGTCTCCGCACGCCATCACTTCCCGGCTTGACCGTAGTCAAGTCCGGCGCCATCCCACGTGCCAGAAGCGATCTTATATATGTACATATAGCCTCTGTATTATTTGTAAATATTGTGTAATATACGTTTTCAACCTCCGTTTGCCACTTACGTTACCCCGCCCGGTAACAATTGGCGCCCATACGTGTGAGTCAACCAGCAGCATCGCGCTCTGAGGATCTACGCCCACGCTCCCGCGACAGCCGACGCGCAACACCATGAATACGAGGAGCAGGAACACCCCGACGTCCAACTCCGGCGCCGACGAAGGTATCGACACTCAAACAACGGAGATGACCCCGGCAATCAACCCCGGTCTGGACCCGGCAACCCCGTCCAGTGGCGCCCAACACTCTCAACACACCCTCGACATGCTAAAGGCGCTGACCGACGCCCTCCAGAACGCGCAGAAAACCGCATCACCGGACCTACCGACCTTCAGCGGCGACCACCTGGAGGACCCAACAGTCTTCTTCAGCACGCTCGAGCAGACAATCCAAACCACCGACCCGGCGGAAAAGTTAAAAACAGCAGCAGCACAACTAAAAGGGGAGGCTGCGAAATGGTGGAACAGTTACGAGGCATTTTCACCGACATACAACGACCTAAAGAACTACACCCGCGAAAAATACGACAGCAGCAAGATTCGCGGGAAGATGCAATCAGAATTCTTCGGCCGAGAACAAGGAGCAGAGTCGCCGCAGCAATTCCTCCAGAGGAAGGCACAGCTAGCAAAACGGCTGAAGATCCCGATCGGCGAGCACCTCGAGCTACTGAGAGACCTGCTGCACCCACGCATTAGAGTAGCCTTTTTAACCACAACACCCACTTCACTCCTCGACTTGGTGCGTCACGCCGAGGAAATCGAAAACTGCAACAAAGCGCTACCTCGAAACAACCAACCCAGACCATCGCCACCAACCCCCGCCGACAGACCTCCCAACACACCAAAGTGCCACCACTGCCCGGAATATCACTTCCACCGAGACTGCCCAGTACTGACCCGCCGCCGAGACCAGGGAAACGGGGCAGCGGTCGGGAACAATGCCCGGCCGTCCACCTAATCCAGACTGCGACCCGACCCAACCTACCAACGCTGGCAGTCAAGGTACGCGGAAAAAGCGTAAGAGCTCTCCTCGACTCCGGATCATCCCATAACTTCATCCAGAAGGAGCTCGCGTGGAAAATCCACCATAGCAACCACCAAACAGCCGGCCTAGCGAACCCCCGCCATCAGCTGGAAGTCATCGGCACATCCAGAGTCGAGTACACGCTCAACGACAAGCAAGAATCGGACGACTTCCTGGTGACACCAAACCTTGTCGTGCCCATGATCTTGGGACAGAAGTGGCTCCAAGAACATCGAGCGGTGCTGGATTACGAGAGAGCGTGCATCCACTGGGGAACCCATACAAGGCAGACAACACACTGGGACCAAGCTCCGAACCGCGGCCCAACAACGAGCGACTCCATAAACTTCGCCGGAGTCAAGCACGGGTTCCAACCACCACTCGATCGACGCCTGGCCACACTGCTGGAAACTTTCGGTAGCACACTGGCCGATCCTGCAACGCCCACAACAACAGCATCCACCACACATCGCATCCGAGTCACCAAAACAACGCCCTTCCGACTTCCGCCATATCGACATTCGCCAAACAAAAAGAAGGTCATCGCGGATGAAGTGGAAGCTATGTTAGCAGCGCAGGGAGCCCAGCACGTCCGAATATTGCTCGCCCATCGTCATAATTCAGAAAAAAGACGGCCGCCCGAGATTCTGCATCGACTACCGTCGTCTAAACGCCATCACAAAAGACGAGAGCACCAACCTGCCAGTCATACAGGAGACCCTCCGAGACCTGGGGACGGCCAAAGTTTTTTCCAGCCTGGATCTCAAATCAGGCTACTGGCAGGTGCCGCTAGAGACGGAATCCCGACATCTCACCGCGTTTTCAACCCCTGATGGAGCGAGTTATCAATTCAAAGTAATGCCGTTCGGGCTCAAGAATGCACCTGCTACGTTCCAGAAGCTAATGACCCAGGACGTTCTCGCCGGGTATTTACGGAAATTCGTCATGGTATACCTGGATGACATAATAATCTACTCAGACTCCTGGGACGAGCACCTCAAACATCTACACCTCGTGCTGGAACGACTGCAACGCCACAAACTCCGCTTGTCCCTCGAAAAGTGTCGCTTCGGGGTGCAAACGATCCAATACCTGGGCCACAACATCACGGCGAACGGGAACCGCCCGTGCCAGGAACACATCGAAGCAATCCGGACCGCAGACCGGCCCACCTCGAGGAAGAAGCTAAGAAGTTTTCTAGGATTGACCAACTGGCTACGAGAGTACGTGCCCCGGTGTGCCGAATTACAAGCACCGTTGGATAACTTACTAACAAAGAACACCCCTTTCCGATGGACAGCGGCAGCCGACGTCGCCTTTAGCCAGTTAAAAGCAGCACTTAGCAAACCACTCCAACTCAGCCGTCCGGACTTCGCCACTCCATTCGTGCTGCAAACCGACGCCAGCGAAAACGGGATTGCGGCCGTACTCTTTCAAGAACCCCACCCCGGAGAGAAAAAAATTATCAGCTACGCCAGTGCCAAACTTAACCACGCGCAGAGACGCTACCATATCAACGAACAGGAGTGCTTGGCAGTAGTATGGGCCATTAAACGATACCGGCCATATCTGGAAGATAGACGTTTTACGTTGAAGACAGACAGCCGCGCTCTCCTGTGGCTGGATCGCACAAAAGACGAAAAGAGCAAGCTAACTCGTTGGGCATTACGGCTCCAAGAATTTACATTTGATGTGGTCCACTGTCCGGGGAAAGAAAACGAGCTTCCAGACCACCTGTCCCGCCACCCATCAGCAGAAGAAGCCGAAGAAGCCACGGCAGAAGACGTAAACCGCATGCTGCCACCCACGACCACACACGAGTCCAAACAAACCAACAGCACCCCGGTAATCGCGGCAGTGGAAGTGGCCAATTTGGCGGACCATGTGAAGGAGTGCCAAAAGACAAACGAAAACGCCATCGTTCTGGTACGCACCTGGCACAGAATACAGCAGGAAGGACCAGCGACACCAGCACAAGCAAGGTTCAACCGGGATTACACGGTGGACAACGGTTACCTCTACCGCAAAGCACCCCAAGGGAACCTACTCGTAGTCCCCTGCAGCCTTCAACCAGCGGTACTAGAAGCGTACCACAACGCAGCCACAGCTGGACACCCAGGAGCCGAAGAAACGGAACGGGCCATAATGACACATTACCACTGGGCGAAACTGGGAGACACGGTGCGGAATTATGTACGAGCATGTTGGATTTGCGCGGCAGTCAAAAGAGGCCCGGTCCAGGACGCCACCGTACGCCCACGCAAACCCACACGACCCTGGGAAGCGGTTTCCGTAGACTTGATGGGCCCCTACGACGCCACACCTACAGGCTACCGCCAGATAGTCGTGATCACGGACCTCTTCAGCATGTGGGTGGAGGCATTTCCAGTAAAGGAAGCAGTCGCTCCAACAGTGGTCAGAATCCTGGAACACGAGGTATTCGCACGCTATGGTTTCCCGAGAGCGATCATCTCAGACAACGGACCGCAATTCACATCAGTGACATGGGACGCGGCACTTCGGAAGTGGGGAGCAATGCACTGGACGACGCCCATATGGCACCCGCAGGCGAACCCCGTCGAACGCCGGAACCAAGAAATCAAAAAGGGCCTCCGCACTCATCTGGTGGGACAAAGCCCCAGCGCCTGGGCGGCCGTACTACCCATTGTCATGTTCACGTTACGTACGAGGAGAAACGCCGCTACTGGACTCACGCCGAGCCACGCGCTGCTAGGCTACGACCTACCCAGGCCAGGAGAGTGGAAAGCCAGGGATCGACCACCTCCACCGACAGGAGAAGCCCGAGAGGAGGTCGTACAGACGGTGCACAGGAACCAGGCACGATCCCGCAGCCGGTACGCGAACTACGGGCCAGCCCGCACCCAGTACCAAGTAGGCGACGGAGTGATGGAAAGATCCAGGGACCAACACTCCGGGAACTTTCACATGAAGTACACAGGTCCCTACACCATCGAAGCGCTGGCGGGCACAAACGCGTACTGGATAAGGCGAGGAAACGAACTGGTAAAGGTGCACGTACACGATCTACGCCCTGCACCCAACCAACCCACCCCGGCACCAGTACCGGAACTTCCGCCAAGAATCATTTCACCGACGCCACCACGGAACCAACGACAACCCCGTCACCGCCGTTTGCTACAGCGCCTGCACCCCGCCGTCGCAACCCCTTTACAGGGGGGGGATACTGTTACGACGACTAGGAGAGGGGTTGAAACTTCCACCCCACCATCCACTAGCGCCCTATTGGCCGCGTCGCCAGACGCCTCTACCGGAAATCGTTTATAAGCAGCGCACCGACAGGGGAACTTCACTTGTGCCTGGGCAAGCCTACCTTACCCTACACAAGCGACTGAGGCTGGTCGCTTGGGCTCAAGTACCGTCTCCGCACGCCATCACTTCCCGGCTTGACCGTAGTCAAGTCCGGCGCCATCCCACGTGCCAGAAACGATCTTATATATGTACATATAGCCTCTGTATTATTTGTAAATATTGTGTAATATACGTTTTCAACCTCCGTTTGCCACTTACGTTACCCCGCCCGGTAACAAGGAACGGACAATTCGCATTTTTAAAGATCGATTACTGGTGCGGAACAATGATCCGGAGTACCCATTTTCCAGAAAAATGAAAAATGGAGTGAACCATCTAGAAATGGTTGCTTTATTTTGAATGACGGGTTCGAAAACTACCTGTCAACAATGCAATTGGGAGGTGGTATCTAGGCAACGGTCCCCAAATCCCCATTTCTGACTGATTTCTGGCTGATTCAGTCAGAAAAGTCCAATATTCTCTAAAACCCAAGGTGGCAGCAGACCCATTTGTTGATGGAGCATAGGAAAGGTATCTGAGCATATTTGGTGATTTCAGCCTGCTGCCAGCTGAGAGTACAACAAAATCTGGAAAAGATTTCACCAAAGCACGGCTCTTAATAAAGGTAATTTTTGTTACTGTGCGAATATAACAAAGACATGGACATTCGGAACAATACTTTAATAAATATCGGGTTATGATACTTTTGAAACAAGCATTTTTTCTTAGAAAAGATATTAGTTTCAGGGGATGACTGCACCTGCATAAGTGAGACGAATTGGGGTGTAACGATCATTTCCTTTGTCAGTTGCGGTAATCTTTGCGACTACCTGCAGTTTCGTAATCTTAGATTTGAATTTAATCAATTTATGTACAGTGTGTCCCAGTTATCTTGAGACAGTCGATAATTGCGGAAACTAGTGGCGATATCAAAAAGGGCAGCTTAATTTTTTCACTTATAATTGCACAAGAGGTTTGTATTTTACCGAGTAAATTTGGGTTGTTTAGGTAATGAAAATCTGTTGCCTAGCAATTAGACGAAAAAAACTGTCAACTAATAAAAATGCGACACCGCAGGTGGAGCATTTTTAGGTTGACAGTTTTTCGAGTTCAATTGCTAAAAGGCAACAGATTTGAATTGCAACAACACAAATTTACTCGGTTTAAATACAAACCTCGAGTGTAATTCGGCAGGACAATTTAACGAACAAGAAATTCACCAAATTAATGAATTATTGACAGACGTCAAACTAGTCATATGGGAAAGGATAATGCGATAATTGGTTCGAAAATGAATAAGTGAAAAAACCACTAGTGCATTTGTCGCTGGAAAAGTTGCAGGTAACTTTTGCCGCTGTCAAAGTGACAATTTCACTGCGGCTTATGCGATTTTTTATACATGAGTTGAATTGTCCAATATAAACCACTTATTTTTTCTTGATTTCTTATTCTACATCGGAAAATAATAATATTTCGTGGGAAACGTTTTTCCTACGCTTCCCATTTTTGGAGAGAGTCTTCCAAAGGTGGGATTTTTGGTTTAAATTGTTTTGTCAAGTCTGTGAACATTTTTTAAATTCAATTAACTTCATTATTTTTTGGAACCAGTATGTATCAACGCGTCCTTCCAACTAGTGATTTATATAGGCCATAACTTTACGTTAAGCAGTGCTTCATTCGCCCCTTGAGTCTGTGCTTAGATCAATCAAACTGACTCAAACACAATATCCATCGTCTTCCGTGGTTGCCGAATCTATCGTAGGAATCCTTCTAAGCCAAGGTAGCCTTAGCACGTTTTACTGGAAACCCATAGGTCATCAAAACATTCCTTCAAATAAAACTAGTGATACACCTTAGGATACACCACTTTGCAGAGGTACCTGAAATAAGATAAGTAAAAATTTCAAACGCGAATATCTCAAGAGCTATAGTAGTCGGAAGAGGATACTTTCGTGCTGTTCAAATTTCAAATGCGAATATTTTCAGAACATGTCGAAAGAGGGTACTTGCAAAGGAGAAGTTTAGCACATGTGTATGTTCCTGTTAGTGGGATCAAAACTTCAAATGCGACTATCTCGAAAGCCATTTGTGAGAAGAGGGTACTGGCAGAGGGAAAATAATACCTACATGTCGACTAACTTAAAAAGGGAGTGTCGGAAAAGGCTACTGACAAAGGAAAAATGGAACGTATGGTTGTCAAAAATCGTGTCGTCTATCGTTTTCAGCCCTTGAGCTCGAGGGGACTGCGCTACAATAGCAACAGCCACGTGTAGACTTTTTTTATGCCTCAATAACGCAAATGTAAATGACAGACACAATGCTTTTCAAAATCTTATTTATTTAGAAATTATTAAGGAATTGGTAAACATGTACAGTGGCACACAAGACACAACTTCCTCATTCTGTTAGCTTTCGGCGAACCTCAATTTGTTGGCAACCAGGTCCATTTGGTTCGACAGATCCATCAGAAACTTCAAAGCAACTAACGTCGCGGCGTTTGCGACCCTGCACAACTGAAAAGGATGAGAAAAGCATGAAGTTCTGTTGATATATTAATCAAATCCCTTACCTACTACGATGTCACCTTTCTTCATTGCTGGTGCTGCGGATATAGACACCAACAAAGCAGCTGCCAATATGGCAAAAACGAAAAATTTAGAATTCATTGTTGGGAATCGTTGCTTTACAGACAATGTTTTAAGATTTGCTTCGTCCGCTATTTATACCCAAATATGGTCGACGTCAAATCTAAAGATAACTGCAATCAGAACATTTTTTAGTCTGGGAAATACCAAAAGAAGCGGGTCTTACCGAAAGAGATAGTATTACATCTATAAAAAATGTAAAAAAAATACGGAACGATTCTCTGCAACCACTGGGATATCCACGGGGTGCATTTTGGAAAAGAATCTCTTTGACGATCGATAACGAAACCGAGATACAGATACATTGGATCTAGCATTGGATGCATGCAAGTAAAGTGCTTGAAACACGGTTAACACAAGGGTTTGCGGTTCGCAAGTATTTACAGAAAGTTTCTGGTAATTGTAATAGGCAATTGCCTAAACTTTATTCAAAAAAGTATTTCATATGCTACGAGTATTTTGGGTTTTAAGGCTTGCAAATGATCATTATATACAAAGGTCTATTGGACGGCTCTCAAATAGATGTTATATTAATTGGCATTTGGATAAGACTGATGTATCTGGCTCATGCCGTAGACGGCCAGGTCATGGGGTGTCATGAAACTAGGTATGAACAGTCAGTTTCCCTTCTTATTCAAGTTGGATTAATTTATTACATACTTGAAAGCACTTGCAAATTCGCTCACTGGCTCTCGGAAAACGCTTTTTGATACTTTTATGTTTGCAGTAACTGATTTAGATTAATTAATAATGATCAAAGTAGAATTGGGCCCCATACCAAGCACCCAAATATTATAATATACAGTGTGTCCTAGATCACGTGGGATTGCATGGGTAACTTTCTTATTATTAAACATAGAGAATTGGTTAAAGGGCAATGTTTTCAGGTTTTAGAAGCTTATTTAAAATGTCCTTGTGGAAATTCAAAATGTCGCATAGATTCCACGTAAATTAAAAAAAACTAAAATTGGTCATTTCCTTGAATGTGTTATATCATTGATAGTATACGAGTAGGTACACGAGGTATAAAAAAAGTTCTTTATAAAAGTTACTGTCTTTGATGCGCTTAATTTAGAATTGACGTAAAAAAAATTCAAGATGGCTACTTTTGAGGAACAGTTACCAACTTTCTAAAGTTAGATTAGGCGCCATATTGGATTTTTAGATTACTTGATAGATTTTTTTAATTCTCTTTTCAACGAGCTACCATAGCATAAAGATAGTTTACTTATGCTATAGCATTATTATTGTTATAGTTGTAGCTACATCCATATACTTTATTCTTTAATATACAATGTAGGTACACAATTCGTGAATTGTGACCTGAGCAGCCATCTTGCTGGTAGATACCATAAACCAACCCTTTCTGCGGAACATACGCTGTCTAGAAAATCCTGCAAGGAAGTTTATTGGAGAATTTGTAAATAATAGGGAGCAGTTAAAGTTCCATCGAAGATTACCGGTCTAATTACATGACTTCCCATTATGTCATAAAATACTTAATTTAAATCCTGTGACGTGTAATGTTCATTATGTCGAGTTGAACACTCCGCAGTTAGAAAAATAAGACTCATCTGTCCATCGAACTGGTAAAACTGTTAGTTTCGATATTCTTACGGATAAACCACCTAATACATTGTGTAAAATAAAGCGAAGTGTCTTGAAATGTGTTTAACTGAATAATGGCATGACATTTTTTCGAGGGGGTAGTTTGTAGGTTTGTAAGTATAGATAATAAGATAGTCAATAAGTCATAAAAGTCAAAATTTTTCTAGGCCTACTTTTATAAAGTTTTGTAGGGAGTTGTAACGCCCAAACCCCCACGCCATTGAGTGCGCCCCTGATGTTTTAAACATCTGATGTAATTATTTTCATTGTTTTGTTGCCTCGAATAGATTTTGTTTTGTTTTTTTTTAATTCATCACAGACTACTTGATTAAAATATAAAAACCGTTAATTATAACTGGTATCTTATTTTCAATCTTATGCTATATGATAGCTCGTTGAAAAGAGAATTAAAAAATCCATCAAATAATCTAAAAATCCAACATGGCGCCTATTTACCTTTAGGAAGTTGGTAAATGTTCCTCAAAAGTAGCTATCTTGAATTTTTTTTTGACATCAATTCTAAATTAAGTGTATCGAAGACAGTTTATATAAAACTTTTTTTTATACCTCTTATACTTTCGATGACATAAGAAATTCAAGGAAATGACAAATTTTAGTTTTTTTGAATTTACGTCCAACCTATGCGACATTTTGAATTTCCATAAGGAAATTTTAAATAAGCATCTAAAACTTGAAAACATTGCCCTCTTAACCAATTATCTATCTTTAATAATAAGAAAGTTACCCACGCTATCTGGGACATACTGTATATTGTATATATAATATAATTGAGGTTGCTCTAATGTGTTTAGAAAACGCGATAATTGTTGTTATGGTTTTGTAGAATATCTTATCGATACTTTATGGGTTTTACTGCATATAAAAACATCATCGCAATGAAAGTGACCTGTGATAATATAATGTAATCGCTAGATATTCTTCTATTTTTCCAAAACAAACAAGTAAATATATGGACATTGTCACTGGATAGAGCGGACGAAGCAATATGTGGTCCTTTCGATAAGGTGAACTTCCACTTCGTGTTAATTTTTCAGATGCATGCTAGATCAAGAAACTGGCAATGGGCACAAATGAAGACCCTGATCGCTATAGATACATCTATCCTTCCTAGCCACAAAGCGCCGGAACGCTTCTATAAAGCAATTTCATTGCTAACTTTAAGGTTGCGCCGGGCTAATTTCTATAGACACTGAAAATTATCCTGCGTAGTCAAGCAAAATGGCGGAAGAAGTTGTAACATTTTAAATAAAGGTACAGTTTTGTGTCATTACTGGAAGGTATGACACTCCTACAATTAAAGCAGCGCATGCCATTAGATATGATGCATATAGGTACATGGTACTACAACTGTGTAGGATGATGCATATATGACGTCCAATAACGTCGATCGATTTTGACAAGAATGGGAATATTTTGATTATTTATACTTCAAAAGGCACACATTATTAACGAGCTTCTAGCGAAATTATAATTTTGGGGTGTCTGTCCGTCTGTCCGTTAGCACGATATCTCGATAACGAATGGACCAATTACGATGAAATTTTGTAGATGGATTCTTTATCAAATTTGTAGATCGAAGTTCGTGAATTGGCAAAAGTAACATCAGGTTTAAAATTTGGTTTTGCACATGCTACAGCCATACCCAGGAGCTCGTTTGCTATATTTGTTTAATTTATTTTTCTGGATAAACTTATATCATATTTTCAATATAAGTACGAGGCATGTTTTTAAAGTAAGTCTCGTTTTTAGATAAAAAACCAACACGTAAACGTTTTTCAAAATACCTTTATACCTAATCAATCGTATCCCCAGAAACCAGTATGAAAAATATAACTCACGTCTGCGTGGACTCGAAATTTAGCAAACTTGCCGATTCCTATATCGTAGAAATTCAGATTTCTCTGATTTTCGTCAAATTCTCACAGTTGCCAGTATAGGAAATTATATGAATGAAGCGCTTTCAGATAAGAAGCTAATGTGCTAGCAGATAAGATTCACAACGCCACAGTGTTACCGGTTCTAAAGAAAATAAGTGAGATTCTTTATCGCGAAAGTTGAAGTTAATTGCCAAATTACAAAGGAAACCGGTGCCATCAATTCGATGAAATTATTGTCGTGTATACAGTTAAATCCATTGTGAGTTTCCATTACGAGTAAAACTATTATAAACTGGCTTATTTATGCAAAAGAGAAACTTCGTTGGATCAATCGACAGGTTGACTGATTTATTTTCAACCGCGAATATTGTGCAAATGTGTTCATAATGCACGAGCGGACATTTTCGTTTTGTTATTTGATCATCGTAATCGCGTTTAAAGAATTTTTTGCCATGAAAGGTTGTGGTCAAAAGTACAGAACGTTACACTGCGTTTATACTACGAGTTTAAAAATGAGTTGATGTCGAGTCACCTTTGGAATTTTTGTTTACATGGGAAATCGAACTTAACTTCAAAAGGCGTCTCGACCGTGACTCACATTTGATCGCCTGTTACTTGTCACGATTACAAAGGAGTTTATGAACAAATTTTTGCACTTCCTTTACTTATAAGTGAAAATAAGATTCTGGATTACCGGTAAAAAGTGTAAAGACGATTATTTAGTGCTTTTGCTAACTTTTAAAACCCTAAACATACAAGGGGGAATTTAACTTCAGTAAAAAATAACGATTTTGCAAAATTTCTTTTTTTTTCCGGATATCTCCGATAGTAGTCGCAATTTTTTCAGTTTTAAAATTGCATTTTATTAAAAATACGCAAGTTTCCCAAATTTAAACTACCTATACCTATCTCTTACAGTTCCCGAAATCCCCATGGAGGGCCCTCGAATTTGAATCAGCTTGTATAAGTAGTTATAATACCGAATATAAACTCTGCTTGAAAACTTTTCAATAGACCTTGCAAGCACGATCGCTTTGCGGATACCGAGGGTTTGCAAGTTCTAATGCACAAAATACAATTAAACAACTTTTTGGTATATAATCCTACGCATTTAGTGATTGCTACTAGCTTTCCATAAATACTTGCAAATTCCAAACCCCTGTGTATTTGCAGAACTTTGCTTGTAGAAATTCAGTGCATCTCAGGATGGCCGGTGTTCGTTATATGCATTATCGGTTGTCAAACAAATGCATTTACAAAATCGAGCACGATGGTTATTACGGTACGTTCGTACTTATTTTGGGTTTTCCTTTTATCTAAAAGCATAATTCCATAACAAAAATAACCCGTGACGTTATAATATAATCGCCATAGTCGCAATCAGTAAGTCCTTCTTCTGGACTTTCCGAAACTAAAAAATGTGCTGATTGTTTTTATCTTTGGATCTGACGTCGGTCATATTTGAGTATAAGTAGCGGACGAAGCAAATCTTCAAACATTGTCTGTAAAGCAACGATTACTAACAATATGAATTCTAAATTGTTCATTTTTGCCATATTGGCAGCTGTTTTGTTGGTATCCGTATCCGCAGCACCAGCAATGAAAAAAGGTGACATCGTAGTAGGTAAGGGATTTGATTAATATATCAACAGGAATTTTATTCTTTTCTCATCTTTTTCAGTTGTGGGTCGCAAACGCCGCGACGTTAGTTGCTTCGAAGTTTCTGATGGATCTGTCGAACCAAATGGTCCTGGTTGTGACCAAATTGAAGTTCATCGAAAGCTAACATAATGCGGAAGTTGTGTGTTAACCAACATTGCAAAGTTAGACAGAGTTAACCAGTTCAGTCTTAATTAGTTCGGTCCTTAGGTTTACTATAACAAAATGTATACTAATTTGTTGTAATCTATAAAACCTGCGAAATAAATAAAAAATTGTAAAAATGACATTAGTGCCGATGTATATGCCATCAATCGCCCCTATTCAGATTTGCTCCATCCTGGGGTAGGATTTTGACAAAAAGTCAAAATAAACATACCAAAACCTAGATACACGCATTAGTTAGTGTTACGGTTACGGAGGTGTAGGTGTGGGTGTGCACATATTTCCAGAATACCTACCGTAGCTAAGACTATACAGTCATCTTGACAAACAGGACCCAGCGATTTTATGGGGTATAATGTAGGGTATAATTCTTTTCAATATCTTTAATCTTTAAATTAATCGTTTTTTTTGTATCGGTTCAAATATCATCCGAAAAAAATAAAAACGAAATCGAAAAACTTCGATTTTTCTGGCACATCTTCTGAAGTAGGTAACCAAAATTTTCTGGTTTTCTTTAAAACATGATAATAACTCTTTAATTGTGCAACTTCTCTCTAATTTGATCATCGCCGTATCTTTTACGGTTTTGGAGATCCCCATCATATGGTGCCGGCTATGTCTATTTTCAATATAGTTGCCATTCGGTTCACAACTAACGGAAGGATCAAAAGGGCCTTGTTTATTTTTTGGCTGATATGGCCAATTCACGAACTATGGTCTACAAATTTAATAAGAAATCCGTCTGCAAAAGTTCATCGTAATTGGTTCAGCCCGGTTGGACGTGAAAACGAGCGATAGGGCGAAAGCATAACAGTCTCGTTTAATCAACTCGACCCTAAAAACGTAAAAGTAGAAGTAAAACTGATGCATATAAAAGGTGTGACTCAACTTTTGGTATTGCCATAGAGGAGATCTGTTTTTCCAGTTTTTGACGATTTTCTCGAAGTTTTTCTATAGGAATAATATTTTTAAATTTTTGTTTATTAATATATAAGTCTCCCTACAATTTTTTTTACCCCCGCACCTCTGTGCAATGAAAAAAAATAGATTTTTCATTCCAATGAAACAGAGATGGTTTTTTCAGAAATTGTGAGATCTGTGAATCGGTTCAACTTTACGGTCCCTTTTTTTAATAAAACAAGCTATGTTTCCTCCAAATTTCAAACCCCTACGATTTTTTTTCGCAAAAATAAGAATAAAAAACGAAAAAAGCAGTTTTTCCGGTTTTTCTAGGAAATTTGGAGGTTATGTGAAAATAGTGCAGACACAAAAGTTGTTCACTTTTTATTCTCTATAACTTTTGTCTTGACCATTTTCGTCTAAAATTAATTGTTTTGCCACAATTTGCAAAATTCCACTTTCCACCCCTTTCAACCCCCGGGGATTTTACCCGCGGAAAAATTCAGCTGTTTTAATTATTTTTCCCCAATTTCTAATCATTCATCTGCCTGAAAAAACCCGATTTTACTCGGTAACTAATTTTTTTTTAAATAAATTATTTTAGAGCTATTTAGCCCGGACTATTTATCTTTGGGCTGGCGTCATTCTTGTGCTGCACGGAATTTGTCGGGATCCACTGTCACGTAATTCTCTAAAACTAGATGGACAAGGCAGTTGACCTCCTTTTGAAAAAAGCAACACGTCTTTGTACTAAGTTGGCACCGCGCAACATCATGAGCACATCTTCCGGATTAAGGTTTTCGCAGATTCTGACAGATTTCCTTCGTTTCTACCTGTACACAGGTATGGTTGATGTTACATGATAAGATAAAGCACAGTCACGTTCTTGTTTTTGGCTGGGAGAATCCACAATCACAAAAGATGTCACAGGTCATCTTCATTGCGATTATGTGTTTACAGGAAAACCCAACAAGTATCAAACAGATTTTCCACAATACCATAACAACCACACTATCATGTCTTCTACGATTTCGTTAAAACAATTGATGAAAGCCCTATCTAACATCCAAAGGGTCCTTTTAACACATGAACTTGAAATCTTAAAGCACCTTTTTAACGACGCAAACAGAGAAACGCCTTTTGTGTATTTCAGGTGAAAGCTATTTAGAGTAAAAAGAAAATGTGCCCATGAGTTCGTAAAGAAGCTGATGGGTTAAATAAAAAATTCTACCTCCAAAATACTTACCTGCACTTCTGAGTTTTGCAGATACTGAGGAAGCGCAGGTTCGAATGGATAAAATACAGTAAAATAATAGTACATTATATATCAAGGTAGAGAAGTCCACTATTATTGCCTGAGCACCAAGATTACATCTCGAGGCGCTTGCGCCGAGGGGTGTAAGGTGCGAAGGCAATAATAGACTTCTCTACCGTGGTATATATACTATTTTTTCACTACTAGCACTCTAAATCCTCTAAATTAACATATTATATTGATAAGAGAGTTAACGGTTGGACAGAATTGTTTGTTTCTTAATTTAACATGTCAATCAAGTACGTGGAAGTACAAGTCAAACAGGCCGTATTTTGTTCTGTCATTGAGATTTTTCAAAGAGTAATTTCGTTCGAATTTTTCAAAATGTGATAATTTTAGGTATGTAATTTCTCTGGAAATTGCGAATGGTGGCAATTATTCGTTTTAGAGAACTTGTCTAAACGTTCATTGAGCGAAATTTCGGGTTGTGTTTTCTAAAAGTGACAGCGTGACAGTTCTCATTATTGACTACTAGTTAATAATAAAAAACTATTAACCACTTTGAACAAATGCCGAGAAAGCCTACTTTACAAGTGGAAAAAAGGTTAATAATCATGTCATCAGACGCTAGTAGTGAAAAAAACATTTTAATCTACTTAGGTGCGCAAGTTTAAAATGTCGTTTTTTGTCAAGAGATGGCGCTTTAAACCTACAAAACGTAATGTTCGCTTAGCCATTTACGACTTATGGCCGTTTGCACCGACAAATTTAAGTGGAGCTTAGCTTAAGCGTAGCTTAAAATCCATGGCAACCATTGTCTCAATAATCGTTGCCATGGATTTTAAGCTACGCTTAATCTAAGCTCCACTTAAATTTGTCGGTGCAAACGGCCATTAGTGGCATACTTCTTTTTCGTGTTAAAAGCAGCATTTGCGGCAAGTGATCATTTTTCTGTTCAATCAAAAGAAAAAGGCATCGGGAAGTCACCGAATTTTGGAAGAGACTTACGGCGATCGTGCCCCAACCGTTAAGACCTGCGAACGCTGGTTTCAACGTTTCAAAGGTGGCGATTTCAATGTTATGGACAAAGAACGCGAAAATCGACCAAAGAAATTTGCAGACAACGAGTTACAAGCATTATTGGGCCAAGACCATACACAACACAACAAATGGTGGCGTCGTAGTGGAATGTAACTCGTCAAGCCATTTCCGATCGCCTAAATGCCATGGGAAAGATTCAAAAGGTTGGAAATGGGTTCCACACGAACTGAACGAACGACAAATAGAAAAGCGAAAAACTGTGTTTGAAATGCTGCATTTACCCCACGAAAGAAAGAGTTTTTCGCATCGGGCTGTAACTGGCGATGAAAAACGGGTGTATTTTGAGAATCCCAAACGCAAAAAATCAAAAGTAATGCCAGGAGAACCATCGATATCGTGTGCAAGACCGGATCGTTTTGGGAGAAAGACAATACTGTGTGTGTGGTGGGATCAGAAGGGAGTATAATAGTGTACTACGAGCTTCTAAAACCCCGCGAAACAGTTAATACCGCCCCCTACCGACAAAAACTGATCAATTTGAACCACGCATTGACCGAAAAACGCCCAGAATGGGCTCGAAGACACGGCAAAGTCATTCTGCTTCATGACAACGCTCTTGCACATTCAGCCAAGGTGGTCAAAGAATCGATTTCTTCACTTGGTTGGGAACCTTTACCCCACCCGCCGTATTCACCAGACTTGGCGCCTTCTGACTATCACCTCTCCTCATCGATGGGACACGCACTAGCTGAGCCACACTTCAAGACTTTCGAGGATGTGCAAAAATGGCTCGATGAATGGATGTCAATAAAAGATGAGCCTTTCTTTTGGAATGGTATCCACAAATTGCCCGAGAGATGGATAAAATGTGTAGAAAGCGAGGGCCGATACTTTGAATAAAAAATCTTTTGCCATTGTTGTGAAATATTTGCTTATTTTTCATGAAAAAAACGTCATTTTAAACTTGCAGACCTTAATTTTAGCCATTTAGTTATTACCAATATCATTTGCTTTTATAATGCATTTACAAAATGCAACACGATGGTTAATTCCGTAGTTGTAGAAATTCGCTTAGCACATCCTCCATCCAAAATCATAACTCCATATCAAAAATGACCTGTCACATTATTATTAATCCTTTTCAGTGGACGATTTTTTTGGTATTTCCCAAACTAAAAACGGATCCGATTACAGTTATCTTTGGATCTGACGTCGACCATATTTGGGTATAAGTAGTGGATGAAGCAAATCCTCAAACATTGTCTGTAAGACTCCTAACAAGTAACAATGAATTCTAAATTGTTCATTTTTGCCATATTAGCAGCTGCTTTGCTGGTATCTATATCCGCAGCACCGGCAATGAAGAAAGGAGACATCGTAGTTGGTAAGTGATTTGATCCTGGATTTGATTATTATATCTACTTAACTTGACGCTTTTACCATCCATTTCAGTTGTGGGTCGGAAGCGGCGCGACGTTAGTTGCTTTGAAGTTTCTGATGGATCTGTCGAACCAAACGGTCCTGGTTGCCAACAAATTGAGGTTCGCAGAAAGCCAACGTAATGCGGAAGTTGCGTGTTCACCAACGTTGCAAATTTTGTCAGAGTACCTACTTCAGTATGTAATAGTTCGGCCCTTCGATTTACTATAATATAACAACCAACCTTAATTGCAAAGTGTACCAATACCAATTTGTTGTATTCTATAATACCTACCCTCTAAATAATAAAAAATTTGAAAAATGACATTAGTGCCGTTGATTTGCCAATCGCATTTGTGTTGTGCGACATGAGGTCGCATAAGTAGGTAGTCAAAATATATTTATAGTAGTTATCATCACAGACTACTTGATTAAAATATAAAAACCGTTAATTATAACTGGTATCTTATTTTCAATCTTATGCTATATGATAGCTCGTTGAAAAGAGAATTAAAAAATCCATCAAATAATCTAAAAATCCAACATGGCGCCTATTTACCTTTAGGAAGTTGGTAAATGTTCCTCAAAAGTAGCTATCTTGAATTTTTTTTTGACATCAATTCTAAATTAAGTGTATCGAAGACAGTTTATATAAAACTTTTTTTTATACCTCTTATACTTTCGATGACATAAGAAATTCAAGGAAATGACAAATTTTAGTTTTTTTGAATTTACGTCCAACCTATGCGACATTTTGAATTTCCATAAGGAAATTTTAAATAAGCATCTAAAACTTGAAAACATTGCCCTCTTAACCAATTATCTATCTTTAATAATAAGAAAGTTACCCACGCTATCTGGGACATACTGTATATTGTATATATAATATAATTGAGGTTGCTCTAATGTGTTTAGAAAACGCGATAATTGTTGTTATGGTTTTGTAGAATATCTTATCGATACTTTATGGGTTTTACTGCATATAAAAACATCATCGCAATGAAAGTGACCTGTGATAATATAATGTAATCGCTAGATATTCTTCTATTTTTCCAAAACAAACAAGTAAATATATGGACATTGTCACTGGATAGAGCGGACGAAGCAATATGTGGTCCTTTCGATAAGGTGAACTTCCACTTCGTGTTAATTTTTCAGATGCATGCTAGATCAAGAAACTGGCAATGGGCACAAATGAAGACCCTGATCGCTATAGATACATCTATCCTTCCTAGCCACAAAGCGCCGGAACGCTTCTATAAAGCAATTTCATTGCTAACTTTAAGGTTGCGCCGGACTGAAAATTATCCTGCGTAGTCAAGCAAAATGGCGGAAGAAGTTGTAACATTTTAAATAAAGGTACAGTGTTGTGTCATTACTGGAAGGTATGACACTCCTACAATTAAAGCAGCGCATGCCATTAGATATGATGCATATAGGTACATGGTACTACAACTGTGTAGGATGATGCATATATGACGTCCAATAACGTCGATCGATTTTGACAAGAATGGGAATATTTTGATTATTTATACTTCGAAAGTCACACATTATTAACGAGCTTCTAGCGAAATTATAATTTTGGGGTGTCTGTCCGTCTGTCCGTTAGCACGATATCTCGATAACGAATGGACCAATTACGATGAAATTTTGTAGATGGATTCTTTATCAAATTTGTAGATCGAAGTTCGTGAATTGGCAAAAGTAACATCAGGTTTAAAATTTGGTTTTGCACATGCTACAGCCATACCCAGGAGCTCGTTTGCTATATTTGTTTAATTTATTTTTCTGGATAAACTTATATCATATTTTCAATATAAGTACGAGGCATGTTTTTAAAGTAAGTCTCGTTTTTAGATAAAAAACCAACACGTAAACGTTTTTCAAAATACCTTTATACCTAATCAATCGTATCCCCAGAAACCAGTATGAAAAATATAACTCACGTCTGCGTGGACTCGAAATTTAGCAAACTTGCCGATTCCTATATCGTAGAAATTCAGATTTCTCTGATTTTCGTCAAATTCTCACAGTTGCCAGTATAGGAAATTATATGAATGAAGCGCTTTCAGATAAGAAGCTAATGTGCTAGCAGATAAGATTCACAACGCCACAGTGTTACCGGTTCTAAAGAAAATAAGTGAGATTCTTTATCGCGAAAGTTGAAGTTAATTGCCAAATTACAAAGGAAACCGGTGCCATCAATTCGATGAAATTATTGTCGTGTATACAGTTAAATCCATTGTGAGTTTCCATTACGAGTAAAACTATTATAAACTGGCTTATTTATGCAAAAGAGAAACTTCGTTGGATCAATCGACAGGTTGACTGATTTATTTTCAACCGCGAATATTGTGCAAATGTGTTCATAATGCACGAGCGGACATTTTCGTTTTGTTATTTGATCATCGTAATCGCGTTTAAAGAATTTTTTGCCATGAAAGGTTGTGGTCAAAAGTACAGAACGTTACACTGCGTTTATACTACGAGTTTAAAAATGAGTTGATGTCGAGTCACCTTTGGAATTTTTGTTTACATGGGAAATCGAACTTAACTTCAAAAGGCGTCTCGACCGTGACTCACATTTGATCGCCTGTTACTTGTCACGATTACAAAGGAGTTTATGAACAAATTTTTGCACTTCCTTTACTTATAAGTGAAAATAAGATTCTGGATTACCGGTAAAAAGTGTAAAGACGATTATTTAGTGCTTTTGCTAACTTTTAAAACCCTAAACATACAAGGGGGAATTTAACTTCAGTAAAAAATAACGATTTTGCAAAATTTCTTTTTTTTTCCGGATATCTCCGAAAGTAGTCGCAATTTTTTCAGTTTTAAACAACTTTTTGGTATATAATCCTACGCATTTAGTGATTGCTACTAGCTTTCCATAAATACTTGCAAATTCCAAACCCCTGTGTATTTGCAGAACTTTGCTTGTAGAAATTCAGTGCATCTCAGGATGGCCGGTGTTCGTTATATGCATTATCGGTTGTCAAACAAATGCATTTACAAAATCGAGCACGATGGTTATTACGGTACGTTCGTACTTATTTTGGGTTTTCCTTTTATCTAAAAGCATAATTCCATAACAAAAATAACCCGTGACATTATAATATAATCGCCATAGTCGCAATCAGTAAGTCCTTCTTCTGGACTTTCCGAAACTAAAAAATGTGCTGATTGTTTTTATCTTTGGATCTGACGTCGGTCATATTTGAGTATAAGTAGCGGACGAAGCAAATCTTCAAACATTGTCTGTAAAGCAACGATTACTAACAATATGAATTCTAAATTGTTCATTTTTGCCATATTGGCAGCTGTTTTGTTGGTATCCGTATCCGCAGCACCAGCAATGAAAAAAGGTGACATCGTAGTAGGTAAGGGATTTGATTAATATATCAACAGGAATTTTATTCTTTTCTCATCTTTTTCAGTTGTGGGTCGCAAACGCCGCGACGTTAGTTGCTTCGAAGTTTCTGATGGATCTGTCGAACCAAATGGTCCTGGTTGTGACCAAATTGAAGTTCATCGAAAGCTAACATAATGCGGAAGTTGTGTGTTAACCAACATTGCAAAGTTAGACAGAGTTAACCAGTTCAGTCTTAATTAGTTCGGTCCTTAGGTTTACTATAACAAAATGTATACTAATTTGTTGTAATCTATAAAACCTGCGAAATAAATAAAAAATTGTAAAAATGACATTAGTGCCGATGTATATGCCATCAATCGCCCCTATTCAGATTTGCTCCATCCTGGGGTAGGATTTTGACAAAAAGTCAAAATAAACATACCAAAACCTAGATACACGCATTAGTTAGTGTTACGGTTACGGAGGTGTAGGTGTGGGTGTGCACATATTTCCAGAATACCTACCGTAGCTAAGACTATACAGTCATCTTGACAAACAGGACCCAGCGATTTTATGGGGTATAATGTAGGGTATAATTCTTTTCAATATCTTTAATCTTTAAATTAATCGTTTTTTTTGTATCGGTTCAAATATCATCCGAAAAAAATAAAAACGAAATCGAAAAACTTCGATTTTTCTGGCACATCTTCTGAAGTAGGTAACCAAAATTTTCTGGTTTTCTTTAAAACATGATAATAACTCTTTAATTGTGCAACTTCTCTCTAATTTGATCATCGCCGTATCTTTTACGGTTTTGGAGATCCCCATCATATGGTGCCGGCTATGTCTATTTTCAATATAGTTGCCATTCGGTTCACAACTAACGGAAGGATCAAAAGGGCCTTGTTTATTTTTTGGCTGATATGGCCAATTCACGAACTATGGTCTACAAATTTAATAAGAAATCCGTCTGCAAAAGTTCATCGTAATTGGTTCAGCCCGGTTGGACGTGAAAACGAGCGATAGGGCGAAAGCATAACAGTCTCGTTTAATCAACTCGACCCTAAAAACGTAAAAGTAGAAGTAAAACTGATGCATATAAAAGGTGTGACTCAACTTTTGGTATTGCCATAGAGGAGATCTGTTTTTCCAGTTTTTGACGATTTTCTCGAAGTTTTTCTATAGGAATAATATTTTTAAATTTTTGTTTATTAATATATAAGTCTCCCTACAATTTTTTTTACCCCCGCACCTCTGTGCAATGAAAAAAAATAGATTTTTCATTCCAATGAAACAGAGATGGTTTTTTCAGAAATTGTGAGATCTGTGAATCGGTTCAACTTTACGGTCCCTTTTTTTAATAAAACAAGCTATGTTTCCTCCAAATTTCAAACCCCTACGATTTTTTTTCGCAAAAATAAGAATAAAAAACGAAAAAAGCAGTTTTTCCGGTTTTTCTAGGAAATTTGGAGGTTATGTGAAAATAGTGCAGACACAAAAGTTGTTCACTTTTTATTCTCTATAACTTTTGTCTTGACCATTTTCGTCTAAAATTAATTGTTTTGCCACAATTTGCAAAATTCCACTTTCCACCCCTTTCAACCCCCGGGGATTTTACCCGCGGAAAAATTCAGCTGTTTTAATTATTTTTCCCCAATTTCTAATCATTCATCTGCCTGAAAAAACCCGATTTTACTCGGTAACTAATTTTTTTTTAAATAAATTATTTTAGAGCTATTTAGCCCGGACTATTTATCTTTGGGCTGGCGTCATTCTTGTGCTGCACGGAATTTGTCGGGATCCACTGTCACGTAATTCTCTAAAACTAGATGGACAAGGCAGTTGACCTCCTTTTGAAAAAAGCAACACGTCTTTGTACTAAGTTGGCACCGCGCAACATCATGAGCACATCTTCCGGATTAAGGTTTTCGCAGATTCTGACAGATTTCCTTCGTTTCTACCTGTACACAGGTATGGTTGATGTTACATGATAAGATAAAGCACAGTCACGTTCTTGTTTTTGGCTGGGAGAATCCACAATCACAAAAGATGTCACAGGTCATCTTCATTGCGATTATGTGTTTACAGGAAAACCCAACAAGTATCAAACAGATTTTCCACAATACCATAACAACCACACTATCATGTCTTCTACGATTTCGTTAAAACAATTGATGAAAGCCCTATCTAACATCCAAAGGGTCCTTTTAACACATGAACTTGAAATCTTAAAGCACCTTTTTAACGACGCAAACAGAGAAACGCCTTTTGTGTATTTCAGGTGAAAGCTATTTAGAGTAAAAAGAAAATGTGCCCATGAGTTCGTAAAGAAGCTGATGGGTTAAATAAAAAATTCTACCTCCAAAATACTTACCTGCACTTCTGAGTTTTGCAGATACTGAGGAAGCGCAGGTTCGAATGGATAAAATACAGTAAAATAATAGTACATTATATATCAAGGTAGAGAAGTCCACTATTATTGCCTGAGCACCAAGATTACATCTCGAGGCGCTTGCGCCGAGGGGTGTAAGGTGCGATGGCAATAATAGACTTCTCTACCGTGGTATATATACTATTTTTTTCACTACTAGCACTTGAAATCCTCTAAATTAACATATTATATTGATAAGAGAGTTAACGGTTGGACAGAATTGTTTTTTTCTTAATTTAACATGTCAATCAAGTACGTGGAAGTACAAGTCAAACAGGCCGTATTTTGTTCTGTCATTGAGATTTTTCAAAGAGTAATTTCGTTCGAATTTTTTCAAAATGTGATAATTTTAGGTATGTAATTTCTCTGGAAATTGCGATTCGTGGCAATTATTCGTTTTAGAGAACTTGTCTAAACGTTCATTGAGCGAAATTTCGGGTTGTGTTTTCTAAAAGTGACAGCGTGACAGTTCTCATCATTGACTACTAGTTAATAATAAAAAATTATTAACCACTTTGAACAAATGCCGAGAAAGCCTACTTTACAAGTGGAAAAAAGGTTAATAATCATGTCATCAGACGCTAGTAGTGAAAAAAACATTTTAATCTACTTAGGTGCGCAAGTTTAAAATGTCGTTTTTTGTCAAGAGATGGCGCTTTAAACCTACAAAACGTAATGTTCGCTTAGCCATTTACGACTTATGGCCGTTTGCACCGACAAATTTAAGTGGAGCTTAGCTTAAGCGTAGCTTAAAATCCATGGCAACCATTGTCTCAATAATCGTTGCCATGGATTTTAAGCTACGCTTAATCTAAGCTCCACTTAAATTTGTCGGTGCAAACGGCCATTAGTGGCATACTTCTTTTTCGTGTTAAAAGCAGCATTTGCGGCAAGTGATCATTTTTCTGTTCAATCAAAAGAAAAAGGCATCGGGAAGTCACCGAATTTTGGAAGAGACTTACGGCGATCGTGCCCCAACCGTTAAGACCTGCGAACGCTGGTTTCAACGTTTCAAAGGTGGCGATTTCAATGTTATGGACAAAGAACGCGAAAATCGACCAAAGAAATTTGCAGACAACGAGTTACAAGCATTATTGGGCCAAGACCATACACAACACAACAAATGGTGGCGTCGTAGTGGAATGTAACTCGTCAAGCCATTTCCGATCGCCTAAATGCCATGGGAAAGATTCAAAAGGTTGGAAATGGGTTCCACACGAACTGAACGAACGACAAATAGAAAAGCGAAAAACTGTGTTTGAAATGCTGCATTTACCCCACGAAAGAAAGAGTTTTTCGCATCGGGCTGTAACTGGCGATGAAAAACGGGTGTATTTTGAGAATCCCAAACGCAAAAAATCAAAAGTAATGCCAGGAGAACCATCGATATCGTGTGCAAGACCGGATCGTTTTGGGAGAAAGACAATACTGTGTGTGTGGTGGGATCAGAAGGGAGTATAATAGTGTACTACGAGCTTCTAAAACCCCGCGAAACAGTTAATACCGCCCCCTACCGACAAAAACTGATCAATTTGAACCACGCATTGACCGAAAAACGCCCAGAATGGGCTCGAAGACACGGCAAAGTCATTCTGCTTCATGACAACGCTCTTGCACATTCAGCCAAGGTGGTCAAAGAATCGATTTCTTCACTTGGTTGGGAACCTTTACCCCACCCGCCGTATTCACCAGACTTGGCGCCTTCTGACTATCACCTCTCCTCATCGATGGGACACGCACTAGCTGAGCCACACTTCAAGACTTTCGAGGATGTGCAAAAATGGCTCGATGAATGGATGTCAATAAAAGATGAGCCTTTCTTTTGGAATGGTATCCACAAATTGCCCGAGAGATGGATAAAATGTGTAGAAAGCGAGGGCCGATACTTTGAATAAAAAATCTTTTGCCATTGTTGTGAAATATTTGCTTATTTTTCATGAAAAAAACGTCATTTTAAACTTGCAGACCTTAATTTTAGCCATTTAGTTATTACCAATATCATTTGCTTTTATAATGCATTTACAAAATGCAACACGATGGTTAATTCCGTAGTTGTAGAAATTCGCTTAGCACATCCTCCATCCAAAATCATAACTCCATATCAAAAATGACCTGTCACATTATTATTAATCCTTTTCAGTGGACGATTTTTTTGGTATTTCCCAAACTAAAAACGGATCCGATTACAGTTATCTTTGGATCTGACGTCGACCATATTTGGGTATAAGTAGTGGATGAAGCAAATCCTCAAACATTGTCTGTAAGACTCCTAACAAGTAACAATGAATTCTAAATTGTTCATTTTTGCCATATTAGCAGCTGCTTTGCTGGTATCTATATCCGCAGCACCGGCAATGAAGAAAGGAGACATCGTAGTTGGTAAGTGATTTGATCCTGGATTTGATTATTATATCTACTTAACTTGACGCTTTTACCATCCATTTCAGTTGTGGGTCGGAAGCGGCGCGACGTTAGTTGCTTTGAAGTTTCTGATGGATCTGTCGAACCAAACGGTCCTGGTTGCCAACAAATTGAGGTTCGCAGAAAGCCAACGTAATGCGGAAGTTGCGTGTTCACCAACGTTGCAAATTTTGTCAGAGTACCTACTTCAGTATGTAATAGTTCGGCCCTTCGATTTACTATAATATAACAACCAACCTTAATTGCAAAGTGTACCAATACCAATTTGTTGTATTCTATAATACCTACCCTCTAAATAATAAAAAATTTGAAAAATGACATTAGTGCCGTTGATTTGCCAATCGCATTTGTGTTGTGCGACATGAGGTCGCATAAGTAGGTAGTCAAAATATATTTATAGTAGTTATCATCACAGACTACTTGATTAAAATATAAAAACCGTTAATTATAACTGGTATCTTATTTTCAATCTTATGCTATATGATAGCTCGTTGAAAAGAGAATTAAAAAATCCATCAAATAATCTAAAAATCCAACATGGCGCCTATTTACCTTTAGGAAGTTGGTAAATGTTCCTCAAAAGTAGCTATCTTGAATTTTTTTTTGACATCAATTCTAAATTAAGTGTATCGAAGACAGTTTATATAAAACTTTTTTTTATACCTCTTATACTTTCGATGACATAAGAAATTCAAGGAAATGACAAATTTTAGTTTTTTTGAATTTACGTCCAACCTATGCGACATTTTGAATTTCCATAAGGAAATTTTAAATAAGCATCTAAAACTTGAAAACATTGCCCTCTTAACCAATTATCTATCTTTAATAATAAGAAAGTTACCCACGCTATCTGGGACATACTGTATATTGTATATATAATATAATTGAGGTTGCTCTAATGTGTTTAGAAAACGCGATAATTGTTGTTATGGTTTTGTAGAATATCTTATCGATACTTTATGGGTTTTACTGCATATAAAAACATCATCGCAATGAAAGTGACCTGTGATAATATAATGTAATCGCTAGATATTCTTCTATTTTTCCAAAACAAACAAGTAAATATATGGACATTGTCACTGGATAGAGCGGACGAAGCAATATGTGGTCCTTTCGATAAGGTGAACTTCCACTTCGTGTTAATTTTTCAGATGCATGCTAGATCAAGAAACTGGCAATGGGCACAAATGAAGACCCTGATCGCTATAGATACATCTATCCTTCCTAGCCACAAAGCGCCGGAACGCTTCTATAAAGCAATTTCATTGCTAACTTTAAGGTTGCGCCGGACTGAAAATTATCCTGCGTAGTCAAGCAAAATGGCGGAAGAAGTTGTAACATTTTAAATAAAGGTACAGTGTTGTGTCATTACTGGAAGGTATGACACTCCTACAATTAAAGCAGCGCATGCCATTAGATATGATGCATATAGGTACATGGTACTACAACTGTGTAGGATGATGCATATATGACGTCCAATAACGTCGATCGATTTTGACAAGAATGGGAATATTTTGATTATTTATACTTCGAAAGTCACACATTATTAACGAGCTTCTAGCGAAATTATAATTTTGGGGTGTCTGTCCGTCTGTCCGTTAGCACGATATCTCGATAACGAATGGACCAATTACGATGAAATTTTGTAGATGGATTCTTTATCAAATTTGTAGATCGAAGTTCGTGAATTGGCAAAAGTAACATCAGGTTTAAAATTTGGTTTTGCACATGCTACAGCCATACCCAGGAGCTCGTTTGCTATATTTGTTTAATTTATTTTTCTGGATAAACTTATATCATATTTTCAATATAAGTACGAGGCATGTTTTTAAAGTAAGTCTCGTTTTTAGATAAAAAACCAACACGTAAACGTTTTTCAAAATACCTTTATACCTAATCAATCGTATCCCCAGAAACCAGTATGAAAAATATAACTCACGTCTGCGTGGACTCGAAATTTAGCAAACTTGCCGATTCCTATATCGTAGAAATTCAGATTTCTCTGATTTTCGTCAAATTCTCACAGTTGCCAGTATAGGAAATTATATGAATGAAGCGCTTTCAGATAAGAAGCTAATGTGCTAGCAGATAAGATTCACAACGCCACAGTGTTACCGGTTCTAAAGAAAATAAGTGAGATTCTTTATCGCGAAAGTTGAAGTTAATTGCCAAATTACAAAGGAAACCGGTGCCATCAATTCGATGAAATTATTGTCGTGTATACAGTTAAATCCATTGTGAGTTTCCATTACGAGTAAAACTATTATAAACTGGCTTATTTATGCAAAAGAGAAACTTCGTTGGATCAATCGACAGGTTGACTGATTTATTTTCAACCGCGAATATTGTGCAAATGTGTTCATAATGCACGAGCGGACATTTTCGTTTTGTTATTTGATCATCGTAATCGCGTTTAAAGAATTTTTTGCCATGAAAGGTTGTGGTCAAAAGTACAGAACGTTACACTGCGTTTATACTACGAGTTTAAAAATGAGTTGATGTCGAGTCACCTTTGGAATTTTTGTTTACATGGGAAATCGAACTTAACTTCAAAAGGCGTCTCGACCGTGACTCACATTTGATCGCCTGTTACTTGTCACGATTACAAAGGAGTTTATGAACAAATTTTTGCACTTCCTTTACTTATAAGTGAAAATAAGATTCTGGATTACCGGTAAAAAGTGTAAAGACGATTATTTAGTGCTTTTGCTAACTTTTAAAACCCTAAACATACAAGGGGGAATTTAACTTCAGTAAAAAATAACGATTTTGCAAAATTTCTTTTTTTTTCCGGATATCTCCGAAAGTAGTCGCAATTTTTTCAGTTTTAAACAACTTTTTGGTATATAATCCTACGCATTTAGTGATTGCTACTAGCTTTCCATAAATACTTGCAAATTCCAAACCCCTGTGTATTTGCAGAACTTTGCTTGTAGAAATTCAGTGCATCTCAGGATGGCCGGTGTTCGTTATATGCATTATCGGTTGTCAAACAAATGCATTTACAAAATCGAGCACGATGGTTATTACGGTACGTTCGTACTTATTTTGGGTTTTCCTTTTATCTAAAAGCATAATTCCATAACAAAAATAACCCGTGACATTATAATATAATCGCCATAGTCGCAATCAGTAAGTCCTTCTTCTGGACTTTCCGAAACTAAAAAATGTGCTGATTGTTTTTATCTTTGGATCTGACGTCGGTCATATTTGAGTATAAGTAGCGGACGAAGCAAATCTTCAAACATTGTCTGTAAAGCAACGATTACTAACAATATGAATTCTAAATTGTTCATTTTTGCCATATTGGCAGCTGTTTTGTTGGTATCCGTATCCGCAGCACCAGCAATGAAAAAAGGTGACATCGTAGTAGGTAAGGGATTTGATTAATATATCAACAGGAATTTTATTCTTTTCTCATCTTTTTCAGTTGTGGGTCGCAAACGCCGCGACGTTAGTTGCTTCGAAGTTTCTGATGGATCTGTCGAACCAAATGGTCCTGGTTGTGACCAAATTGAAGTTCATCGAAAGCTAACATAATGCGGAAGTTGTGTGTTAACCAACATTGCAAAGTTAGACAGAGTTAACCAGTTCAGTCTTAATTAGTTCGGCCCTTAGGTTTACTATAACAAAATGTATACTAAATTGTTGTAATCTATAATACCTTCGAAATAAATAAAAAATTGTAAAAATGACATTAGTGCCGATGTATATGCCATCAATCGCCCCTATTCAGATTTGCTCCATCCTGGGGTAGGATTTTGACAAAAAGTCAAAATAAACATACCAAAACCTAGATACACGCATTAGTTAGTGTTACGGTTACGGAGGTGTAGGTGTGGGTGTGCACGTATTTCCAGAATACCTACCGTAGCTAAGACTACTATACAGTCATCTTGACAAACAGGACCCAGCGATTTTATGGGGTATAATGTAGGGTATAATTCTTTTCAATATCTTTAATCTTTAAATTAATCGTTTTTTTTGTATCGGTTCAAATATCATCCGAAAAAAATAAAAACGAAATCGAAAAACTTCGATTTTTCTGGCACATCTTCTGAAGTAACCAAAATTTTCTGGTTTTCTTTAAAACATGACAATAACTCTTTAATTGTGCAACTTCTCTCTAATTTGATCATCGCCGTATCTTTTACGGTTTTGGAGATCCCCATCATATGGTGCCGGCTATGTCTATTTTCAATATAGTTGCCATTCGGTTCACAACTAACGGAAGGATCAAAAGGGCCTTGTTTATTTTTTGGCTGATATGGCCAATTCACGAACTATGGTCTACAAATTTAATAAAGAATCCGTCTGCAAAAGTTCATTGTAATTGGTTCAGCCCGGTTGGACGTGAAAAACTCGACGCTAAAAACGTAAAAGTAGAAGTAAAACTGATGCATATAAAAGGTGTGACTCAACTTTTGGTATTGCCATAGAGGAGATCTGTTTTTCCAGTTTTTGGCGATTTTCTCGAAGTTTTTCTATAGGAATAATATTTTTAAATTTTTGTTTATGTCTCCCTACAATTTTTTTACCCCCGCACCTCTGTGCAATGAAAAAAAATAGATTTTTCATTCCAATGAAACAGAGGTGTTTTTTTTCAGAAATTGTGAGATCTTGGAATCGGTTCAACTTTACGGTCCCTTTTTTTAATAACACAAAAATAAAAATAAAAAACGAAAAAATCAGTTTTTCCGGTTTTTCTAGGAAATTTGGAGGTTATGTGAAAATAGTGCAGACACAAAAGTTGTTCACTTTTTATTCTCTATAACTTTTGTCTTGACTATTTTCGTCTAAAATTAATAGTTTTGCCACAATTTCCAAAACACCACTTTCCACCCCTTTCAACCCCCGGGATTTCCCCCGCGGAAAAATTCAGCTGTTTTAATTATTTTTCCACAATTTCTAATCATTAATCTGCCTGAAAAAACCCGGTTTTGCTCGGTAACTAATTTTTTTAAAATAAATTATTTTAGAGCTACCTATTAAGCCTGGACTATTTATCTTTGGGCTGGCGTCATTCTTGTACTGCACGGAATTTGTCGGGATCCACTGTCACGTAATTCTCCAAAACTAGATGGTCAAGGCAGTTGACCTCCTTTTGAAAAAAGCAACACGTCTTTGTACTAAGTTGGCACCGCGCAACATCATGAACACATGACAGATTCTGACAGATTTCCTTCGTTTCTACCTGTACACAGGTATGGTTGATGTTACATGATAAGATAAAGCACAGTCACGTTCTTGTTTTTGGCTGGGAGAATCCACAATCACAAAAGATGTCACAGGTCATCTTCATTGCGATTAGGTATGTGTTTACAGGAAAACCCAAAAAGTATCAAACAGATTTTCCACAATACCATAACAACCACACTATCATGTCTTCTACGATTTCGTTAAAATCAACAAGAATTGATGAAAGCCCTATCTAACACCTAAAGGGTCCTTTTAACACATGAGCTTGAAATCTTAAAGCACTACGCAAACAGAAAAACGCCTTTTGTGTATTTCAGGTGAAAGCTATTTAGAGTAAAAAGAAAATGTGCCCATGAGTTCGTAAAGAAGCTAGGTTGAATAAAAAATTCTACCTCCAAAATACTTACCTGCACTTCTGAGTTTTGCAGATACTGAGGAAGCGCAGGTTCTAATGGATAAAATACAGTAAAATGAAACATTTTAATCTACTTAGGTGCGCAAGTTTAAAATGTCGTTTTTTTGTCAAGAGATGGCGCTTTAAACCTAATGCGACATTTTGTTGGTAAGTCAGCTCGCTACAAAACGTAATGTCGCTTAGTCATTTACGACTTATGGCCATATGCACCGTTTTTTACCTAAGCTGAGCTTGTGTAAGCTCGCTTAAATCCTTAAGCCTTACTTGGATGTGATTTGTATGCACCACAGAAAATTAATCTAAGCTTCGTTAAGCGTTAAATATATTTGACAACATTGCGTATTTGTGCTTTTTAACCTCACTATTTTTCACATGTTTATAAGTTATACGACCTTTTGTATTTTTAACGTGTGTGCAAAGTATAATTTTACGAGTTCGCTAATTATTAACAAATCATGAGCAAAGAAAAAATTAGGGTGGCAAACTTTTCTAGTGCAGAGAAACTGCTTCTGTTAACGATAATTTCAGAAAAATATAGTAAAATACTAGAAGACAAAAAAACTGACCGCATGTCTGTCTCTCAAAAAGAGCAGGCATGGTCACAAATCGAAATAGACTTTAATGCTTCGTCTACTACAACGTTCCGAAACGCATCCTGTCTAAAGAAGTGTTACGAAAACAGGAAGAAAGAACTGCGTAAAACTGTAGCCAGTCATAAACGAGACGTCTTATTAACTGGTGGTGGGCCACCACCTAAGAAAAAGAAAGACGATGACGAAACATTGATTGATGATATACTGACATCAATCATGAATGAAAAGACTTTGGTAGGACTACAAAACCCATTTGATGACGATGTTGATGAAAACGCAATCCCACAACGTAATACTCAACAATTCGATACAGATACTGAGTTTGTGTTGGAGGTTGGCAGTGAATACACTTCACAAATTCAGGTAGGTTTTTACGATGATGGTTGTCATATCTGATCATTGTGTCTACCCTCAAAGTAAAGTACATTACTTACTTGCATTATATTTTAGACTGCACAGGGCGTCATGCCAGCATCCAACGTTATGAATTGGAAAAGGAGTACTCCAAATCAATTAAAACAACCAATAAGTGCAACACTTTGTGCCATTGCAAAAGATGAACAAATGGCACCACAACTAGACATCACCACACCTAATAGCTCTAAAGTAAGTTTTTAGAAAAGAAGAATTCATTTTAATCAAGCATTCATTTTGTGTAGGCGCGAACACCAAAACAGTGTAGCAGAAGAAGACCAACAACCGTCGTGAAAACGCTAACATTGTCTGACATTGCTAAGAAATACAATATATTACTTGATAAACGAATTTCTTTATTGGATGCACAACATAAACATATGGAAAAAGAAAATGAATTAATTCTCAAAAAGCATCAACTAGAAATTGCTTTGTTAACTAGGAAATTGAAAAGAGATGAAGAGCTTGACACTGAAAATTAGTAATTATCTGTTTTATACTTATAGTAATATAGGTAACAATAATATTATAAACTGGTACATACGTAAATGTGTTAAGTAACAAATACATATTTTATAACTGTGCAAAATAATTATTAACAATGTGTGTTCTGAAATCGTAATTAATATGTTGGGGTCCCTGTATAGCTTCAATCTGACCCTGCTGAATTAGATACTCCAGTTCCTCCGCATTTATGTCATTCGGAGGTGGTGGCATGTCTTCATGCATATTAATCGCGATGTTATGCAGAACTGCTGTTGCTACAATGACAGTTAAAGCGGTATCAATATGGCACCGAAGTCCGTAACACAGTGCTAGAAAACGTCTTTTCCATACACCATTTGTTCTTTCGATGCAATTCCGTGTGCGAATGTGCGACTCATTATATAATTGCTGTGCTGGTGTTGTTGGATTCAGAAGCGGTGTTAATAAGTATGCTTTAAGTGCATATCCACTGTCACCTTAAAACATTTTGACATAGTACAATGCACTTAACCTACAGTAGGTAGTGAAATTGAAATAAACGGTTACTTACCAAGAAGAATAGCAGTACCGAACTCCCCTGCCTCACACGACACCTTGTCCTCAAACGACTGTTATTAAATATTGTTGCATCATGTGCCGAACCTGGCCATCTGGCAACAACATTTATGATTTTTAGGGTACTGTCACACACTAATTGTACATTTATAGAAAAATAGGATTTTCTATTTCTGTACACTTCTCCATCTTCGCCACCTATACATTGAGATGTTTAGTTTTTTTAAACTATGTGCACTTACTTACCTGGAGAACGAATTTTTATAAGTGTTCCATCAACACATCCAATTACGCGAGGAAAGCGTGCTACCCTGTAAAAGCTATTTTGACTAGCAACTATTTCGTCTGGGGTCGAGGGCATCTTTATGAAGCGGTTTCGAAGACCAGCAATGACTTGTGAAACTTTTTTGATTACACGCGAGACAGTACCTTGGTTCATATGCATAAAATCTGCAATGTTAATTTGGTGGCTACTGCTGGCATAAAATAAAAGGGTTGTTAACAGTTGATTTATCGGTGATACACTGTTGTTCCTGAAACATTAGTAGTATTTTTAAATGTTCTTATATTAATCACCAAATCTGTAGTGCAATACCATCATGCAGCCGCAGTATTGCTATGGGATACTTACAAATCATTATCAAATTCCAACTGATCTTCGATAAGCTCCAGAAGTGATATAGTGGCCTGTTTTGTTAACCTGAATCTTCGAAAAAAATTCATATCGTCCATGCTTTCAATATAATTGGGTCTCTGGTATATTATACGAGGAAACCCATATTCGATAATATCCATGATATCCAGATCGTCATCTAAAACTATTTCGTCTTCGACTTCCATAACAAACAATAAGGAGAAAAATATGAGATTTGAGGTTATGCCTTCCAAAGCGTAGCTTAAACGAATTAAACCGCCAATGATGGAGGCTTAACGTTAAGCGAGCTTAGAGAGCATTTTTACACCGGTGCATAACAAATTAGTGATATAAGCGCGATTAAACATTAAGCTGGGCTTTTTATAGTACGGTGCATATGGCCATTAGTGGCATACTTCTTTTTCGTGTTAAACACGTCGACTTTTGTGCCAAATAAGCAGCATTTGCGGTAAGTGAAGATTTTTCTGTTCAATCAAAAGAAAAAGGCATCGGAAAGTCACCGAATTTTGGAAGAGACTTACGGCGATCGTACCCCAACCGTTAAGACCTGCGAACGCTGGTTTCAACGTTTCAAAGGTGGTGATTTCAATGTTATGGACAAAGAACGCGAAAATCGACCAAAGAAATTTGCAGACAACGAGTTACAAGCATTATTAGGCCAAGACCATACACAACACAACAAATGGTGGCGTCGTAGTGGAATGTAACTCGTCAAGCCATTTCCGATCGCCTAAATGCCATGAGAAAGATTCAAAAGGTTGGAAATGGGTTCCACACGAACTGAACGAACAACAAATAGAAAAGCGAAAAACTGTGTTTGAAATGCTGCATTTACCCCACGAAAGAAAGAGTTTTTCGCATCGGGCTGTAACTGGCGATGAAAAACGGGTGTATTTTGAGAATCCCAAACGCAAAAAATCAAGAGTAATGCCTAGAGAACCATCGATATCGTGTGCAAGACCGGGAAAAATACAATACTGTGTGTGTGGTGGGATCAGAAGGGAGTAGTGTACTACGAGCTTCTCAAACCCGGCGAAACAGTTAATACCGCCCCCTACCGACAAAAACTGATCAATTTGAACCACGCATTGATCGAAAAACGCCCAGAATGGGCTCGAAGACGCGGCAAAGTCATTCTGCTTCATGACAACGCTCCTGCACATTCAGCCAAGGTGGTCAAAGAATCGATTTCTTCACTTGGTTGGGAACCTTTACCCCACCCGCCGTATTCACCAGACTTGGCGCCTTCTGACTATCACCTCTTCTCATCGATGGGACATGTACTAGCTGAGCAACACTTCAAGACTTTCGAGGATGTGCAAAAATGGCTCGATGAATGGATGTCAATAAAAGATGAGCCTTTCTTTTGGAATGGTATCCACAAATTGCCCGAGAGATGGATAAAATGTGTAGAAAGCGAGGGCCGATACTTTGAATAAAAAATCTTTTGCCATTGTTGTGAAATATTTGCTTATTTTTCATGAAAAAAACGTCATTTTAAACTTGCAGACCTTAATCTTAGCCATTTAGTTATTACCAATATCATTTGCTTTTATAATGCATTTACAAAATGCAACACGATGGTTAATTCCGTAGTTGTAGAAATTCGCTTAGCACATCCTCCATCCAAAATCATAACTCCATATCAAAAATGACCTGTCACATTATTATTAATCCTTTTCAGTGGACGATTTTTTTGGTATTTCCCAAACTAAAAACGGATCCGATTACAGTTATCTTTGGATCTGACGTCGACCATATTTGGGTATAAGTAGTGGATGAAGCAAATCCTCAAACATTGTCTGTAAGACTCCTAACAAGTAACAATGAATTCTAAATTGTTCATTTTTGCCATATTAGCAGCTGCTTTGCTGGTATCTATATCCGCAGCACCGGCAATGAAGAAAGGAGACATCGTAGTTGGTAAGTGATTTGATCCTGGATTTGATTATTATATCTACTTAACTTGACGCTTTTACCATCCATTTCAGTTGTGGGTCGGAAGCGGCGCGACGTTAGTTGCTTTGAAGTTTCTGATGGATCTGTCGAACCAAACGGTCCTGGTTGCCAACAAATTGAGGTTCGCAGAAAGCCAACGTAATGCGGAAGTTGCGTGTTCACCAACGTTGCAAATTTTGTCAGAGTACCTACTTCAGTATGTAATAGTTCGGCCCTTCGATTTACTATAATATAACAACCAACCTTAATTGCAAAGTGTACCAATACCAATTTGTTGTATTCTATAATACCTACCCTCTAAATAATAAAAAATTTGAAAAATGACATTAGTGCCGTTGATTTGCCAATCGCATTTGTGTTGTGCGACATGAGGTCGCATAAGTAGGTAGTCAAAATATATTTATAGTAGTTATACATAATATACATATACATAATAATAAGTTCAAACTCGCCATTGAGACGTACCAAACAAACCTTTGGTACCAACGGTTCTACAATGGGGAAGCTATCCTAATATTGTAATCGATGTTTTAACCAAATGGGTAGATATAAAACCATAGCCTATAACATCGTCAACCATGAGTCAATCTTTCAAGAACATTTACACAAAGGACGGGATACATTACCTATACTAAGTGACTATGTCTTTATTGTCCTTTCCTGCCGCGCAAGATTTATAAGATACACAGAATAGATCAAACAAACAAAACATAGGAAAAGATAATCTTGAAGCGCAGTTCAAAATATTTTTGTTTTTCCACTGAACCTCAGTTACAAAAGTGGACATAATATCATAAAAAAATAGGTATAAGAATACAAAAAAAAAATTAAATTAAAATAAAACAATTTTCATTAAAGATTCATAAACACCTACATGAATATATAGTTCAGTTATTCTACGAAATATATAAAAAATAAACCGATACAACGAAATATCGAAGGATCCTCAGTATTACAATTACTTTTAACATTGAATAAGTTACTTATTCAACGCTTTTAATGACAATCTTACATAATGCATTTTATAGTTGCATCAAATTCATTTCTTGGTCATAATGCTCTTATGCCCGGTTTCACAAACGATGATTAAGGTTAATCAATGATTAAAAATATTAGATTGTTAGCAACCTTGGATAATACGCTCATTTGTTTTCCATTGTAATATTTTTCATCAGTGATTAACCTTAATCATCGTTTGTGAAACCGGGCATTAATCTTATTCCCAACGATATCAGTGCAAGAATAACGATTTTGACATGTTTTGATCAAAATCCGTGTGATCGCCAAAAATAGATCAAATTCATGTTTTGGTCATTGAGATAATGCTCTTGGCCTTTTTCCCAACGATCTTGGTGCATAAATAACGGTTTTGACATGTGTTGACAAAAATCCATGCAGTCGCCAAAAATAGATCAAATTTATGTTTTGGTCATTGAGATAATGCTCTTAGTCTTTTTCCCAACGATTTTGGTGCATAAATAACGAAGAACACACACGTGCGGTTATCAAATATGCATGTGATGTACTCTTTCAGCATCAAGATAATGCGTTTGAAAGCTTTTAAAACTACAAATTCATGTGTAAAAAACAATTTTGGATACATTTTGCTCTAAAACTTTTTACCTATACCACAGAGAAGAGTTATATTGAGTTGTTACACATCTAAGAGTCATAGGGAATAATCTAGCGAAAGTCCGAACTCGATACATGACCTAGGGAATGAAATATGTTGATTTTTATTATATTGAGCCCGCAGTTTTTCCTGTTCGCGATTTACTCGAAGTCCTATAACTTGTGTTTCTGTTGAACCAGCTTCCTGAAAATCGGAAGCGTCCGTCCTTAATGTCCAAAGTACCCGTACACGAAATTTCAACACAATCGGTCACTTTTAAAAAGAGTGAGAGCGCACACGGAACAACAAAAATGAAGCGAAATTTCGTAAGCCAAGATAATGTCCAATTCAGTTGTACGTACAATTGCTTTCTATGAGGATCCCCAAAAAATGGCTTGTAAAATTTCCTCTGGTGCTGGCGGGGCTGTGTTCCTTACTGGGCGTCCATCGTCACCTCTTTTCCAGTCCCATTCTGCTGAAAGGAGTAATTTCTCCGGCCACTGCTAAACTTGGAAATGTTACAAGCTAAAGTGTTTTGTGGCCGCACTTTTCCGATTTTTTTCCGGCAACCCACAATTTTCGACATATAGCCAAAAAACCGCAAAACTGTACCTTCAACCTCCCCTCCCTCCCACTGGCAGTACCGAAATCGTTCGAGACTTGATTACACAATCATCAGGGGGCATTCAACCACACACTACCGAAAAAATTGGAACTGCGTGAATTATTTTCTCTATTTACCTTTTTCTGGCATACTCGTTGAATGACTGGACTAATAAGAACATAAAAATCTCGTTTCAGAGTGTTTTGTAACCGCATTCCTCCGAAACGGATCCATCGATAATAATTTTTTGTGTATGTTTGGTAGGTACAAGAATATGTCGTAAAGTATACCTATTTCATACCGCCTGGTGATAATATAGTCCCATCCAAGAAGCCGAACTTTCCCAAAGGTGGTATTAAGTTCGCGGGATCTACTAGTTACATTATAAAGGTTTTGACGCGTACAGCATTTTTCGACTTTGGTTTTTGCAGTACATGTAATTTTTGCGGATTTCCTTCGTTCTTACTTGCACACAGATATGATTGATGTAATATGCTAAAATCAAGCACAGTCGAATTCTTTTTTGGGCTTGAGAGAAACCACAATTGCAAAAGATGTCACAGGTCACCTTTATCGCGACTATGTTATTACAGGAAAATCCAAAAATTATCAAAAAGATTTTCCACAATACAGTAACCGGTTTAACACAGGAGCTTTGAGATAGCAATTACTTATCAAAAACTCAGTTTTTGAAAATTCTAAGTCTTTTTAGAGGGCCATCGAACACTTTGGAATCTTAAAGCACCTTTTAACTACGCAAAGAAAGCAGCGCGTTCTGCACATTTCAGATAAAAGCTATTTACCTACACAAGAAAATGTGCCCATTTCGGTACTCATGAGTGGATAGAGAAACTGAGTTGAATATTAAATTCTACACCCAAAAGACCTGCGCCTGCATTTCCGAAGTCTAATCCAAAAATACAATAACATAAAACAACATTTTAATCTAACCTTAGACATTTCGTTGTTACCAAAATCATTTGTCTTTACAACACGATAGTTAATGCCGTAGTTACAGAAATTCGCTTCGTACAACCTCCATCCAAAAGCATAATTCTATATCAAAGATGACCTGTGACATTTAATATAATCCTTGTCAGTGGACGATTTTTTTAGTATTTCCCAAACTAAAAACTGATCCGATTACAGTTAACTTTGGATCTGACGTCGACCATATTTGGGTATAAGTAATTGACGGATCAAATCCTCAAACATTGTCTGTAAGATTCCTAGCAATGAATTCTAAATTGTTAATTTTTGCCATATTAGCGGCTGCTATGTTGGTATCTATATCCGCAGCACCAGCAATGAAGAAAGGAGACATCGTAGTTGGTAAGTGATTTTTGATTTATTATGTCAACAGAACTTTATGCTTTTTCCGTCCTTTTCAGTTGTGGGTCGGAAGCGCCGCGACGTTAGTTGCTTTGAAGTTTCTAATGGATCTGTCGAACCAAACGGTCCTGGTTGCCAACAAATTGAGGTTCACCGAAAGCTAACGTAATGCGGAAGTTTGTTTGCCAACATTGAAAATTTAGTTACGGTGAAGTATTTCAGTATTCAATAGTTGAGTCCTTAAGAATTTACTAAAACATTGCAATTATTGTATATCAATTTGTTATATTCTGTAATACCTTCTAAATAAATAACAAGTGGTCGCAAGAAGTAGGTAGTAAAATAGTATATTGAAAGACAAGTGTTACAATGCGACCCATTGTAATACGACTATCTTGTGGCACGAGTGGCGACGCGAAGCGTAGCCACGAGTGTCCGCAAGATAGGAGTATTACAATAAAGCATTGTAACACGCGTTTTTCATACTATTTTTTTTATTTCGGTGCTTTAATTTTAATTAAAAAAATCATTATCAGAAACTATAGGGAACATTAGAACTAACATGTTTTATGTTGGGAACACTTTTTATGCCGTTAAGTTTTAGGTTGGCAGCGTAGTAAGACTGACCTTTTGAAGTTCAAACATGGAAGTACCCAACGAAGTACCTACTTGTACTAACTAGTAACTGCCAACTTAAGAGATGAGTTACCAAAAAAAAACGACTATAATCACTGTCTTTGTACAACTGTTTTCGGCCGAAAACAGTTGTACAAAATCATCATTGTGACACCGAAATAGAAAAATATATTTATAGTAGTTATACATAATATAATAAACGTGTAAACAAATATAGAAGAGGAGCTCATGGGTGGGCTATATCATGTACAAAACCAAATTTTAAACCTGGTGTTAGTTTTGCTTTTCTTTAAAGTGTATATGAGTGAAATTTCATTTATTTGCTTCCATAATAAGAAAATTGGCACTGCCACCATGCATAACATAAAACCAAAGTGCCTATGTATCAAATTTTTTTAATGCTTTCATAAATAAGAAACTTCGTACTGTGCATGCGCAAAACCAAATTTTGAAACTGGCGCTACATTTGCTTTTATTCCAAACGGCTAAGTATCAAATTTCATTTAAATGCTTTCATAAATAAGAAAGTTCTCAATCCGGTTTGTAAATGGTCGAGATGCGAAAAGGGCACTGTGAATGTTGGTAGATTAGGCTCAACTTTTAGAATTGCGTTTTATATGGTTAAAGCTATAAGCATATTAAATTTCATACAATTCGGTTCATAACTCACGGAGATGTCAAAAGGGCCTTCCTTATTTTTTGGGATACATTGCCAATTCACAGACGGACAGACACCGCAAAATTATAAACTCGCTAGGAGCTTGTTAATAATGTGAATCAAATATAAATACGAGTAAGCGTCAAAACCAAAACATATCTAAATCCGTTAAAGAAAGAGCTAGTACCAAATACTCAATTCATTTCATAAAGGCCGTCTCTGGGATACCGTTGACCTTTTTATATTGTTCTTGAAGAGCGTTTTGGTCGTGATCGGAAACACTGGTTCTTGAAATTACTTTTTAACTAACACCAGTTAGCGCATAGATCGGCACAAAACCAGCACAAATTGATGTGTTAAGGACTTTTTGCCCAGTTCCAATTTTCAAGAACATGAATATGAGAAACTACTTGCAGATAAATTACCTTTTTTTTTGTTATTTTCATTTATTTACTGCGCCTCTTATGCATTATTATGTAATGTATATTTTACTTATTTGACCTCCCAGAAAAATCAGCAACAAATACTTGAAAGAATACAATGACACTTGTACCCTAGGTTTTATTATGGATTATAATAATGTGGTTTCATATTTTTAATGAAGTATTCAACTGTTCAGTGTCGGTTTACAAAACTTCCGGCTTACGTTAACTTTCGAACTTCGGTTTAGTGACAATCGTGACCAATTTCTTCCATCGATCCATGAGAAATGTCAAAGCACTTAGCGATGGCGCCACGGGTTTTGCGAATAACTGGAGAAAAAGTTATAGTGCACTTTTCGCTGTACCTATAGGTAATAACACGTCACTTACCAACTACGATTTTTCCATCTTTATCCATTGCTAATGCGGAAAAGAAAAAAAAACGTCATCATTTTGGTATAAGAATCAAATCACTTACTCACTACGGCGTTTGGCGCGGAAGATATGGACACAAATAATACAGCTGCTAAAATGGCAAAAATAAACACTTTAGAATTCATGGTTTGGGATCGTTGCGTTACAAGCAATGTTTGAAGTTTGAAGATTTTCTTCGTCCGCTACTTATATATATCAAAATTTAGTTGACGTCAGATTCAGAGATAATGACAATCAGAACATTTTTTTAGTTTCGGAAATTTTGGTTTCGGAAAAACCAAAAGAATGGCTTTCTGATTGCGATTATAGCTATTGCATTATAATGTCACGGGTTATTTTTGTTAAGGAATTATGTTTTCATATTGAGGAAAATCCATAAGAAGTGTCGAAAAGATTTTTAGCTTCCTAGCTCCAGCTAGGTGGCTGTTGCGATCACCGTTTTTTGTACATGATATTGTTTCATCAAATGTCGATGTTTTAGATCATTTTAAGCAACTTTTAAAGAATAAAATTTTTTTCCGTCTGTATGTATGTGCGTACGTACGTGCGTACGTTGGCAATTTTTCGAGATAATGGCTGGACGGATTTTGTTCAAATTTTGGATATGCATATTAGACATACGGAAACGAAAAATATCGGGCCCGATTTTTGAAAAAAAATTTTGGAGCGCCGGCGCCGCAACGACATCGAACTTTTTTTTTCAAATAGCAACCTGAACTTTTTATTAAGTTATTAGAAAGACCTTATTTTTCTGTGTACAACCTTCAAAAATTATGCTAGGTTTTATTACAAAAAAATTGAGAAAAAAATGGCAAAGTTAATAAACAAAAATATTTTTTTTGGCAAAACGGTTATTTTGATTTCGATAAAATTACATTAAAGGCCCAGTGAAGCATAAATTGTGACTACATTGAAATTAAAGATAATATTCTTAGAAACGCAACAAAAAAGATCCGGTGTCAGTGTCATGTCCCGTTTCCTAGTTACAGGGGTTTAAACTTTAAATATTTACTACGAATGCTGTGACGTCACCGCTCCCACACTTACCGGCTATTATACATTTGCAGTTGCGTATTATCTGATGTCTAGTCTAACGAGATATTACGTTCAAAAAGATCGATTAAAATCGCTGTGCATTCACGACTGCAGAGTTAGTAAAGGTGCGCTATGTAGGACCTGCGTATTCAACAGGGAGCGGTGACGTCACCGAATCGGTCGACGGAATTTTAAACGTGTGTTACGAGCGATCTACTGAACGTAGAAAGCCCGGATTTTTTTTGTACTTGTTTTTGTCGGGATAACTATTTATTGTTTTTTTCTTGTAAATTTAAATTTTTTACTTCACGGGGCCTTTAAGCATAAAGGATATTGTCAAAAACTTTTTTTCAATATATGAGTTTTTACCACCGTGACGTCATACAACTGTTTTTTTTCAAATAGTAACCCGTTTTAAAGTGGTTAGTCGTTCAAATAGGAGTATTAATGGCGAGCAACGTTACTTGACTGTAGACAATAAAATAATAAATTATTAGTAATAAACACAAACAAAATTAAAAAAAAGCGCTTGAAGTCGTAACACAACAACAATGAGTATTTAGGAAAGAATCTAAAGAATCTTAAAAATTATCGACTATCGCGATCTAATTAGAATTATTAATTTAAGGGGTAAACTTTTTTTTTGTACAAGTATAACAATGGAATTCGGAATAAACAAAAATAAATATGGGTACCATAAAAGTTACGATAGTTTTCAAGCAAGCATTTTTTGCATATCAGTTTCAGGTTTAACTGCATACACTAGACGAATTGAGGTGTGTAGCTGAGGGCGTATAGGGTCATTTCTTTTTTTATACTTTGTATTGAATATTCTTATTCTACATCAGAAAATAATAAACCTTCGTGGGAGACACATCATTTTTCGAAGACACTCTTGTAAAAGCGCTATTTCTGGATTGAGCTAGGAAGCTATTCTCTCAAGAATTTGGCACATTTTTAAACTACTGTAATGAGCATAGCACCACATTTTACAATTGTATTTCTAAGGTCTAATGTCATGCCTAACACTCAGAGGGGGAAAGTGCTTGCATTACATCCATCTTTATCAAACGACTCCATCTATTTAAACGTAACCGTGATGTGTGTTAAGTCTTTTTTTGCATACCTAGTGATTAAATTACCGGACTTTTTTGTCAAAAAATCGTATTTTCACGATGTTTACTTTTTCTTCTCTGTTTTTATTTTAATGATTTTATTAGACAGTGTTTATAAAGGACAATTTTAACAGATTCTAAAACAAGAACTATAACAAAACAAATAATTATTATTAATGATTACATTGATGAAAGTGATTATTAAATTAGGATTAGGACAGTTCTCATTTTTACTTATAACAAAACAATGTTTCTTTGGGGACACTGTTGTAGGAGTCTTGGTCTTCCAAATAAAGAGGTTCACTCATCGATGATCTTACAGCAGTCGAAGTTTTTCTGGTAATCGAGCAATTTCAATGACCAACCACCATGTCGTTTTAACTGTGTAATGTCAGCGCCAGAATCAGCTAATAACGTCGCAGATTAACGGCGAAAACAGCGCTCAGTGTAACACTCGATATTTGGAAGATTTAAGCTTTAGTTCCTTTCGTTGAGACCTTTTATTAGAGTACCATGAAGGATAAAACTAGTTCCACTCACCCCTCCCCTCCCCCTCCACCCCGTACTTTGATAAGAGGACAGAAAGAAGAGCAGTAGTTGGTAGAGAACGGTTCCTTTCGTTGAGACCTTTAATTAGAATACAATGAGAGATCATATTAATTTTTAACCCCCCCCCCCCCTCCTCAGGCCCCGTCGCTCACTGATCTCGAAAAAGAGTCGCACGGAAAAGTTAAGTTATAGTTTGTACAAACCAATTTATTTCGATGAGACCTTTCATTAAAATACCATGAAGGCTAGAACATGTGTTTACCCCCCTCCCCCATTTGCTAAAGTTTAACTGGGCACCACTAAAGCTTGCGTATGCAAAATCTGAGACCAATTGGTTGTCGTATGTAAAAGTTATGCACGTTTTACTTTCAAAAACAGCATCTCAGGAACTAATTCGTAGACAGCGAAATTTGATGGCCGTCTGGCACACCTTCAAGGTATAGGCTACCTACTGCAAAAAATTCCAGGACTCTAGGACCATTCCCCTAGACTAAAAGTAGTTCGAAACGGCAGAAGTGGGTCTGGACGGACGTCGGACGGACGGACAAAACGCAAACAATAGCACATTTTTCTTTATTCTTAAAAAATGCGCTAAAAATTATCATGCTTTATACTCGTATATGGAGGTCTTAATTTACGGTAGTTCTCAGCCATTTACTGATATCGGACAGAGCTGTAAACTATCTGGGATTATAATTCTTTGTAGTTGGAAAATTTTGAAAATTGACAATGATTTCTTTTAGCCCAAGAAAAGTTTAACTTTAACCGACTTTAACCATTCAGCGTATGTTAGTACCATGGTACAATAAGACAAGGTATGCCTATAGCTAAACGCAGATGACGTTTTTATCCTACGAGTAAAAAATAAGAGGAGAGAATATAACGGTGGTGGGAAATAGCATAACACGCGACGGAAGTCTTCAAAATATCACTTCCTTTGCGCTGGTCAGTTATGTCGGCTTGACTTATCATAAAACAGAAGAGACGATGTTAGTTTTGTTTTATTACACCACTGCCAATAATGACGCGTTTCTCCCCACTCTTCTCGCACTTTTATCACTTCCTTTTTGTCCATGTCCGTCAAGTCCCCTTTTAATGCAAGGTTCTCTCCTTTTATTTTTTACTCGTAGTTTTTATCCCAATGACGTCACAAGAATCACCGCCAAGTTTGAAAATGACATACACTTCATACTTGAATTAGAAGTGCCATTGCAATTACTCAATTAATTTGCTTGAGTAATCATACTGAATGCATTTAGATATAAATATAAGGCAACAGAGAAGCTAAACGTACCACTTAATATACTTATTTCAGAAATTTAATCAGCCTTTTAAGTTTTTTTTATTGCCGCTAGAGGTCTCGTCCTTATTTGAAAACGCTAATATAATTTTTACTTTTTTTCCTTACATATTTTATTGTAACTTTAAATATTTGTATTGATAACATGCAATAAATGATACTTTGTAAGTTTAATGTGAGAAACTTGACGCAGTTGACATGGATTGAACAAATCTTATCACATCACAGCAATGCTTATTGTATGCAGCCAACAGAAGCGCGATAGAGAGAGCGGTTGCACATTAGTTTTCCCCTCTCGCTCACTTGCAGTATCCGCATTGGCTTTTTAAAAACATGACAAATTGGGGGTGAACGACTCATTTCAGAAATCATGTGTAATACATAAAGTCACACAAAAATTGCCCAAGGAGTCGAAAGATGCAAAAATATACAGGGGGTTCTAATTCAAAAATTGCAGTTTCGTTGAAAATATTTTTATGTTATAGCCTTAAAAGTCTTTCGACATGCCCCGCCAATGAATACATGTGCGTTAATGACTCCACAACCTTCCACCCACGCGCTTCTGGCCCACCCTGTATACTTTGCTATTTTTCGTCCTTTAGACTTCACTCCATAGAAGCCTTTTAAGTATTAGTTTATTAGTTTCAACCTCGGTTTCAACTTATATTGAGGTCGCAGTAGGTAGATGTGGTAACTATCCTTCTCGCCTAATTAAAGTTATAGCCCAATCAAGAACAGCTTGGTAAAAATATGGCAATCTGAAAATTTCGAATTTGTTTCTGGCAAAAATAATGGGGAAAACAACGTTACAACAAAGTCTGCGAGGGGAATTCCTAAAATTGTGGTGTTAGACTAGAGGTCAAAGGACAGAGGATAAGCTGATTATGTTATTCAGTCGCTTTGCCAGACTGATTGGACGATATCAATAATATAAATACCGCTTGTGATTGGTTCTATAATTTGGTTGGTCTCTTATTGAATACCGGTTTATGGTAATGGTACATAAACAAAACTGTCTTGTCTAGTAAATAAAAATTCGATACAACTCAATACCGAACAATCCTTGAGATCATTTTTGAGCTGTAACTTTTTCCCCTGATAGTCTGTAATAGCGACCTTTGTTATATCCTTCATCTGTACCAATTTCCAAAGCGTACGTTTCTAAACAAAATTATTGTGCACACAGACAGACAGGCGGGCAGACAAACACTAGCCAGACAGTAATATACAAAATTGTAAATAAAACTATCTTGCCTTGTTTAGCGCTACTATAAATTAAAAATCCAATACAACTCAATACCGAAAACAATCCTCGGGATCATTTTTGGGTTGTAACTCGGGCTGTAACCCTTTGATCTGATTGTCTACAGGGGCTGCTAGTGCTCAACGGCAGCCTATTATGTAGCTCATTACCACTCTTTCACTCATTCACTCTCACATCCATGATGTCCATGATTAGGTATAGAAAATATTACGATTTAAAGTTTATTGTGGATTATAATAAAGTTATTATACATTTTCAATTGGTAACGAATTAAGGTCGATTTGACGGCATCCGTGACCATTTGGTTCCACAGATCCATGGGAAATGTCAAAGCATTTAATGTCGGCGTCTCGGCGTTTGCGACCAACAACTGAAGAAAAAAGAAAGAAAAATAATAGGTCCCTCTCGGTTCATATAATAAACAAGTCACTTACCAACTACGATGTCTCCTTTCTTCATTGCTGGTGCTGCGGATACAGACACCAACAAAGCAGTTGCCAATATGACAAAAATAAACAGTTTGGAATTCATTGTTTGGGATCGTTGTTTTACAGACAATGTTTGCAGATTTGCTTCGTTCGTTACTTATACCCGAAAACGGTTGACGTCAGATTCAAAGATAAAAACAATCAGAACATTCGGAAAATCCAAAAAATTATAATGTCATAGGTCATTTTAAGGAGTTATGTTTTCATATTGAGGAAAATCCAAGTGTCGGAACCATTTTCTGCAACTAACTTGGCAACTACGGTAACATCCACGAAATCCACATTTTACAAAAATGTATTTCTAACTACAGGCGTCATACCAACCACTCAGAAGGTGCTGCGGAGGTGGTGACGAAGGAATGAAGCGGTAGGTGAGGTTGAGAAGCGTACAAGTTAAATGTACCATCGTGTGTTACTTGTTCATTTCATTGCATAAATTAAAACTATCTCCTCACTTCCTTTTTAGAGTTTTTAAATTCATTACATGGCGTAGGTACTTTCTGCAACGCAAGCCCTATTGTCAGTGCCTCTAGATTCCCCCTAACAAAAAAGTCGCGATACCTCTGTAGGGGCGGGAAAGTATAACTGCAGAGGGCAGTGCGTATCGTAAGAGGGGACTAAGCAAGTCGGTGTCAACCTGGCGCTGGGGTCTGGAGTATAAAGGGTGGTGGAACAACAAGGGCTTTAATTTTACTGATTTTGACTTATTTCTCGACTGTGAAGGTTAGTGTCCTTACACCTAGCAGTACCAGAGGGCGTACCTAAGGACTACTCTCCAGGACGCTTAACTTTGAGTGCATATGAAAGGAGTATTCCTATGAAAATATTCTCATATCAGTTTCTTTTCTGCCTTTCTCAAGATAAAATTTAGTTCTTTTTTGGCGGCGAAAGTAAAGTAATTTTCATAGCAAAAGAACGCGCACTGTTTATGAGTCTGTCGTGATTCCTGTTCTCATTGGTGCAAAAAAAACGTGCGCATTGGAATTATGTCATTGAAAGTCACCTGTCTAGTGACAACGTAGAGAGTCGTGTTGGTTGGGGTGAGAAACGGAGTAATTATCTCACGAACCAATTCATCGGGTGTCACTCGAAAATATTTTCTAAACATGTTTGGTGGCAAATCAAAAACCATTCTCACAACTCTAAATCCATAGGATTGGCTTGTTCATCCGCATCTTCGATGGCCTCTCCCACCTGTGACCTGTACAATGCCAAATGTTTCTTCAGGGTCCTTATTTTTGTGTCAATTTCCTATAAAGTGTAAACAGAAAAACGTTTGGTACTTGCCAGCAAAATTTCGTATAAATTATGAAGCCAATCATTTGGAATTAAGTACCTAACCTATCCTCACAACCCAAGTAAAATTTTATTTGCAACTAATAGAAATAGGTTATGTAGCATTTACATACATTTAACATCTTTTTATAAAGTCCCACTACATTACAAGATCCAACTCTGAAACCGGGTTGTGAACGAGGCTTGGGTACCCGCGGTTTATAAGGGTTCTATTTTTTAAAAGGTCACCAGGATCGGTGAAGATCCTACCACCTTAGGCTTAGTAGTAGTTTAAGATTTCGTTTAGGCGGTGCCGGACCAAGACAGCGGTGTCCATATACAGAGGGGATATACGGAAAATATTAAGACAGGGTCAAAGTGGAGGAATCGTAGTGGGAAGGGGGAAGATATGGGTCCTGGTTTACACTTGACGACACAGTAATCATGGCAACATAGGAAAAACAGATGAAGGAAATTGATGGGAAGAGAAGTGTCGAAAAATCGAAGATGATGAGATCTGGGAATGGGATACAAAGGAAAAGTGAGGTAGAATACGGTAGAGGGGGGAAAGGGTAGAGGAAAATGTAAATATTTAGGATGTCTGATGTAACAACAACGTACAAACAGCGGAGTTAAGAAAAAAAGGGAGAAGTGGAAATGAGACAGGTGTGGGGAATAGGAGAGAAGAAATTCAAAAACGATCAGTTCAGAATAAGAAAACACCTTTTTGATGGAATGAGAAGCGTGTTGATGTGTGGAACAGACAACGGACTTGTAGGGATGGATGGAATGGGATGAACTAGAAGGAATACAACGAAAGTATTACAAGTGGGTACTGGGTCTACACGGAAAGACACCAAATTACATATTAAGGTGCGTACAGACTTGAGCACGCACGCGAATGAGGCACTTCGAGCACATTGGAGCATGCAAGTGTGGACGTCCATCCCAGGCAGAACGAGCAGAGGAAAACTGCCTCGACCTATTCGTGGTGCGTGCTCGGAGCGATCCGCCCGCTGTCGGTCCATCAAAAAATTTTTAGGTTAGATAGGTTTGGCGGGAAAGTGTTTCATAACTAACCAAGAACCAAAAGTAACCGCAAGTAATCAGAACCGCGACTCGTGGTTCAGTGTTTTTTATTTGCGGTACGAACAGTTACTTTCTTCTTGAAAAAGTATTTGTGGTACCTAATCGTACTTAAAACTCTATATGTATATAGCATTGTTTATTTAGATATAAACTTATTATATCACGACGATTTCGCATAACCTATAGCTGACCTCACATTCAGTGATAACTGCAATCCGATTAGTCTAACCCTGGGTTTTATTTTATTATAATGTACCTAAAATAGAATTTTTGTTATTTTTTGTTTGAAGGAAATTCCATTTCGAAACAATTTTTTCTACAATTGTGATCGTCGCCCCAATTACACACAGGGGTTACAATTCTTTCCGCAGGTTATCAGTAACTTGCAAGCGATGAGGTTTAGCCCTGACTGGAAAATTGGAAAGTGCTAGCAATGAGTTTCTAACTGTGTAAGCACCAAGGAGTCAGATGTTAAATGCTACAAGGATCAGGAGTTTAAAAAATGCAAACAGTGTACAGGTGTAAGAGAGCAATGATGTGTAAGTGAACGTGGGCACTTTCAATTTATTGAGGTGGCTTTGTGCAGTATTTCCTTCAAGCTTAAATTGAATGTAGCAAAGAAACAATTGTTTTTATGTAAAATACGAGTATGTAGAGCACCACCTCCGCCTATAAGGGTTCATTATTATCACTTACACATCACTTCCCTCGTACATCTGCGCATTGTTTGCATTTTAATTCATATCTTATTTTTCTAGCATAGCATCTGTCCTCGGTGTCTTGGTGCTATTAGTCTTGCAGTCACCGAGGACTCGCAAAGTCTAAAGATTGCAACCACATTTCAGTACTGCAATTCATTTTATCAACCACTCCGAAAAGCAACTGCACACCCTAAACACCAAGGCCTTGTGTGTAAGCACCCCCTAAGTGTACCCTAAGTATATACTTGGTATGACACTTCCTATGTATTTTCTTCAATATTAAAACAGAATTCCTTAAAAAAATTATCTGTAACATTGCCAGATAATCGCCCCCGGTAAGTATTTGTTTTGGTTTTTCCGAAACTAAAAAAATTCTGACTGTGTTTATCTTTGAATCTGACGTCAACCATAATTAAGTATAAGTAGCGGACGAAGCAAATCTTCAAACATTGTCTGTAAAGCAACGATTACTAACAATATGAATTCTAAATTGTTCATTTTTGCCATATTGGCAGCTGCTTTGTTGGTATCTATATCCGCAGCACCAGCAATGAAAAAAGGAGACATCGTAGTAGGTAAGGGATTTGATTATTATATCAACAAAGCATTTATGTTTTTCCTTTTTCAGTTGTGGGTCGAAAACGTCGCGACGCTAATTGCTTTCACATTTCTGATGGATCTATCCAACCAAATGGGCCTGGTTGCCGCAATGTCGCATATCGACAGACATTACGTAAGGGGGAAGTTTTGTTAATGGACAGTGCAAACGAATTGAATCGAATCGCCCGCACTTATTGAAAATGTGTAAGAATATTGCCATATTGGTATTCCTGCTCTCTCGAGGGAGCTCACAATAATTGAAACATACATTACTTAATAATGTAAAATAAATACAATAAATAAAAGTACTTAAATCTGTTTCCATTTTAAGAGGCGCACACGGAGAACTCAAAACGTCTTTTCTCTTTATAAAACTCAATAATTGTTGTTGAGGACATGAGCGATCGTTACCCTATTCCAGACTTTCCTTTTTCCAAACTATCAGATCTTTTGTGGATTACTTGGAAGTGGCTCAAGATTGAGGGTATTCCTGAGTGGAAGGCTTACATGCGAGGATTGTATGGAGAAGAGTCTCCAGAGAAGAGCGCTGTACTGCCACTACCTACCATTAATAACTTCACCTCTTATTAGTGTACCACGCGATTTAGACAACCATGAAATACCAGTGCCAATGCCAACATTAGGAAATTAGACATACTACGTGACTTTTGACAAGCCACTTTACGTTAAGGCCCGTGAAATTGTAGCGTGTAAAGATTGGGTGGCTTTCACCTATTGATGTCGTATTTGGGATGCATTGGCCATAATTATAATGGCTGGCAGCAGTCGGAAAGAAGCTTTGCGCACTGTTTTTTCTACAAATTCATTAGACAAAATGCTGACTGGACATGCTCTTAACAAAGCAGGATGGAGACGACACCTGCTTGTATAAGTATAAGACTGTTTTGACTGAAATTATACTGAATACTCTACTAGAGGTATGAGATGAACAAAAGAGAGAAATCACCGAATTGTTGAAATGACAAACTCACTTACCTAATATGATGAAGCATCATGCTCAATTCGCCCCCCATGAACAAATGAAAACTGCACTTTTATCCTTGAAGGAAGAGTAAACGATACCATTCCAGTCGAGTGCACCAATGGCCTTCCAGTTGCAGACGACGCGACGCAAGCATGGGTGAAGATGAAAGTGACGACCCTAACAAGATGAATTCTTGATTAACAAACGACCCTGACACTTGAATGTTTAATTACATGCGTACAGATTGTAAAACGGCGCATGTATCGATCGGTACGCAAAAAGACAGAATGCGATAACAATGAAAAAAGAAGTTTAAAAAAATCCTGTAACCCGATCGGGCCCAATTGCGAATCTCAACCATCCGAGAACACACAGAGACGCATGAAAAGTTTCATCAAAATACATCCAGCCGTTTATTATTATTATTATTAAATCTAGACAATTTGCAGAGGAATTAGGTTCCTTTTATGCAAATTTTGCTATATTATATATCAAATCATCGTACTTAATTGGAATCAAGTAATTTCTTAAATTGATTGACACTTTGTGCTACTACGACTCGGTTGGGAAGTGAGTTCCATAAGTTAAAAACTCTGTTTGTTAAGAACTGCTGCCGAATTGTTGTTTTATAATTTTCTTTTGATAAGCTTATAGTTATGCCCTCTCAACCTCTGGTTATCAGCAATTTTAATAAAGTTTTGCAAATTTTCAGGGAATTGATCGTGACTAATTCTAAAAATTTGGATGAGGTCTGCCCTGTTCAGTCTATCGGTCGGTTTAGAAGAAGTTTAGTCACAAACACACGTACAGCAGAATTGTATTTATAAAGATGATCATAAGAATTATGGGATTGTGAATAAATCACGATTTTTTGAAATGTTTGCACCTTCTCGGTCCCATAACTACGAAAGTACTATGCGATCAAAAAGTTGCTGTCGTGGTTTTACGTAAGAAAAGCATAGAACCATTTTCATAGCAAATTTTGTTAGTTTTAAGTTTTATCTGAAGAAATTTTCGCTACGAGTAACAGTGCCGAGATACAAGCGAAAAACTAAAGCCTAGAAAGAGCTCCCCCTCCCTCGAGCTCACTCCCCACTCATAAGTGACCGATTTTGTGGTTCAACTTCAATGGTAGAGCGTTGGGCTATAAATCCGGAGGTCGGGTGTTCGAACCTGGATTGAGGTGAATTTTTCATCTGTGGCTGAGATGGAAATTACCTTGGACCAGTTCCGAGCATTCTACCGGCTACTCCGAATTAGGTTTTTCTGCAGTTTTCCTAATTCGTAAGGTACATATCGCAGTAGTATAGAACAACTTAAGACCGTCTGCAGAGGCACCTCTAAAACTTAGACACGAACAATTGTACCCATTTTTAAAACTCCGGGATTTTTTCCTTCGATTTGTCTAATTTTACCGGGCTGTAAATAGGCAAATGCTCACTTGAGCCTTGAATAGGTAATTACTCAATCCTTGAGCGAAAGCACGGCTTACGAAATGACTGTGAGCGAAAAGGGCGCTTCGCCGCTCCGCGCGCCCGCCGCGTAATAGAAAACATTTTGTCCACACACATCTCCCGACAAATTTAATTATTACGAGTATAAGTTATAATGCTGTTTCTCAAGTTGATTCAAGTTAATCTTTGAGGCCGTAATCCGTGCTCAAAAATTGCCGTTTTTAAGGTGTATTGTGTGTTGCCTAACGTATATGCATAAAAACCAAAGAGTAACCATAACACTCTTTGATAAAAACTGACAAGTTTATAGAGATTGAATTTTGAAAGGGACAGTAACCAGAGTACTAAAAAGATTGATATTCCTTTTTTGCATCTCCAACAAATGCATCAGCGGCTCTTTTAATATAAAGTTGCGGCTCTCCGTTTTTTAAAGAAATTCGTCTTTTTAATGAATCTTATTTGTTTACGAAATCAAAAGTACAATTGCAGCAAATAATTATCCAATTTGTGACATTTGTTTATTTTCTGGTATTCTATTGTTTTTTTTTATTATATTATATTATAATTAATGAGTAGGTACTTTTGTGAAAAATATTGAATAACATAAAAACTGCGGGGTTTAAGCACAGGGCATCCCTTATAAACATTGAAGAGAACACAAAAGACAACGAATAGCGAAATAAAATAGTAGTAGTTCCAAATGAAAAAGAATAGTTATAGCACTTTGAACAAATGGCATTGAAACAAGTAAATATGCAGGATGTTCTATTTAAAAAGATCAGTTATTTATTAGCATCGTAAAAATGGGACACCCTGTACATTCAAAAATAATTTCTGTAGATCCGCAACCACCAATATTTTATTACTTACTAGGTATCAGCTATGTAGGAAAAACCGACGCACTGCTGCAGGACCCTGTATATAGCCAAATACTATAACATTGAATCCAAAATTTGTTGTGGCTCTTTAAAAAATGGGAAATTTTTTAAATTGTAATTTTTGGCTCTTATCCGTTTCAATAGGTGCCGACCCTTGCCCTAGTAGAACAGGAAAATAAGGAATAAAGTTGTAGATTCTTGCAAACCGTTCGTATCGAAGTGCGGTTTTCGGCATAGTGTTCAGAAAAATACGAAGAAAAATGTTGAACAATATTGGTTGAGCCATTTTTGAAAATTCCATAAGGGTTGCGAAAATGCATTTATTAGTGCATAAAAATTATGAGCATATATGAATTGCCGGAAAAATCGCTTAGACATCATTACTCCGTGAGTCCAGATCTGCCCTTGAAATTGCCCTGAGATCCATAGGGGTAGAGGTACGAGAGTTCCGGGAGGTACAGTGGTGTGAAAAGTTGACCGTACCTAGAAATTTCTCGGAAATCGTTACTCGGGTATTTTCGCGGTCGCAAAGTCCAGGTCGATTTAGTAAAAAAATGCCAATTGCCCGCGTAACGATTTCCAAGCAATTTCTCACCCACCACGATTTATTCCTCATTCCACTGTATCTCCATAGCGCCACCCGTGGCAATGTAAGGGGCAGATATGGACTCGACGACCGCGAATTCCTCCCAGTAACGATTACTCCTGCTTTTCATATGTGATTATAATTTGGCATTTTTTACACCCCTTACGCAATTTTCAGAAAAAGGCTCATAGCACAATATTTTTCTTCATTTTTTTAAACTGCATTTTGATACGGACTGTTTGCAAAAATTTACAACTTTTGGGGAAAATGGTTCTAATTTCCCTGGTATAGCTAGCAGATGGTTTCCCAAGTGAATAATAACATCACATTGACAGTTAAAACGTAATAATCTTATAAGTTACATGGTATATATTTGAAAGAATTAATTACACGATGCTAGAGTACATCATATAAAAATTACTTCAATATTCTTCATTCAGTAGAAAACTACGATACATAAAATATTAACATAATAATATAAAAGTACCTAAACAGTCTCATGACAGTACTAACAAAATACAATAACAATAATTATAAATAATGATAAATAGTGAGGATGCGACGAGATAATGATTATTTATGAGGAATGAATGGACTGCTCCTGGTGCTCCAAGCACTCGTCGCATTCGAGTGATTTTTCTTCTTTTCGTTGTGGTTCTGATGACTTTATATGAAGCATTTCCTCAACTCTGTGTTTTAAGGCGCAAGCCGTCTCCATAGCGGGCTGTACGAAGGGCTCGGCCAGCTTCACTGCCGGTTCCATGACTTGTAAGGCGACGTGTACGGCTGGTTCCATGACGTCCCGTGCCGTTTGGATGGCAGGTTGCAGTTTATCATTGACGTAACCCTTTGTGGAGGTGTACATCTGAAATAATACCTGAAATGTATTCATTAGCTATCGCATGCAAGCAAATGGTGTGCCGAGTAGTAGCAAAAAAAACTGGAAAAGTGCGCTTACCTCGCCTGGAGGAAGCTTAACCGCCGGTATCTTTTCTTCAACGTAATCGAGTCCGGAGCAAAGTAAACCGTCCATTTTCTTAATGGGACCTTCAAATTGATTCACAACCGGCGTACTGATTTCTATCGCCTTTTGTACTGTGGATTCGGCCGTTGAAAAGGTCCAGTTGGTGACGTTGTTGTAATCCTAGAATTCCCATAAATTAGAATCAACGTGCGATGAAGTTGAGGAAATAAATTACCTTCACTTTCTCGTAGATAGTCGTAGCGACCTGCACCGTCTGTTCAATGGCGGGAATGTGTGCAATTCGATCAATCGACTCCATTTGCGTTAACGCGTTGAGAGTGGTATTTTGATTTACTTCGCTTGGAGACATTTTAAACTGAAAATAAATTGGAGGTTATTAACGAGAAATGAAAACGATGAGCTTACTGTGACTTAAATATGGACTTCACAGAAACACGTTAAAATTGCAGAAATGGAAAAATTAGACTGATTTGTGGCGACCAGATTGGGTGGACTATTGAATTTGAAAAGAAAGGGAAAAATTATCACTTGAAATAAGAATGCAACAACCATGCCTGTGGCGTGTACCTATCTGTAAGATACGATATTGGTTGAGGTCAAATATCAAATACCTAGACGTTACGATTTTGAATAGATAAGGATAACTTTGATTAATAACGACCAAAATAGCTACGATCTTTATTTGAATGCATGACGTTGCGTTTTTGCAACACTTATTGGAAATTCCTATTCGAAAATCTCTTAATCGACTAGGCAACATATTAAAGGCATGCGGTAATGGTAAAGCCTACGTGCACAATGAAGCATCCAACCAAGCGGAATGAGTACCAAAACATTAAAATCATATTCAATTAATCATGGTTCTAACATAATTTCTCATTAAAGAATTGGTAGTTATAGTTACTTACATTCTTGTTTTATAAAAATATACTCGCACTGAACTGAATGTAGAACACAAATTTACGACAGATAACACTATTTAACCGCACAGTACTTATAATTAGTTTATATAGTATTGGGAAGAAGGGGAATACACGTGATTCGGCGACTCATTTTTTCACTTGAACTTGGAACTTAGAGAGGTAGTTGAACTTTGGCTCTCACTGGTTGAAAATAGAACGCTGTTCCTATTAACTTTCCAATTTTCAGATTGCGTCAATTTGTCAATTGGGAATCGTATTTTTTAATTGACCGAACCAAGTGAATCCGCGGTGTTTAGGACTAAAAAATTGGCATGAAACCTGTAAGTAAAATGGAAACTTTCAGAACGGAAGGAACTTCCTTGCGCTTCACCAACTTGAATAGGAAATTAACGATCAGTGGCATAAGTTTCTAATACACCGGATTTTATTTCCTTTTCCGGTATTCTCATGTCCTTAGACTAAGCATTATTTACGTAAACTTGTCAATTGTGTGCAGCATAATATTCATCTTGGTATATTCGCCTCACGGACTCGGTAACCGTCCCCCAAATATTTCGGAATATAATTATTAATTAGCCTCTCTCCCCTGTGAGATATATGTAAAGATTATGGGCGCCAGGTAAGTTCGCTTTCTGGAGAGAATGCAATTTTCTTTTGCAGTTCCGGGCCGTAGCCAGATTAATAATTACTATGAACGGACCAATAGGTAAATCTACAGAGCGGGCGGGCGAAATAATAATTTACCGTGTCTCGCGCAAATACCACCCGCTGTAGAAATTCGTTTTTCTCGAAAAATACCGTTCGCATAACAAATATAAATTGTGCACAACTCTTGTGCAGATAAAGCGCATTTTTTTAAAACCGAGATAGCTTAGGAAATGATTGGTTTATAAGGAGAGGAGGCTCTTCACACATAAACATTTAAAGACCGCCTGGAATACATTCAAAATCCTCCGACACTCCATCCTGCAGATATTTGCACTGAAAGCTTCGACTTCACCAATAGATATGTCTCGTATAGTCTAGTCGATTCATTTTGCCTGTGAGGGTACTATCCTCCGACAAACCGTTTTCGAGATATTCGCTCTTAAAGTTTTGAAATCACCAATGGATATATTTCTTCCAGACGTCCCAATCGCCATTTGTGAGTACCCTCTTCCGACAATCCGTTCTGGAGATATAAGTGAATATATCCGATCACGATAAGGGGTCGAGGAGGAGGACTGGTTGGTAGTAATCAATTCCTTTGGTTGAGACCTTCTCCTCCTCCAAACCCCTCTTTTGATAAGGGGTCACAAAGTCAGCAGTAGTTGGTATAGAAAAAGGTTCCTTTCGTTGAGACGTTTAATTAGAATACCATGAAAGTTGAAAGATAAAGATCTCGAAAAAGAGTCGCGCGGCAAAGTTATAGTTTGTACAAACCAATTTATTTCGATGAGACCTTTCATTAGAATACCATGAAGGGTAGAACGTGTGTTTACCCCCTCCCCTTTTTTTAAGTTTAACTTGACACCACCATAGAGTACTCTATGGCACCACTAAAGGCATGCGTATGCAAAATCTGAGACCAATTGGTTGTCGTACGCAAAAGTTATGCACGTTTTACTTTCAAAAACAGCATCTCAGGAAATTATTCATGGGGAGCCACCCCTTTAAGAGCCACCCCGTCTGGCACACCTTCAAGGTAGCTACCTACTGCAAAAAATTCCAGGACTAGGAAGTAGGACCATTCCCCTAGAAGTACTTCAAAACGGTACAGAAGTGGATCCGGACGGACGGACGGACAAAACGCAAAAAATAGCACTTTTTTTTAATTCTTAAAAAAATACGATAAAAAATTCGTTAAGCCGCTTGTGAGCAAGAGGCGAAGAGTGCACTTTCAAATTTTCGGTTTAGTTCTGGAGTCCTTGTGACTCAGACAGACATCAAGAGAGCAAAAGTGCACTTTTTATTTTTTTAAAGTGAAAGTGCAATAAAAATTATCATTTTGCGGGTGTAGCGTCGCCGATTCATGAAAAATTTTCCGGGTTTTGTTAAAGGAATGTATGTTTATAATATTATTTCTGTTTGGAGTCACAAATAACCAAAATAGCAATTGAGTAACAAAGTATGATAATTTATATAGGTGAATTCATTTATCGGGATGCATAGGGCAACTGATAGAGCATTACATAATCGACAAAATTCTTGACTAAGTATGTACTTTGGAACGCTTCTGAGAAATTCTCAGTAAATTAGTTATACGTAACAGATTATCCAACATGTTAAAGTAACCGTCCACAAATTTTTACAGTCAATATTTCACAAACCGCACAATTTTCCATTCTATTTCTATCAACTTAGACTTTGGCCTGTGGAGTTAGCGTTAGTCACCAATTATCCAGTTATGAACGTAACATTACTTAGAATTACTCATCCCGCGTAGCTAGTGCACATGTACTAATAGTAATAGCACAGAGTAATACTGTGTACTTACTATATCCTTAGATCATAAATATGTATGATTTAAGGGGCTACCCGGCGGCACGGCACAACCAGAGGCGTATCTAAGGTGGGGTAGGCAGGGCACGTGCCCTGGGCGCCGTTCAAAAAGGAGTGCTAAAATCACCGATTATTAAATTTAAATATCAAAATACACCCCAATAAACGACATCATATCAAACAATCCTATGGACGAGCCATAAACCTAACACAAGCGTGTCGGGTGTTGTCAAACATTCTCGAATCTCGAGCTCGCGGCATTTTGTGCGCTAGCCCAGTTGGTGGCATGTCACCCCCACATATTCTACAGCACTTGGGGTGTGATCCAGAAGAGTTCAGCGCTAGCGCGGGCATGAGCCCCCCCCCTCCCCCCCATCCTCTCCTTATGACTGTTCGACGCGCACAAAGAGACGTTTTGTTTTAGATGAAAGATAGCCATAGATTTGTATTTTCCTTAACTCCTTTAGGGGGTAAATGTACTTTCAAATTCATCTTTATGGATTACTGAGAAGATGTTGTCTCATTTAATTTCGTACGGCCTTTAGCTGCTTTGGATTAGTTTTCAATTGTACCGCTAACATAATCAGGTGCGAGGTCAACTTCATTTGGTTTCTAAAGATGATCTATTCCTATAAATTTTGATGTTGGATACTTCATAAAATCTGGAAGAACATACAACAAAGAAAATGAGCAGCCATATCGCTGCCATTTGTTAAACCACCAGAAGTGACGTTATGGCACCCGTCCGCCATTTTGTGGAAACTCTCTTATCGAGATTAATGTCTACGTAAAATTCATGTCATTCAACAAAAAGTATTGGATTCAAATTTGAACTGTGTAGTTTTGTCAAGTTTTGCAATGCTCCAATTCAAAAATCACTTTTTTTAGTTATTCAAGTATTCGAAGTACTCGAAATCAATGTCCTTTGCTTATTTAATTTTATTGTTTATTCGAGATGTTCCTTCAAAATAATTTTTGTTTTGTATTAAGGTCACTTTATGTTTAATTAGAGTACAACTACTTCAGTCTATGCCCAAGTGAATGCATGTTTCAGGTGATGGTATGAATAGTGCTTTCATAAAGTTCTAAGAAAGTCGATCATTTGGGGCCGTATCCGTATTAATCCTACCTTATTAGGAAAATTTGGCTTCGAAGTGCGTTTTGTACCTAATGGTACAAATATTTTGTTTATTTTTTTCACGATCACCTGTAGATATACATTTTACGCGGAATTTCTGAACTTTCAAACGAATATGTTTTGTTTGTCTATATTAATGTAACGGAAATGCTCCAGACATGACGTCGCCTTTGGCGCTCTGGAATTTTCTACGCGCGCGATAGTAGGAACATTCGAGAATGTACTGGACTTACATTGCCTGCGTGTATAAATGGTTGCGGACCGAACATCGCGGCAGTCTACTATCGAACGAGATCGAGTACGGACGAAACATAGAGCGCGAAAAGCTGATATAAATTGCGAAGTGTGTGATATAAATAATCGATATAAATTGTACGGATTTTATAGTGTTTTAGTTTTGTTTAATAAATATTGATATAAATCGAACCCGAATTTATAAATAACGTTACATTGGTGTCAGAAGTGGGATTAATTAAATTAATTAAAAGTAAGATTAAATTAAGTGCTTGTGCTTGTGTATGCCTGTAACAAGATCTGCTGCCGCTAAAATGGAAGAAACGATGCTCAATTTGCTCCAGCAAATCCAAAATGGCCAACAGGTGATGCAACAAGAAATGAAAAGCAACCAAGAGAAGTTCGAGAAGTTGGAAGAAAATTCTAGAAATTTTGAAGAGAAGTTCGAGAAAATGGAAGAAAATTCTAGAAATATTCAAGAGAAGTTCGAGAAGATGGAGGAAAATTCTAGAAAGATTAATGAAGAAAATTCTAGAAATATTCAAGAGAAGTTTGAGAAGTTGGAAGAAAATTCTAGAAAGATTAATGAAGAAAATTATAGAAATATTCAAGAGAAGTTCGAAGAAAATTCTAGAAATTTTGAAGAGAAGTTCGAGAAAATGGAAGAAAATTCCAGAAATATTCAAGAGAAATTCGGGAAGATGGAGGAAAATTCTAGAAAGATTATCGAAGAAGTTGAAGAAAAAGTTGAAGATAGAATTACGGAAGTTTCCAAAACATTTAAAGC